TGATTTCGTTTTTTTTCATTCTACTTTTGAATGGCCCGACATTACATTGTTGGTCTGGTACCAAGTCTGCTAGTCTACTTAGTTTGGTATTGCTTAGCTTTAAACGTGATTTATTTATTTATGTGATCTTATAAATTGATCTTCTTAAGTTGACGCGAGGTTGGTATAGGTCTTCGTTGTCGTTGTTTTTGATGTTATTGATCGATGGCTGACGTCTCGACGACTTCGCCTTCCTCAAAGCTGTGATGTTACGTGCGGGACTCGATGTCGCCGAAACGTCAGCCATCGATCAATAACATCAAAAACAACGACAACGAAGACCTATACCAACCTCGCGTCAGTTTAAGATCAGTTTATAAGATCACATAAATAAATATATCAACTTTCTATGCCGAGGTTTATAGAAAGTCGGTCTTTCGAGTTATTAAACGTGATTTTTTAAACATTCAACATAGGATACCTAGAGATCTTCCTCGATATTTTCAACACATTCGCAACGAGATTGGTTTTTCGACAAGGGGAGAGCACTTCTTCGTTGATAAAGCAGTAGAAGAGTTGAGAACTTTAGAGACTCGTAAGGTGTATAGTGCGATTCTCTGTCACCTTTAGTGTATAAGTGTTCTTACAAAAACACTTTTTTCGTTTTTCAAATATTTCAAAACAAAATACAAAAAAAACAAAAAAATGTTCTCGCTGGTTTAGTCTGCATAAAGTGAAAACTCTGAACGCTCATGTGCCTACCGTACATTTATTCCTTTTTGACCATCGGGCACTCTACGGGGCATTGCAACATTCCACGGCAGCTAATCCAGTGACCTTCGCCATTCGCTTGGATATAGCCATGCCCTCTAGCATTGTCGTTGGCCTCCTGACGACGTGTGAAGATCCCCGTCACCCTTCGTCATCATTACAGAGAGCGAGATTTTATTTTTTTTTAAAAATTCAACACGAGCATAGCTGTCGTAAATGCAAACGACTCAGTAGAGAACACGAGCACGTCGTGATAGGCGAGATTTCGTTTGTTCATTGGTTCGCGCGTCCACGAGTCATGGTCCAAGAAAGTAGAAATTGCTTTCTTTTGGCTCCAGAAAATTAGAATCTTGATTGAATAGGTGAACTTGTATCCTCTAGGTGGAGGTCTGTGAATTCAAATGGTTTGAATTGTAAATAATAAAGACCAATACATTTTCGCATCGTATGGTTCCATAATTCGTGACAGTTCAAGTACCCCGAGAGTACAAGAGAGCAGTCTGTCTCATTTCCATCGACTTAGCTCTTTCTTCGACTATGAGTATTGATTTCAATATGTATTCTGCTGTACGTTTTCGACTGTACGAGTGACCGTTTTCTATTTCAATACGCATTTCAGTTGCGTTCTAACGACGCACTATCCGATACACCTGCTTCCCGAAAATGGCGGACGTCATGAAAAGGTTGAACCTTTCGTACTATAACATCTCTTTAGTATACAGGGTTGCTGCTTCTCTTCCAGTGTTCCTACGTAGATATATTACTTTTGATCGTAACACCCTCACGACCTTTTTCAGTTAATCGATGGCATAGCGAATACAGATTATATGCTGTGGCTGGTCCATAGGTAGATATTCTTAGCTGTACTTGCAAAAAGCCGTTTTGGACGGTGGAGTGGAATCAGTGAACAAACAGGCATAGAATTGCATTCCAACTATCACAGGAAGCCATGCGGTAAAGTAGTTACATTATGGTGGGATAATGGACGAGTGTCTTTTCATCACATGCAAACGATGTCCAAGAATATGAGAACATCCACAGAAAAACACAACTGATATGGAGAAGTTGGAGAAACATCGGAAAAATGTGATGGGACTGAACAGTAGAATGGTTATCTGAAGAAACCAGTGCGATGGGTTGCTTACACAAACTCACTGTCCGCTCATTCTGATTTTGATGCGCGTTCTAACTGCGCTCCAATGACACATGGTCCCATGGCCTGGGCCCGTAGCGGCCGCGGTCGTGAAAGAGTCAAATCATGCTTTTAGCTCAACCACAAATATGCTGAAATATGAGCGAAACCAGGAGCCTCAGTTGTGCCTCAAACCCAAAATTACCTATCGTTTATTCACAGGTTATTCACCACACTACCCTTGACCCTTGCTTTACATTTCTCTCAGTAATATTTTTTACGGCATACTCACTCATTCCATTACCATTAATATTATTTGTTCACTATTTCCATTCCGTTCTCACTCTCATTGACAGGTGATTGCTGACGGCATCGAGAGTAAGTCAACATGGACGTGGTTCTATACGCCATATTGTCGATAAGGTCTGCTGGATAAGAAAAACGTCCAAAGAACGAACGATGGACAAGAGTCGTTAGTGACTGGATTCCTCGAGATACCAAATTCGCAGCAGGAAGGCCACTGAGCCGATAGTCAGCGCTCTTCACGAAAGCCCTAGAAAAAAATATGATGCTTAATGAGTCCCTATGGCCAGCAGAGCTCATTAGACTACTCTTGGAAGCGACAGGCTGAAATGGAACGCTTACACGTTCCCGTTCGAGTCACTCAACGGCGGGACGATTGGTGCACAGGTGATTGTTCCATGTAAAGTGACCTAGCCGATATGTTAAACGGTTTCTTGTTATGCAGAAACAATAATGGTAAGCTATTAGGTGACGTCGTGTAAGTTTATTATGAATGGGAGAATTACTATTGCTAGCATTACTCAATACCGTACACCTCTAATCGCTTCGTAGTATGCGGGATGAAGAACTAGTTCGCTTTCATCCCGCACACGAACAGATTCCATCCATTACTGTACATTTGAAATCAGTTCTAAAATAACTCGTATTTCTCTCCATTTTTCTTTTTTTCGCTCTCATTTTTCCCGCTTTTATCGATTTTCGCCATATTTTGGTCCTTTAGTTAATCGTTATTAATTCTGTTTTAAAGGCATCTAGTTTCCTCTGGATTATTTCTTTCCCATCGTTTCCTTTTTTTCCTATTCAGTTTGTTTTTCTAACTTTTTTCTTTATTCTGGCGCTGATTCAAAAAGCGAACGTTTTGATTCAAATGCCGAGATTTTTGAGGATAAACGAAAATGATTCCATTCTTGAAATCTCGTTTGTAAATAGAATGCATTCTCCAAATGTGCGTGGTGATGGTTCTTTTGTTGGCTAACATGTCGTGACGATTTTTTTTGCATTTATGTCCCCTCCCAACTCCAGTGCAAACGCGCTTAGTTGCGATAGTCTTTGGCCGGAACGGAACCTCGTCGACTGGTTTGTCATGATGATTTTAGCCCCATTTTTTTTGCCTTACTCCAGTGTAAACGCGCTTCGCTACCGTAAGTCTTTGGTCGACGTGGAATGGTGGTGGTGGTTCGTGAAGTACGTGAAACACGACGTTGTCTTCCGGCTGGATGAGATATGATGGTGGTTCATGGCCGAATTGAAAGATACCATCGTTGGCTGGTATATCCTGACTATGTTCTTCTCATATTCTTGTATGACTCCATCGCAAACATGTTAAGCCACCGAATGACTTTGGTCGGAATGAAATGCTGCTGGTGGATTGTGTCTGAGTATAAATGTAACGTTATGGGCAGATATGACGTGACAATTTCGTCATTAAGTTTCTTTCCACCTCCAACGTAAACGCATTTCTTTACAGGCCGACCTTGATCGTAAGGGGTTGGGCTTGTAGCGGCCAAAAGTCACCGACAGCTTCCACTATCGCGTGCATCGTAGTCGGCCGGTACTCGAGCACTTGCATTCAAGATCTTGATCTTTGTGCCATATCGTTTCGCTTCAAATGTGATTTTCTCGTAATTTCATGTTAACTCATGTGATAGTGATCGAAGATTAGTATGATATGCTTAAAATTCTGATATTAGATTAAGTCCCTTCGATTTACGTCATTTAGTTTCAAGGTTGTTTCTAGTCGTTGAAGTTTCTCGTGAAAACTCGTCCACAGTGCTTCAGGACCTTTTCATTTCGAAGAAAACCCATCACCAACTCAACTCGGGTTTTTCGTTGTTGGAATCGTAAAAATTTTCCATTCACTGGCTTACAGAACAGTTTAGTTGGTGTTTATGTTGCTTTAAAATAGTATTATCTCTTAAAAATGCGATAAAATAATAGTTGCCTTTGACAGAAGTGAAGCCGCAATATCTTATCTGCGTATTCAACGTCTTCCGTGGTGTCATATCTGAGAGTGTTTGTTTTTTAGATTTTACGTGTTTGCTAACGGATAGCTGTTATTCTGGGTAAAACACACTCAGAAGTTGTTTAGCGTCTAAAGCAATCATAGACGATAACACCATCTACTTTGAAAGCGGTGCAGTCTACTGTAAACGTCCAACACGTTCTTGAATAGTCTACATCTCACAGTTCATTTGTGTTGTCAGAATCGAACACTACCGATTTTGTCGTTTTCTTGTTCAGCAATCGCGAGGTTTTTAAACAGCATATATTTACTTCCATAAAAAACAATACAATACAACACTAGCTGACGTTTCGGCAGTATCGCCTTCTTCAGAGCCGCTTTTTTGTGACTTCCAATGAGGAAGTTTAGAACAGCTGATTATAGTCGCATGTGGTTGACAATGGTATTGCAAGAGGCCAAAGGTTTAAAAACCTCGCGATTGCTGAACAAGAAAACATTCATATTCCAATGCCGAGGTTGAGAGAAAGTCGATCCTGGGAACTACCGATTTTGATGACACGTTCGGCAATGAAGCCGTCTGTTTTTTTCGTTTTCATTCTTAGTTTGCATAGTTTCCTGACGTTAGTAAATCTCTACAGAACTATTTCAAATGTCTTTTTCTCATTCTTACCGAGTCAAGCATTAAGTATTCACTCCTGAGCTTTGATGTCATCGGTATGTACTACTGGATTCATCTGAACGATTATAATTCTTACCTTACTAGTGGGTTTGTCTTTGTCACGTCAAATTATCTTTTTTCTGATGATTACGTTTCATCTCAAACAACTGGGACTAATGAGAAGACCATTTAGAATGGTGCAATACAAGCTCTACTACTTCGGCGGTCGAGGACTTGGAGAAGTTATACGTCAGGTATATATTTACATTGTCCCCAGCGAGGCAGGTGGATTCACTGTATGAACTTCCTGGTTTGTTAGGTTTTAAGTTTGAAACGAAAATCCATCGGACAAAAGGGTACAAAAAAGACAACCAACAAACAGATGAAAGCATTGGGTAGAGAAAGAAAACACTACTTTATCTAGTTGTGCGCAAGATAATAACAGAGCAAATCTTGAATGGTAACTGTCCAAAGGCGACCATAGAATTGAAAAGAACATGGACCGTATTATTTTCTAAAAGTAAATGCATCCATAATTTATGGGAAATGCGATTTATACAGAGAACTGGTTATTATTATAGCCTCTAAATACTATTTTTGTTATTAAGTGCTCGTTATTAAATGCTCATTTGTTTCAGCTGTTTGCTTTAGCTGCAGTCGATTTCGAGGATATTCGCGTAACCCAGGAACAGTGGCCTACGCTAAAACCTAGTTAGTATCAAACATTTCCAGCTTATGTATTATCTTCGGTTCTGATTAGTTAGTAATATCATTGTTTGTTCAAGATCAATGCTATGAACTACTTCATTATACAATCTGAAACCGTTGAGAACAGCAAGAGGAATTTAGATAGGACAATCGTAGTGGAATAGTCCGCACTTATAATGGCCCACGCTATCCAATCCTGGTGTTCCTCAGTGTTATTCGAAACGTTTTAGAGATGCCGTTCGGAAATCTACCAGTACTTGAAGTCGATGGCCAACAGATTCCACAGTCACAAGCCATCGCGCGTTACGTAGCTCGAAAATACGGTATTTAAGAATACATTTCAACTCGTTGGAATGTCCATTCACAAAAAAGTCGATTGACATTAAGGATATGCTGGCAAAACACCTTATGAGGAAGCGATCGTCGACGCACTAGCTGATCAATACAAGGATTTCTACGTAGAGATCAAGGGTTTCTACTATCCGGCTATGGGACTTGCAAAAGGCGACGTCGTATGTTACTACTTCTTTGGTCTAATTCTTCGTTAAAAGTCTGGAATGCTTAAACTTTTACTATGATTGATTCAAACGAAAACACCGTGATTTTGCCAGAGATGATATAAACTCCTAGAACTAAAAAAATTCAGGAAAGTGCAAAAAAGAATATTCTGATTCCTGCCCGCGACCGCTTCCTCGGATACATGACGGACTTTCTCAAGAAGAGCAAGACCGGTGAGGCCTCATTTTTTTCTGGGTCTGCAGTCACCTAGTTATGTACACATGTCCCCACCTAAAGACAAACATTGAGAAGCATCTGGTTGAATTATCCGATTGAAGACTCTTTTTTTGGGAGTAGATTGTATTAATAGATTTAAATAGGAGCCAATGAGAAGGGTGATGTGAACTACGACAAAAATTTACTAAAAGGAAAGAATAGTGCTATCTCCTCACTTAGGCGCCCAATATTTCTTCGTCATATGTTATCTGGACCAAGCATTTCTTTATTCTTGTCCTCCAGCCATAATCCATGTATCTAGTCGGGTTCGTGCGTGGCTTCAGCTGCGGCCCGTCGATCTCTTATCTCTCCTCATTATTGGAGTAATGAGTATCGATTAGGCGCAATTTTTCTTGGAATCTCTGGGCGTTCTGAAGCGTCCCAGATCTTTACCACAAGTATTCACCGGCCTTTGTGGATTGAAACCAGGTTTACTGTACTGAGAATAGGGGCTAGAAAACCAGAAGAAGAAATACTTGTCAATCAGCAAACTGAGCTTAATGTTAAAGGTTGGATCCAAGTACTGTAACGTTTTCTAAAAACTGAAGTTTGGTTTTGACGTCGCAGATAACTCAACTGAAAGGATTAATGAGAAGTCGTGAAGTTTTAACAGTTATTTCTGAAGAAAACAAGTGAAAACAGGTGTTCATTCTTTCAAAAGTTGCATAAAGGTTGTTGACTTCTAAGGATATCTTGCTGGAAACGATCTCACATACGCGGATTTGATCTTGGCTGAACACGTCTTCAGCATTCGCACCGTCTTTCCTGACTACACGAATGGATTCCCAGAGGTTTGAAAAGCTTATAATATTATAACTATGGAACACTGTCCAATAACGCTAATTCACTTTTCAACGTAAAGAGAAAGATATGTTTTGTTCTCAGGTTGAAGAACACTATAGAAAGGTCACCTCCGTGCCGAAACTGAAGAAGTGGCTTGATGAACGTCCGAAAACCAGTTTTTAAATCCTATGAAGTTGAACACTTTATCATTTATTTCAGCATTTTTTGAAGGATATGTCATCCTAAGAAAGTTGTTCTTTCTTAATGGGAATGAGCGATTGTGAAATGTTATAAAGTACATGAATAAATGTGACGTTCATGTTCTTTCGTCATCAGTGACAATGGTGAGAAACTGCAAGTTGAACTTTGGTCAGCTTTGGTCAGCATTCAGCTTTACTTTTCAAAACATTTTCGAACCGGTCAGTTTGTAATAGGGTTGCCTGCAAAGGACCGTCGTTGCCGATTACTATAGGTAGGACCATCGGAATTGGTCATCACAAGTTGCGCACTGGCCCCGATATTTCATTTCTCAATAAACTTTAGCTTTCTCCTTTCCGATTTACAATACGGAACAACGAAAGCATTTGTGCTCATGCAGTATTCAAATTAAATAGAAGTGCTGATTTATGGCGATGAGGAATTCCTTTCGTTTGGTGGCTGTTGTCGAATTCTACCAGCGACTCCATAAAATGACACCTCTAAGAGTGGCCACTTGACTCGGGCGGTACTCCAACCAAATGGGTTCTAAGCGATGCGACCGCGAAGACCACTTCGCAAGAACGAAGGGATGTTGACAATGTATTTAAATTATCGCTTCTATGAAAAAGGCGGACTTGTAAAAAATTTATGTAAAAATCCTCAGTTTTCCACGAGCTATATCGAAGTAAATCTAATGTCACCTGAAGGAAAGATTCGTCATGGGTATCTTGTGATTGGAAGAAAAAAATCTTACCAAGCCAGTAAAATCCAATTCATTATGGTTATTGTGTTGAATGTCTTGCCATTAGTGAACCTCAGCCATTGCGAAGGTTTTGTTACTGGAATACATTTAAGATTCCAGCCGTTTTTTCATCGAGAAGACAATCCTGAACAGTCCTACAAGAAGCTAAATTTGTGCGGAGTAAATGCCCTTTTCCGATTCGTCTCCACGCTGCCATATTGTTTCGTCGTCACAAGCGATAGGACTATTGCAGGACGCGTTTTGATTTCGATAAATTATGCAGTACAAATGCGTATTGATCAGCCAGTTTGCAACGGTGTTAGTCGGTACGACAGTGTCAAAATATTGTTCTATGGTCCAATTGAGATTTGTATTGTTCGTAGATTCTATTGACTATCGAACTTAGTGGTTATAATTGTGGTGGTGGTGATGGATAGCGGTTGCGATATGAGGTGCGACCAGACGTCATCGAGTGACATGTGCTGACTATTCTGTTCTCACGTTCTCGTCTAGATCCAATGCAAATCCGGTTCGCCACACCGGTCCCTTGGTCGGAAAAGGTCGAACATGGTGTACGAAAATCAGCATCGCATTCTATGTCCTTTCAACACTGCAATGAGCAGCCCGTCGATAATGTTGTCTCATGTTTCCATATTCGAGTGATTATTATAAAAATTTCTGGAGTTGAACCTAACTTGATTTCGATCAATGTTAGTTTGTAATCTCTGATCTCCCAACAGTAGAACTCCTCTCCCAGTACTTGTATCGTAGTACTGCTTTCACTTTCACTACTTCTACATACTCAGTGGAAGACTCGTAGAAAGCAGCTCTGAGGAAGGCGAATTCTGCGGAAACAACGGCTTGTGCGCAAGTAAAGAAATAATATAACACCTCGTGTTTGCTAAACAAGAATATTAAGAATTACTTTCGCTTTAGTTTCAAGCCAAGGTGATTAAAAATAGATGTAGCGTCCTTATTATATCACATAAGGAATTGTACTTTTCGACCCTCATCATTTAATCTTAAGGTGGCGATATTTTGTTTGAAAACTGAAAGTCGTCCGAAAGATGGATCTATTTGTTAGAGTGATGGAAAGCTTTCGGAAAATTGGCCAAATTTTTCAAAAAAACTCGTCCGAAGTGTCCCAAAGTTTTCTTTGCGAAGAAACATCGTGCGCTATGAAGGGTATCAGTCATTAACTTAAATCTATTCTTTATTCGTTGCAAACGCGGAAATCGTTCAATCAGTGGGTTCAGCGACAATTTAATCGGATTTCATGGAGCGCAGAAACGGTACTGATGCAATCGCTCGAGAAAGAATTGATGCTGGGGAGTGTTTGTGTGGGATTTTTACGAGTGTAGTTGCTCAAATTTTAGATGTTTGCCAACGAATAACTAGTATTCTGAGAAAAAGAAGCACTCAGAAGTTGTTTGATTTCAATACGCTTATACACGAACGCAGAGTTCGCTGTAAAAACTCCCGCGTTTGGACAAAATTGAGGTTTCTGGGAAAAAAAATGGCCACCAATTCAGATTCGAACAAGTGTGTAGCAAATTTTTGTGGTCCATGAAAATTTTTCAATCATACCACATGGAGAACCCTACAAGAGGAAGTGTTCTTACTGTTTTGCAAAAATTTTAATCACTATTTAGTAGTTGGGCTTCATCAAATCTAACGGTTTGCTCACAGTAGTTAAGTAGCTCATCGTACCCATGATCTTGTATTGAAGAGTGGTCTACAAAGAGAGCTCATCTGTTGACAGGATCATCGCCTGAGAACCTGTCCCACACATTTCTTTGAGTACTTAATTGCAGGTGAAACGTTACAGCAGAGTAGGACAAACTGATCGTGTTCTGGTCGAGTTGTCTGTACATCGAGCTAGCGATGCTCAGCGAGAAGCTTTTGTGCGCGGCGGGTGGAAATGGAGTTTGCTGGGTTCCGCTCAACTTACTTATCAACAGGATGTCAGACGATGCAAGTGATATAATAGACGATTGCTTATTAGATATCTATCAGTGGAGAACATTTATTGAACATGAAGTCATTTTTTTGGTTCGTCTATATCACAGTTATGGTGAATATCACTCAACGGGTTATTGTCATGAACGACACGACAGAGGCGATCACCTGACCTAAGCGGTCATTGAGAACTTTCTTATGACCACTGATCTTTTGGGAGAGTGTATCGCGCGTATGTTTTTTATATGTGTACGTACGCCATATCCTTCTATGCTGGTCTAAATGTGTGTTTGTATGTGTGTACCTATGTATGTTTGCCTGGTGCTAGATAAATGGCAGTTTGCTGACCTCTTAGGCCACTTTCAAAGTGGTCTTGAAAAGGTGATGTTGCCATCTCGCCAGTGAGGCGCTCTCCAACTTTATATTGCAGGAACTATATTTGACTGCGACTGTCACCACCTTAATCTTGGGCAATTTGTTATTTAGATGTCTTCAGTGGCTAGTATTTTCTTAACATATTAGATGGAAGAGGAAAACTTTCTTTATATATTCATACAATCTGAAATCGTTAGTGATCTGACTGCTTGCTCGATTCATACCTGTTGTCCCGACATACAGTAATCGCTCATTTGGGATAATCATCTCCGTGCTAGTTGGTATTCGAATAAATAATTACCTCATATCCGATTTTCAGAGATTATTGCGAAACCGCAATTTTGAGCAGGTTTTGTGTCGGTACCGACATTTGGACAGGTTCACTTCGTGTTTTGCTTAACCATTGTTTTCTCATGGTTCTATAGAGAAAGGAACTGTGTACTCAAATGTGTTTGATGATTTCTGTATTCCAATCGATTGAGTGTTAAATTCTGAGCTCCGCTGTCGTCTAAAAATCCAAACGTAACCTGTTCCTTTATACTAAACCTTTATATTACAATTACTAAGGTTACCAGTCGTGATTCTTAATTACGAGCTGATTGTTTTCAGTGACGATAGACTGTATTTTATAACTCATTATATTTTTAAACAGTGTTGAAATTTAAGAAAAAAGCGTTGCAAAATGGTGCACTACAAGCTGTACTACTTTCCTGTTCGAGGACTTGGAGAAGTTATCCGTCAGGTATGCGAGTTCGCTGATATGCATAAAGTACGAGATTTATCAGCTCTATATTGTGTCCTAGGAAGAGGATAGACGTAGAGGATAATTTGTTTTTTTGCACTTTAGCGGATTGATCCATATCTACCATATGAACGTTATCTTCTTCATACTTGTGCCTGCAGATCTGTTCACAGCCGCGCAAATTATCTACTGTATGCTGAAACGCCAAGAAGCCTTAGATAACGAAATCTGGAAAGTGATTCGAAGTGGTTCGCAGCAAATTGGAAAAACCTATACTTTTAAAGAACATATGCTTCTTTAGAGTAACACACTGATTGTATTAAGTGGCGCTATCCGTAGGCCGCTAGGACAATTAATGTGGAGGGCACTGTATCAAAAGTGTGATCACCATTGTGACAAAACAATGGAGCTCTACAGGAACAAGTGGGAATCACTCGGTTTCAGGTTTGCATCTATAAGTGGCACAACGATTTCAATATACACAGAGAGACAGGTAAAAGGATAAAAATGAATGACAGCGATAGAGTCTTCGCTTCGTCCTGCGAAAACGAAGCCCTCTACCTCTTCAGAGGTTGCGGATTGGTGCCACAATTTCTAAGGAAATAGAAACACTGCTGTAGTCACTTTTTGCTTTTTGCCTATTCTTTTGTTAAGATGTGAAATATAATCACAGTGATGCTAAAATATTTGCCAAAGTCCGTACCGCAGGTGTCTGCGGTGGGGATCGAACTCGTCATTACCCCTTCCAGGGACTGACGCGTTCATACCAAGCCATGCGCATCCTTTGTTTCACCTTTCTCTCCGGCGTTTTTTGACCTATGGTGTTATGAGCAATCACCCGTCAACGGGATCAATCGGGGAAGCACAAATAGGCATTGAACCTATTTAAGGTGAAGCTATAGTACAAATCAATGTGATATGTTTCCAATCACCTATACAATATGTCATGAAGCTGAGAGCGTGCACATCTCTATGGGAATAAACCACTGCCAGTGTTTCACCTTGTGTAGCTGTAGGTTTTATTTTATCAATAAATGAGCTACCTAAAATGGTCGTTTCAGGTGTTTGCTCTGGCCGGAGTCGAATTTGAAGACGTTCGGGTAACGAAGGAGCAATGGCCTGAATTGAAACCTAGTTAGTCTTCAGCTTTCTCGTTATTTTACTTTATATAGTATCACGGAAGATGATAGTTTCGACTTAGCAGATAATTTTGGGTTTGGGCAAGATTTTCTTTCGCTGGCTTGTCAAAAGGCGTGCATGGGATCCGCTAAATCGTCATCACTTGCTCATCGATGAGAATTCCATTGTTGGGATAGCAGAAATTCCTGACATTGCTGTCTTTTTTCAGTGGGTTTTCTAGTGGAAATGGCGAATTCCTAAACTGCAATACTGGAGGAGGGATAAATCCATGCTGTCATTCGCAGTTTGACGCACATTAGCAACCTCCATCTACGATGACGCGAAGCGTCATTGGAGGTTTTAAAACCATCAGTCTAGATTAGTTATAGAGTTAATCCTTAGTTAGGGGCAAGAATAACAAAGATTTCGGTTTTAACTTACTATTTACTGCCTACTCTTTTTAACGGCACGGTATATATTGCGAAATATAACTTCAATGATACTGAGACTAGCTGAGAGACAGGCGAAACGAAGGGCCCGCGTGCTGTGGTGGTGAACGCGCTAATCCCCGGAAGGGACAATAGCGCGTTCGTTCCCCACCGCATACACCTGGTGTCCGGAGTTTTGGAAATATCTCAGCATCAATGAAAGATTTCGGTGTTGGCGGATTTTATAACACATCACAAAGGTGGGCGATCATGGGCGCTAACCGATTTTCATTATGGAACTCCGTTATGCTTTCGCTTATTATAAAGCCTGATATTCGTTGCTGATTTTTTGGTGTTATTTTATGTGTTGTAGGGATGCCGTTCGGACAAATGCCAGTGCTTGAAGTTGACGGCGAACAAATTCCGCAATCATTAGCCATCACGCGCTACTTGGCTCGAAAATACGGTATTTAGCGCCAGAATTTGAGCTTAACGTTGTATTTGTACTTAAAAACCAGATAAACAATTTCAATTTTTCTAAATGCTGTGAGAATAGAGGCGATTTTAAGGATTTGCCGGCAAAACACCGTATGAGGAGGCGATCGTCGACGCTCTAGCTGACCAATACAAGGATTTCAACGTGGAGATCAAAAGCTACTACTATCCGGCTATGGGACTTGCAGAAGGGGACGTCGTATGTGCTTTTACACTCCCTTTCTTCAGCTCCTTGTTGAATGTATAGTATTTCAAACCCTCATTTTAACAGTACGTGGGATTTTCATTAACACTATCGCAACGGCGGACGGCGTTTAATCTCGGGTTTGTTGCGAACAGGACGTCGCCTAAATTTCAGCTCTTATGGATTTACTGGTTGTTTGACAGTAAACAATATTTTCCGATATCTAAAGGACTTTGCTGGCTATGAACATGATTGGATTGTGGAGAAGACTTTGCTCTATCGTCCTATGAGTATGCCAGCACTTAGCGTTTTGCAACTTATGGGTCTCTCTTTCAGTATCTTTGTATTAGCACACTCTGTACGATAACAATCATTCACTATAGGACTTGGAATTGAAATAATAGTCGGTTAGCACACGAATTTCTGGTTAGGGAGCTCGTTCTGGAAAAGGTTTTTGTATATTTCTAGGTGAAGAATGGGGCTTTTCTCGACCAACACCCCAAGATCTGTGTGCTACAAACTATCAGTTGATAAAAAAAATTTCAGAAAAATATCCATAATTTTGCTGAGATATTTGCAAAATTCCGGACCGCTGCTGTTTGCGGTGGAGAACGAACACGCTTCCCAGATCTATTCTCTCCAGATCACCCACTGGCGGGTGATTGCTGATGGCGTTATAGGTCAATAAAACGGCTGAGACATGAGCGAGACGAAGGACCAGCATGGCGTGATGCTGAACGCGTTAGTTCCAGGAAAGGGTAATAGCGTGTTCGGACCCCACCTCACACACCAATGGTCCGGAGTTTTGCAAATATCTCAGCAACACTATGGATGTATTTCACATAATACCCTTCCACTAAAAAATAATAGGCAGTAGATAAAAATTGGCGGCATTTAGAGAACAGTTTTATGTGTTAAAATAAACTACCGAAAAGAAGGTGAAATCTCCGAATGTCATACCAGCCACTTCCGCAAAACCATTATGACACCTATAGTACCGAGATTGTTAGTGCTGAATCTATTACATTGCTATTTGACAGCACGAACACATGAGGAATTTCAATAACTCCCGGCTTTCAGTTATAAGGAAGACGGATGAATTAAGGGAGAACTGGGATCGCTTAACGTTAAAGAAATCACAGATTTTATGAAGTGATGCATTTGTAGAACGCCCTTTACTTTTATTTTATTAAGGACACCATTTTTTTGACGTAGATGAGTTGAGCGCCTGAGATTCTTTAAAGAAGAAAAAAGCTTCAGGAAGCTGCAAAGAAAGATGTTCTAATTCCGGCCCGCGACCGCTTCCTCGGCTACATGACGGACTTTCTGAAGAAGAGCAGTTCCGGTAAGATTTCTTTTTTCTGTCAGAAAAATCAGATTGGTATCTGATGTTTATAGTAAAATTTGCTGACATACCGCGCTTGGGGAGCGTGTGGCGCAGTGGTCGGAGGCGTGCCGCAGTGCACAAGGAATCGATCGCCGCAACCCTCTCTCACCAAGGCTTCCATCCCTCTGGGGTCGGCAAATTGGTACCAGATTTGTCTGGAAGGGTAGCCGCACTGTCTCGATACATCGGTTGGCCACTGCGAGTCATTGTGAAGGCCAGATACTTTCAATCACCTCGAAATGATGCTTAACGATGTCGGATGCATGAAGTGTCCCTCAGGGATTGATAAACGCCGAGAGTTTTATCCTTTATTATTTTCTATCGCGTTTAAATCTTTTTCAGTTGTTCCAATCTAGTCTTGACTTCGTATTAAACGCCTGACTTTATTTGAACTGAAAGAGCCATCAAATGCGGAAAGGCGGTAGATATGAGGTTTTAATGCCGTGTTTACTTGTAGTACGCCATTAGTTCGTTTGACAACCAAACTTTATTTTTTACTGAAATGCTGCACTCGAAGAAAAAGATATAGTTATCACTCGTTTAAAAGATTCGAGAGAAAAAAGATACGAACTGTTAAGGATACCTATCTGGAATAGATCTCACGTTTGTGGATTTGATCTTGGCTGAACACGTCTACAGCATGCGTACCGTATTTCCGGAATACACTCAGGGTTTCCCAGAGGTTAAGAAGTTCTACATGCTTAAATTTTAAATCTTTTATTTCAAAGCATTCCTAGTGAATAACGCCATGATTGTTTTTATGTCAAATGGCCTATGTGTGTAAAGAAGTGTTTTGTTCTTAGATCGAAGAACACTATGAGAAAGTAACCTCTGTGCCAGCACTGAAGAAATGGCTTGACGAGCGCCCACACACCGCGGTCTGAACTCAAATGAATACAGCTGTTGCTTTGCTTTTGTCAATTTTTTGAAAAGCAGTTATTATGTAGCTTTTTGTGCAATGCTTGCAAAGAATGAGTAGTGTTAAATTTAGCGAAGTGCATTAATAAATATACAGCAAAAAGTGTTTGGACCTTTGAAACCGATGATTCTAATTCGCTCGAACACGTTATAATTGAGCACTTCGTAGGAGACGTGGACAGCGTTCCGCAAAGGTTTCCCATACCGAATCACCATAAACTATCATATTTCTCATCCACTCCAGCAGCATTCACTACTCTGTAAATTTTATAGCTTAGTCTTTGATTCGAAATACAAAGACGAAAAGATATTTAACAGCGTGTACCATTTAGTCTCCAGGGCTTCTTCAGAATTATGTGAATCTGTACAAAAGGCAGGTTTTGTTACCATAATATGTGGTATCCTCCCAATGGTTTACCGCCTCATCGTGGCTGGGAGCTGTTCCTGGGTGTCGCGCTGCGACGTACAGCGGAGGATTCATCTTCTGGCAGTGTCTTCCAGGCTGAGAAGGAGTCCGGAGTTTCCATTAGGAAACGTAGCTAAGAGTAAACCTATATCAGCATCCACCACCGTCGTTGTATCCAAGTCGAATGGTGGTAAGTCTCCCTCTGATCCACAAGGGCTGCCCGTGGTGATGTTTGCTCAACAAGAATATAGAGAACTTCGGGCAGACTTTGGCCAGGCTGTCCTCGGGATTCCAGGGAACCACAATGGCTTAACCAGCAAATCTCTGGAAAATGGTGATTATGCTGGGGTCCACACAACTAGTGAGGCTGCATCGTTCAAGTATCAAGCAAATACAGTGTACCATGACGTTGTTAACAGAAGCTGAGCATTGGTTTTTCCTTAAATAACTTATCACCACACAATGGCACGTATTTCTTTTTAGTTGGAAGTCGAACCAACAATATCGCGCAAAGAGTTCTTTATCGTTCTTGAATATTCATCGTTTATAAAGTGCATAATGTTCACTTAACACTTGAATATCTGCTTTTCGTGAAGTTCCCAGGAGCTGTAGAACAACTACTTTGTTGACTGGAGCAGCTTCTTTTTTCTTGAAAGAAATCCAGAGTGTTCGCTAAGCTATCTGTCTAGTTAGAAATTGTCATAATTCTTGTCGAGGATGTCGGATTGTTATCGCAACGAGATTTGCCACTACTATGGCCGGATTTCTTCCGTCTCGGTACAATTCCTGGCTTTGGGTTACTCTTAACTGGCTTTTAAACGGAAATGTTGATCAGGTTTTTTTTAAGAGAGAAACTTCTACTTCTGTTTCAACACTTTTGAACATTTCTTCGACCGAGATTGGGAGGTTCGGATAACTAGTTTATAGTTAGGTGTTAATAGTTAGGTTTGCTAAGTCCTAACGTCCATCAGTTTTGCATATCTCAATCTATCAGCACGTTAGGTGAATATGAGTACGAATTTGGACTATGCGTTAAGTTACGGAATCCAAACATGCAGAATTTACTGTTTTACATACTGCTGGCAAATCTTCTGCGCACAAACTGCTATCGTTAAGACAAAACATTGCCTGTTTGGCCTTGGTTAATAGTATTTGGTAAGCAAGTCGTAAAAAAAAGTCCATTAATTATTATTCCGTAAGAATCTATTAGTTCATAAACGACAAAAATTTTTAGTAAAAAAAAACAAAATACAAAATACAAAATAAACGACACAAAAAAAAAACGACAAAAAGTCACTCCCGTCGTAGGTTAACCTGCAATGAAACATCATAACACATCTGTTTAGGAAGCTTGATATGCAGAGAAGACGACTTTCTTATCTCCTACTAATAGGTGAGCATATAACATTGAATGGACGAAACGAATCGACTTCCAGCCATGAATAACGGAAAATATTTGTGCAACTCAATTTCCAACAAATAGTCCGCATTTCAAAGTAGACTTTATTGAGCGAAACTGAACCAAGAGAATATACAGATCTTTGTTAGCAACATTCAGGCCATATATTTTACTAAATCATTGTTGATTTTATGGAGGGCACGAATCATTTATTGTCGTTCCTTCATCATCGGTGCCCTCATTTTGCTTGACGAAGAACGACAACAAGCAGATTTCCAGATGGACCAAGTGACGCCCTGCAGACTTTCACAAGGCAACCTAGTCCCCAAACCCTTAAGAATTTTGTTGTCAAAAAAGTACTGGCAGCTGTCCAAAAGCCAGGAGAAGTGCTTTAAGTTTCGTCGTATTTTCTATTATATTTCTCAACGATGGCCTGCAGTTTCTTCGTCGTAGGACCGTCATAATTTTTACGAATGTCGTCCAAAACCGCATTCCATTCCTGAAGTGATGTCCATTCAAGTCGGCTGAATTCTCTCAGAAGATGCAAATGTGTTCGAAGTACGTCCTTCATTACATAATGCACATTTGTTGAGCAGAACTCTGAAATTCACTTTTTATGCATACTAGCAATGTTGGTAATAACGACAGTAATGATAAGAATGAGTGGACTGAAATGTACGCCTCATTCTTTTTAGTTATCACCATTTTGTTATGTCTTTTAAGTAAATTTATTGATGGTACTCTGACCTGGAAATTGCTGTGATTCTCTGAATTCGGTCTGCGTGCTCTGATCCGAAAAATTCTTTGATTGTAGAGATGCTCTTTGAATGGGAAAACTGGAGGAAATGTGTTTTGATGAAGTCTTGGATTTCATCGCTGTCGGCTTTCTACTTCTCGTTGCCGGAGTCAACGACGATGCTTGCAAAGGCTCTGATGACTCAGAAAGTCTCCGAGATAGTGGTGACGAACGACGATTAGATTGTCGTTGAAGTTCTTGAGAGATTCTTTCTCTTGGAATGGAAGGCTGGATGTCAGGAGCATCAAACTCGGATTCAAAACTAGCAGAGGAACTGTCCGCGTTCTGCTTTTTCGTGCCTCCTTTAGGACTGGTTGATTTCTGTTGCACGGTTTCACCGCAGCTGCTTTCTGTTTTCTGTGTTTCTGCTGATTTTGAAGATGGTTGCTCCGACTCTATTACGGTGGGTGTCCTCGAGCCGGCATTCACATCATTCCTGACAGTCGAACCCTAAACCGATTTGTATTGCATTGCTGCTCAAACAATTAATGGTAGAACATCTATACTTATAATAGAAAAGTGAATGACCTTGTCGATCAATGGCTGTGTCAGTGGAAAGGTAGTGAAAATTTAGTTCATAATGAATTTGAGATTATCATTATTGAAGGGCGGATAGCGGAATTGTAGTGATGCCAGTCGTCATGAGCACGGTGCTGGTTCGGTCCCGCTCCGAGCACACCAGGCCTCTCATCCTTCCGGGATCGAAAAAATGGTATCGGATTTGTACTGGAAAAACCCATTCGTTTTAATTCAAGTGGGAACGCTCTAGCCTGGCTATCTTAGCACTCCAGGAGGAGTAGACTCGAGCAGCATTCAGCGACATTGAAAACGAAATCCGCAAAGCAGCAACGGAAGGCACACATAAAAACTTGGAGCAATTTCGTGAACGATGGATGCCAGGAAACGAATCGAATGTGATAAGTGCTGGGGCCTGCACGGCAGACATGAGTGACGGATCGCGCAAAAAATGAGAATGAAAAATAAGTGCTTGCTCTTTCATTATTGATTGCCTTGGAATATGATACACAGTGTTGTCAAACAAAGTGAAATACTCACTGCAGAATATGTAAATTCGCTAGAAGATGTTCTGGGAGAACTCGAACTGGAACCGTTGTTCGAGCTGTGAGAAGCAGAAGACGAACCCGACTGAGAAGACGTAAATGTTAACTTTCGTGAATCGCTTGACTTTGGTGAATTTGATAACGACTTCGCCAATTCATTTGCTTCCATAGAATTTTCAAGTGAAGCAATCTCCTGAAGGGAAAATGAATAGGGATCCTCTAAGTGATAAATATGAGTAGGGCTCCATTCACATGCTGTGCTGACTTTTAAATATAGTTAAACTTCTTCTGTGCGCCGTGAAGCATTTCAAATAGATTCAAGTCGTTCTCATACAGAAAAAATGATGACTGAAGGAAAAAATGAAAATAAAGGTGGAAAATATTCCAGCATTCATTTCGAGAAAACAGTGAGATTTGTAAAAAACCAAGTTATGGAAACACAAGAATTATCACTTTTAAAGATGATGCTACTTCGAAGACGCGGAACAATACTGAATAATGGACGTGAGCAGAAAAATATGTATTGATTGCTGCGGCGAATCAATCAATATGCAGGAGCTGTACAATTGTGAGCACAGCTGTCAATGATATTGGCAATAAAGCCAAAGTACACGCTCCGCATATTCTCCTTCTGGATAGAAAACATTTACAAAGAAAATGTTTCACACACTTCAAAATCTATGGAATCCAAATCACTACCACTTTCGACCGTTTTCCGAAACGGACTTTTTGCTTTGGTGACATTCAACTTCGGTGTTACACGCTGAAAATATGGTAACAATAGATAACAATACATTCGAACAAGACGTAAAATCTCACCATATGCCTTCGATGTTAGTGCTCAGACGCAGCTTAAAATAACTGAATTTGTAAATGTTTGTTATGCAACATATCCGAGAAACAATCCTGCCTTAGCGCTTAATTACTTGGATACTTGGATACTTGGATACTTGGGCGGCCCGTCCTCACTGATTGTGCGGGCTCCAGCATATTCTCCATTTTTTCGGAGATTTGCTGGTTAAGCCATTTTGGTTTCCCAGAAAGCCGAGGTCAGCCTGGTCAAAGTTTGCTCCAGGTCGTCACCACCACAAGCAGTCGCAGCCCTTGTGGACCAGAGGGTGATTTGCTCCCATACGACTAATTTGATACCAGGACAGTGGTGGATCCTGATACTGATTTGCTTTTAGCTAGGCTTCCTGGTAGAAAGGCTGGAGTCCTTCTCAGTCTGGAAGGCCAGGCTAGTGGGATGAATCTCCCTGCTGTACATCGTAGCTCAACACCCAGGATCACCTTCCGGCCAAGATAATAAAGCAGTAGAGTGTTGGGAGTCAACGGTTATATTTATAACTAAATGGTTGCACTTTTATTGATTGTTGGAAGACTGATTATAATACTCGTACTGGTTTTTCGTCTTCTGATTCATCATGAAGTTCAGAATTTTCTTTAGTGGAAGCAGTGCTGGTTCTTCTCAAATGATATCGCTGTGGTGTTGGTGGCTTGATGAGCGAATTATCGATGGATGAACGCAATTCTCGAATATCATGAATGCTCTTTCGTGAGATTTGTAATCCTTAAAAAGCTTGTTAAATGAGAAACGTTAAACGTTGTCAGATTCTTCTCTATTATATCAACTTTTCTTCCTACCAGCATTGCCGCGTACAACGAAGTGGTAGATGTTCTATGCAATTCGCACGTGGTTTTTGGTTTGGTCCCGTGACCTTTGCTCACCAAGCCTCCCATCTCTCTGAGGTCGGAAAATTGGTACAAGACCTGTCTGCGAGGACAACAGCGCTGATCTAATACATGGATTGCCCAGCGGGAGCTATTATATAAGCCAGAGGGATTGATTAGCCCCGAACGCATTGTCCGTTACCCTTTATTTATCAACAATAATAAAGGAGTCAAAATTCTCAGAATATGACGAATGGATCAAGTAAGAACAAGCTGGCTACACCCATCACTTCATGTGCGATTGATTTATACTCGATCACTCAGCTTTCCAGTTGAAAGGATGGATTCCATGAATTGTGCCTATTCTAGTATAAACTGCATATTACTATTTGGTGTTTTTTTGGTTAAATGTTGTTGAACGCTGATCGACTCGATTCTCCTTGGAGTCATGAGATAGACGGATTGGGACGTTCCCACATGAATTGCAGAGAGTGAATTTTTCCTAGACATCTCCGGTACCAACCTCCAGACCTCGAAGGGGTGAAGTGCTTGGTGAGCCCGGAGAAGGATTGAAGGTGCCCGTGATGATCGGCATCGCTACTGCTGTGCTACTCTCTCCGCAAACCTTCGTTGACGATGGATACTAGAGAATGAATCGAAGGTGAGAAGTGCTGGGATCCGCACAGTAGCGAAAAACAGATCGTGTAAAGAAAATTCTTAGTTTCTTGGACCGAAAGCTTTTGAATCCTTACCACTAGCATTCGCCATCGTCAACTTCGGGAATAGATTTCTCGCTTTAGAATAAGTTTCCTTGGGAATGGTACTGCTTCCTAACACCTGCCGACGACTAGAAATAGGTGGAGGATATGAAAGTGCTCTGGCTCATGAGAAATCCGATGGAAGCAACATTTTCGACCAGTAACAAAAAGTTGAAGAATGTTGGAATTTCGCAGTTGTTTCAAGATTGGTGAAGTTTGTCATTAAAATGTCTGGATCAACGCCATAGAACTAATAGAAATCAGCTTTAGTGTGCTCTTTAGATTTTTTGGTTGCTCGATCACCACCGACTTCCCTATTGCGCAGCTATACAAAGAGTCGTAACATAATATTTCAAAATTGACCTTTCTTTAACCTCTGGTATGACTAATCAGTGTGTGTTCTTTCTTTGATAAACCTACACGAGGTTCACGAATATGTTTATTTTCGGCTAACCTTTCGACGTCTTCGTTTCTTGTTCTTCGTCTCGATGTGGCGTCTTCGCCTTCGTGTCGATTCAGGTCTTCCTAAGCGGGCCATTTCGAATATTAAATAATAGACCTTGGTAAATAATAACGATTATAGATAGTAACATTATATAGATTAGATTACATTATATAAGATTATAGATAGTAACAAATAATAATAATATAGATTTGAGGAGATGGCCTGCTGAGAAAGACCTGACTCGACACGAAGGCGAAGCCGCCACATTGAGATGAATAACAAGCGTGCACCGTCGACTCGGATCATCGACTCTGATGAAAACAAAGACGTCGAAAGGTTAGCCTAAAATGAACATATTTATCAACCCCGTTTAAGTTTATCGAAGAAAGAATACATAGTGGTAATGTATCTGATTCCTTAACAGTTCGACTGCGGTGCGTAAAAGGGAAGTGAAACAAAGAATTCTACCTGGCAATTCTTTCGGAAGCACTTCATTCCATTTGTTCTCGTCTTTAACATCATCGAATGGAAAATCGAGGATTATTCGCTCACCTGCTGCTAAATTTTTAAGCAAATTTTTCCACCACTCGTCTATTTTGCTCATTTCTTAAAGTTTTTTCAAGGATTTCTTCGCTTGTACCATCATTTCCACTACCGGGATACTTTTTTGCATCCGGGCGAAAAAAAAAGATAAAGAACAAAATGTGTAAGAGGAATATTAACATTTCTCGGAAATAGGATGAAGGAGCCAAAGGCACTGGTTGACTATAATTTTTCCTCATTTCTACTAAATTTCGCTTTTAGAAACTATTGCTTTTCTTCTGGTTTGTTTTTAGAATTAAAGCCGTTGTGGCTGATGACGGTGAGCGATGATTTTAGCGATTTTGTTCAACTTATTGAATTGAAACGGGCACTTGCGCTACTATCAGTTCCGCTTCACCGCTCTTCATTCTTTTCCTTTCCATTCTTCTCTGTTTTATTCTATTCCAATACTCTTGATTTCACTCTCAGTTTGAAGGAAACTACAGGCATAGTGTGTTTCATTGAATGATTGAACAGAAATTACTATTGTTATCGTACCACTTGACGTTGCACTACTGGACGACGCCTCAGCAGCACCTACTTGGTTTCGGCCTCTTGGTGTGCTGCAAAGAAAAAAAAACTATTTATGATTGGGTTACATGAGAGCACAAACTAATTTAAAAACGACTAAACAAAAATGAAAATGAAATAAACCGTAAGGTATAGAATAGGTGAAACAATGAGTCTCAAAATAAGGGAACGGTAAACATAGACGAATTTATGGCGAATTTATGTGGATAAAAAAGCACCTTTTATTGTTATCCGATTCATTAAAGGTTGATTCGGCACGAGTTTTCTGACGCATTTCCGAAATCATCAACGAAAGTGAGCTACGCTCGGACGATAGATGAGACGGTTCGACAACGATTGGGCTTTGACTTTTCGCTCTGTAAATCCTTACGTTAAACTTTTGCTGTTAACAATGAGAATACCCTCACAACCAATAGTTTTCCATCATTTCTAGGTGTCGAATTTGCGATATACAGCGTGACTCCATCACCCACTCTCCTAGGCTAAAAAAGAGTTCGACATTTCCATCCGAAAACAGAGTTAAGAATGGAGCCCTGTAATGGGAGAGCTCGATGATAGGGATGAATGAAAAAGTAGTCCCATAGTTGTAGGTTGATCTCTGATTCCGTTAATCACTGAGCACCAGCAAAGTCTTCATTTGTTTTCGATACGGACTAAGACTGCTTGGTCTTTTTCTACTACTCTATCAAGGAACACATAGACCACCAAACTTTTCGCACGTAGTTCTTCTGTACTTGATGGAAGGGCAGCCACAGGCATTGGTAGTCTTTTCATTGGGAAAAGTTTAATCCCGACTGGATTTATTCATAGAAATCTTGAGCTTCTTTACAGTTTAAATAATCCTACTGGGAATGGGTCGAATGTCATTGCTGTTTTCTTAAATTCAAAATCCGATATTCGCCGGTCATGAAGAGGTGATAGACTATTAGAGATAGAAACGATTACAATCCGATGGTCTAGATAGCTAAATGTTTCTCTTGCTACAGTAACAATTGGATGAGAACATGGTCGTGAAAGAAATTACGAAACTAACAGGATATGCAAAACTCTGGACTGCGGGTGTCTGCGGTGGGGAGCAAACGCGCAATTATCCTTTCTGGGGTGATAGAAATAGTTGAGAAATAGGCGAAACGAAGCACCCGCATGGTGTGGTGGTAATCGCGTTAGCCTCCGGAAGGGGTAAATGCGCGTTCGTTCCCCATCGCAGACACCTGCGGTTCGGAGTTTTGCAAATATCTCAGTATCGTTGTGGTTGTATTTCGTATAATGCCCTGCTGTGAAAAATTGTAGCATGCAGCAGATAAAAACTAAAACTAACAGGATTTTCACGAACATTGTGAAATTCAGAGTTTTCGGTTAGAATTTTAAATTATACTAAAGTTAGTAGGGTATATTACAGATCTCCATCCGAGGTACAACACTAGGAGCTACCAATTTATGATGACCGCTTGGGATCATCCTGTAAAGCCAGCTGAGGACTTCAGAGAAACAGAAAACTTGCCAGAGCAGAAAAATGCGAAAATGATAGTTATTCTGGAGACTTACAGAATTCTACGTACAACGATTAGGCAGGACATAATTCTACTGAAATCCTTGCGACAATCGGAATAAACTCACTTTTTCTTCATTGATTCATTTTCACGTAGCGCTTTCGTGGCCTTCTCCAATGATTGGAGGTAGTTCTACAAATTTTTAAATTGGTAACGTTTAAACATGAAAAGTCAAATTAAGCAATTCTTCCTCCATATTTTTTACGTGGTTTTTTTTTTGAAATTTTTAAGTTGATATAATTTCTCCACTCGCCAGTGCCGATTGAGAAAGGTTGTCGGTTTTTTTCGTTGCTTTGAACATCTGAATAAACAACGGTGGTGAAAGGTAGCCGAGAACAAAAATCGCCGAGAAAATAGCTTATCCTTAGAGCGTTTTTATCTTGATTTTACTTACTAGTTAGGGTTAAAAGTAGAAAGATCAAACAACTCTCTCTGAAGACGCTTGGGTGCAAATATGAAGTCAATAAGAAGCAATGAGAAAAAGGAAGAAAAAGAATAGATATGATGTGTTCATACCCGTTCTCTCCATCATTATCGATTGTAGGTGAAAATTTGCTAGGCCTGCGAATTCTTGGATCAGCAGTGGCTCAAGCAATGCAGTGCAAAGCTGTCAACACATAAAAACCAGGTACAACGTATATTTGGCAGCTGCCATCACAACTTCATGACCATATTTCCCAACATTTCCAGTTGTTCGTTCAAGAAAAAACAGCAATGAAGCTGCATGGACGTGCACACCATTGTTGGCTCGAATCCGATCAACAATTAGTCGTGACGATCACCAAACTCGTCCACGAGGTAAACGAGGATCCGGTCCTGCGTCGATGGAATCGTTGCTGTGCCATGTTCTTATTACCAGTAGTTTTGAAGTAACAAAAATATTAAATATATTGAAGCGCATCTGTACGAAATTTGGAAACGCTAGAAAGTCAAATATTCGTTTCATTCGATAATTCCTTGCATCATAAAAGAATAATAAATGTGAACTGTTCGCTCACTTATTGATTGAATTGCAAAGTTTTGTTTCATTGTAAATAATGGAAGCACTGAAGGCTCCGCATAATTCTACGATTAGATGTTGCATTAGTATATCGTTGTTTGCTACTTATGACTCTAAATGATAAAGGGGGAGGATAGCACAGCGTTAGTGATGTCCGTCATCACGAGCATGGTGCTAGTTCGATTCCACTCCGAGCCAACCAGGCCTCATCGCTCTGGGGTCGGGGAATTAGTGTCGGACTTGTCTGGGAAAAATTCACTCTCTGCAACCCAATTGGGAGCCCTCCCGCTCGGCTTTCTCAGAACTCCAGGGAGAATGACTCTGCAAGTATTCTACGACATTGAAGATGAAATGAAAATCCTCAAGCAGCAACGGAAGCCACACGTAGAAACTTGGAAGACCTTCATGGACGATGGGTGCGAGGAAAAGAATTGGATGTAAGAAGTTCTGGGATCCGCACAGTTGTCGTGGAAACGGATCAAATTAAAAGAAATGATAAAACGTCGAAAATGAACACAGAATAGTAAAAGATAAGATATGCAGAAAAAAAACAAAATGTCATAAAATGTGCAGAACTGCTTCGAATCTCCTATTTCACTGTTGCAGTTTCCATGGTGACGCAGCCGGTGTTCAAAACAACTCCTTATTTGGACGATTGACTATCCCATTCCCACAAATCGTTCGGTCCTTAGTATATTTTCAACTTAGCTGGTACTTCGGCGGCCGGCCAAGTTTTTTTATTTTTCTTCTGCAATTCCGAATGCCCTATTCATGGAGGTTCGTCGTTAGGTTGTCATCACAGCTTTTCGCTCTAATGAACCATGGGGAGTTTGTTTTTATGCAACATACTTTATTCGAGGAGCACAGCAATTCTTAGTATTGATTCGCTCTTATTTGGGCTCCAAATAAAAATTCCGAACTCATTCTCAGTGTGAGTAAACCCTCTAGAAGATGAACACCCTGCTTTTTAATGCGGTTCGACTTCCCGTTAGTAACAGCCACCCACTTGCCGTAATGAGGCGGTAAATCACTTAAAGGGAAATCATTACTAGGTTTCTGTAACGATTCTGTAGAGAATAAAGGGTGGAAGGTAAAACGTTCAGAGGTAGGAATCAAACCGACTATCAACCATGTCCATCTCAAGGCACCTCTAACTACATTACGCACGTTCTGATGTCTCATCAATCTAATATATTACTTTGCTAGAACACAAAATAGAAAAAACGTCTTCATGTAATGTTTTCTAGAACTCAACCATATTGAAAAATGGAAATATTTATGCTTAGTTTAAGTGCAGTAAAAGCAAAAAAGGATAACTGTCTAGTAATTGAGACGTTGTCATGAGATCTAGAGCGCATTAGATAGGAAAATGGTTCTCTTTAGATCGGCAGAACATCTTTATTCATATACATACAAACAAAAATCGGAAAGAAAACTCTCTTTAGTAACGGTAGCCATTAGCATACGGTGGTTCAAAGCCTTGCCCATCGACAGGCGGTGGGGTTTCAGCAACTGAATTTGCAAGCGGTGACGGCTGAAATGTGTGCCTTGGTGATATTGAAAGAGCTTATATATCAGAGTGGAGACAATTCCTCTTCTACTAAAGGTCTACGTTAATGTTTAAAGTGTTAACGAAACTCAGCTTGGAATTTTCACCTAACGTTTAATAGCTCCCAAAAAGTTCCTCTTTTTTCACTATTTTAAAGCTAAAACTTTGCCTTTAATATCTCTTTTCCATAGCAACTTTCAGATGAAACAACGTTGAGCACTTTTATTAATGAAACGTTCAGGTTTTTCAGCTGTAAAACCGGCCCTCAGATCGCAAGAAAAAATTGATGAAATCGAAAATGACATAGTGGAACGAGAAGTCGGTAGCACCATAGGCTCGGCTCCTTGTTCCTGATTGGTGGGCAGTCCTACGAAACATGTGCGATCCTGATCTGGTGATTGGACGATGCGTACACAAGAGGATTACGATCAAACATGGCAGGTAGTGTAACAATGTGCCGAGAAAATTAACCTTTTAGGTTAATGACTCACGAAAAACGCAATGTTTTTGGACGTTTGGCAACCATTTAGTCCCGTTTTTTAGGCTATTGATTATGATGGTGGCGCGTGTGGCGCAGTGGTTGGAGGCGCCACTGCCGACACAGACGTGGAATCGATCCACGCACTCATGGCCCACTGAGCCTTCCGTCCCCCGGGGTCGCAAATTGGTGCCAGACCTGTTTGCGAGGATAGCAGCACTAGATGGATACATTGGTAGGCCACTTAGAGTCACTGTAAAGGCCACATTTGCATTCAATCGCCTACAGCAATACTTAATGAAGTCGAATGCATGGCGCATCCCTCAGGGATTGATCAACGCCGAGAGCTTTATCCTTTTATCCTTTATTGGTTACGATTACAATTGATTACTACGGATTAGCGAACTTACTGTTGGGAACCTTGTTTGTTCGTACATGATCTCCTGTTTTTGGCGTTTATCCTTCGACCGATTAATTAGCCACACAACCAACCAAATAAGGAACGCGATGATGACTAATATGCAGAATATTACGATCAACGCCACTGCCCATCCGTACTTAACGTGCCTGGAGCGACGAAAAGCATTTGGGATGCTATTTAATTCATTAAAATCTTGAATTTGATGATACTTTATGCCTATGAGCAGAAAAAAACAACGAGCAACAACATAATTTGGGTGTAAAGATTATCGGTTTTGAAAATTCACGTTTATTACCAATAGTCTCGTTAACAAATCAGCAACTTAGCAGGCACCAATACACCCCATTTGCCCCTCAAGGCACGAAAGCTGCCCTGTGATCCCACTTGCCCAACCAGGACAGCATTTTTGGTATAATGCCTTTTTTTCCTGTCCTAGGCAGGGAGCAAATTACGGTTAGCTCACCTGGACCTACTATAGCCAAAGTTTATTCGGCTTTAGCGGGAGTTCGAGATGAAAAGTTGAACTCCTTCTCTGCTTCGATAACGAATCCCCGCTCTGTATTGCAGTAGTACGACACTCAGAAGCACTCCCATGCCATGATGAAGCGATGTACCGTTGACGGGTGTTTAAAAGGACATCACAAATAGGTATTAAAGTAATGATTTCCTACCAGTCATCGTTTTCGCAACAACCGAACTGACAGCATCCGATATCCTTGTAGCATTGTTCGACGATTCTCGACTGGCTGTTGGCAATACCGTAGAAGCAGTCATAGAAAGATGGATCAACAGCTTAAAATATAATCCGAAAATATAACAAGACATCGGCGCTAGATAAACAACACTTAGTGTGCCAGAGGTAGAGAAGATATGCCACACACAAAAGACGCTATCATTGATAATAATGAATGAAGAGGAAGACAAAAGGAAGTAGAAGCAGAAATGGTTCAGCCTTTGCATGTTCCTTCAGAACCCGTTATTCAAAAATAAGAAGCCGTGACGAAGGAAAAATACCGCTGTTGTCTCAATAGAACAAAACCCGTTCATTTATTTACATCTTTTGCATGCTTGACGTTTGCGCTCTTTATAAAGATAAACAATGGAAAACAAATGTACAAAACAAACGGAGGAGAAGAAAAACTAATCTATTGTCATAGAAGATGAGCTAGAGAAACTGTCTACTTCGACGGCACTCGCATCGCTTGCTGATTAAGTTAAGCAAGTTAGGTCATATCACAAAATCTGGACAGAGGAACATGGACAGCCTAAGAGTTGGATCGAACTGAGTTCCGGTCAATAAGCAGATTCTACCGGAACATCCGATACAACTAGCTATAAGTGAGCTCAGTTGATGAAGATGTGGACGCAGATTTCTATTATACCTTTTAAATAGCCATTATAGTTTGGAACTGAGTTACAGTACCAACGATCGGTCTACAATCACTACCAGCTTTGTAATTACGCAAACATTTGATCGAGCGGAATGTCGTTCATGGATGAATCAGAGAAAAATCGACAGTTAAAGACCGTCAGAAATATTGACACTCACTATTGATTTTCTGATCGACGAGTGTAGTACGGATAAGATTTTGCCCGTTACCAAGAATGTTGGCTCGAATGCTACCGGTGTCGTACTGACGTTGAAACGGTCTCGTTGTAGGCACTGAAAAACTTCCAAAGAAAGTTTTTTCTTCGCGTCTGTTTTCTTGTTTTAAAACTAGTACACTTTCAAGCCCCAAATGAAGGCCATACTAAAAAGATCTCCTATCTGTCACCTGCCAAATCAAATCTGTCACGAAGATACTGTAAACAGACAGTAATAACAACAAGGCGAAGAAATTACACTAGTAGGGTGACAATCTCATAAACTCGATTCACAACTTGACTAAAGAATTTTATTGAAGAAAAACCATAAGTCCAAGACTTACTAAGACCGTCCCATCTGGAACCAGAAAAACCCACAGCACTCATTGATGACAGCAGCCGGATAATTATCAGAACTTAACGAGGAATGCTCGTGGAACGCCAAACGAAGCGGGAAACAGGGGAGGCGGAAAACCAGATCGGCTCCGGCTGGAGACAGAGCTAACCACCACTTGTTGAGTTGACGTTAGGCGTGTTTCCGGATCCGATAAACATGCATCGCTGCTAAACACACACGCAGACAGCTGCGGAAACTTAGAAAGCATCCGCGAATGACAAATAAGGTTGTGAGCAGGAAACAACTATATGCATCCTTTGTTAAGCTGCGTCAATATTTAACTCATTTTCGCGATAGTATGAAACATAAATGGCCCACAAAAGTTGCTGCGCCGTTGCATTTATTTAGTCCGTAGTTAGATGAGCATGTGTAGAGCAGTGATTAGATGTGCCCCACAGTCCACACGTCGTTTTTGGCTCGATCCTTCGCCTTGGGCTCACCAAATACTCCATTTGTCCGGATTTGGCAAATTGGTAATCACTGAGTTGATACATTAGTGGTTCACCACAAGTCATGTTGCAGGCCAGATATGTATTCAATCAACCCTAACAATGCTCGCTAAAGTGTATCGGATGGCGTATACCTTAGTAGTTGAACAATGCCGAAAGCTTTATTCTTTTACCTATTTAGATACCTTCATTGATCGTCAACCCATGTTTTGCAGACCCCAGCACTTCTGTTCGGTTCGTTGTGTTGCAATTGTTATTCGTACAGTTGATATAGCGTGTGTGTGCGTGAATGTGTGTGGATTCGACTGCTGTTTGACAAGCAGTCGTCTCCTTTAGTAACTTATACGCTGACTGTAGGTCAAGCCTAGTTTCCTTTGGAATTTGGAGACTGCCATTATATTATTATTATCATTATTAATACTACTTCAACTTACTGTTTACTGCCTACTCTTTTTTACCGGAAGGGTATGTTGCGGAACATAACTACTATAATGCTGAGATATTTGCAAAACTCCGGACCACAGGTGTCAGCGGTGTGGAACGAACGCGCTAGTGTCCTTTCCGGGGAGTAACGCGCTCAATACTACACCATGCTAGTCCCTCGAATAGTAAATATACGAATAAAAAAAATAAGCAGTAAATAAAAAGGTTAAGATTATCTCAGCATCATTCAAAATTATTATTATTATTGCTATCATTACTATTATTCAAAGGAGCACAGTACAGTAGCATAAAAGTGGCGATGCCCATCACCACGAGCATAGTGCTAGTTCCATTCCGCTCCGGGTCAATTAAACTTCTCATCCCTCCGGGGTTGGAAAATTGGTACCGGACTTGTCTGGGAAAACAAATCACTCTCTGCGATCCATTTGAGAACGCTTCAGACCGACCATTCCAAGCCTTCATGGAGAATTGCTCGACCAGCATTCTACGACATTCAAGATGAAATGAAAATTCTCAAGCAGCAACCAAGGCCATATGTAATGGTTGGAAGATCTTACATTGGACAGAAGGAAACGAATCGAATGTGAGAAGTGCTGGGATCCGCATAGTAGACGTGAAGACGGGCCATCACCTGTTCCACCTGTAGTCCCGTTGGTCGTCGAGTGACTCGAGCGGGTGGCAGTAAATCTTCCATATTTACCTGTCGCGTGCAAGAGTAGCCCAGTGGGTTCTGCTTGCTCTAGGGACTGGTAGAGCATCATAACTTTCTTCAAGGCTCTTTGTGTAGAACTCTGACCATCGGGTCTGTGGTCTTCCTTCAGTACGTTTGGCATCCCGGGGAATCCGGTCACTAACAGCTTTTGTCCATCGGTTGTCACTCATAAGCACTACGTGTCCTTATCTTCGACTGTTTGGCGTACAGAACGGCATCTTTGATTTTTGATAGTTGACACAGGTCGGAGCTTCGGACCCCATCCCTTACTTGTATGAAACGGGATACTTCTAGCACGTCCTTTCGACTACGCGCTCGACAACGCTGAGTGATCTTCCATCCTACTTACGCAGCGACCATGTTTCTGACGCATACGTTAGGGCAGGAAGTACCTGTTGAGTCGAAAAGGTGTGCATGGAGTCGGGTGTTCTTTGTTCTCTTCACTACATCCTCGATGCTCTTGAAAGCCCCCCAAGCCGCTCGTTTCCTTCTACTCAGCTCTGGAGCTAAATCGTTCAACATGTTCATTTCCCAACCCAGATAGATGTAAATGGAGTATTCGGAGATAACCATTCCGTTGAGCGTAAATGGTGCATACGAAACCAATCCGTTCCTCATTAAGATCGTTTTTGTGAGATTTAGTCGAAGACCAATCTTCCCACAGGCTCTAACAAAGTCGGCAAGCGTAGGTTCCGCCTGGCTAATGTTTGGTGTTATACGGACGATGTCATCAGCAAAGCGAAGTTGGTGTAACTGCCGACCATCGATTTTCACTCCCATATTATCCCATTCCAATGCTCGCATAACGTTCTGGAGGGTGGCGGTAAATAATTTTGGCGAGATGGTATCGCCTTGCCTAACTCCTCTTTTGACGTCAATGTTAATATCGTTGTAGAATGGTGAAATCTTGGTTGTGAAATTTTTGTACAGCTCACGAAGAATCTTTATGTGCTGAGTAGGGTCACCTTGACTGTCAAGGGCTTCCATGATTGCTTCTATCCCAATTGAGTCAAAGGACTTCTTCAAATCGATGAAAGTGAGACAGCGCGGTCTTTTGTACTCTCGCGATACTTCGATAAATCTTGTTATCGACTGTATATGTGGTCCATCGTACTAAATCCTTTTTGAAACTCTGCTTGCTCAAATGGGTGCCCTTCGTCCAGTGTTCTGTCAATCCTATTTAGCATGACTCAAGTGAAATGTTTGTGGACAACATATAGCAAGCAGATTGGGCGATAGTTGCCGATATAGTGCAGGTCACCCTTCATGAGCAAATAACACGGTCTTGCCGGTCTTCCACTGAGTAGGGACCTTGCATTCAGACAGATAACGTGTGAAGAGCCGAGCCAGTATGTTTATGAGGGCTGGAGGAGGGTTGTTCAGGTGTTCTGCTCTTATCCTGTTCAGGCCTAGTGCTGTTCGATTTTTCAGCGACGAAGTGGCATGTCGGATTTCGTAAGGGAGAAGTGGTGGTACAACATATCCATCCTCCTTTATTTCATATGACGGGAGGTGGACGTGTCTATAGAAGAGATCTGAGTAGTATTCATCAATAATTTTACCAAAGGCAGTCAATTCCCCATAGATTTCCTCTGATACCTTGAAACTATGATTCCTTTCATGACAACAGCGATTTTTGTCATGAATTGACTGACCCGTTGAGGAGAACGTAATACGTCCAATTACTCATTTTTATACATATTGCTGGGTTCTTAAGAGTTTCAAGGGAATTTTGAAAATTGAAGCTTGAAATGAGTGATGTTAAGTTGAAAAACATGTGCTATCGTCATTGTGCGGATCTTAAGCACTACGATAATTCCTAGACGAATAAGTAGCGTTGAACTTGAAACAACTTTTCTTTTTGAAATATTCACCGGTTACTTAATTCCTTGTTCTTCATGTGCGTTATTTCTCGCTTAAGTCGAGGATATTGTTCCATCTCATTTATCAAACTGAGCACCAATTTCCGAGCATCACGTCAATGAACGGTTGCAGTAACGATATTCTAAACTGATAGTTGCAACATAGCTCTTTTCCTCGACAGTTCTTTCTTCCTAGAATTAGCTCATATCAGTTTAAACCACTAGCCAAAAAACTTTGCTACCACTTTTAGGAGAAAAAAAAACCACGCAAGCGATGTATTCGGCTAGGTGTTGGCCATTTGAAAAGTAATAGGGAATTTAGATATCGAACCGAAAACTTCTTCATTAAAGTCAACGATTCTGTTTATATCACTATTTTTGTTAATAAGAGACACTACTCGATTTTTCTGGTGATTTTTTTTCCAATACCGAAGTTTTCCTCTTTGACTTGGCAGATGTCCAGATTCCCTAGACGGCATCCTCAACCACATCTTGTTTGTGTCAGCTGTTTTTTCTAAGGAGTTGAAGTGGTCTCGCTGCTTGAGATACAAAATCCACTTGCGAAGCTCTGATGAATACAACAATACAGTCTCTTGACTGAGCAGTTATGCTAAACTTGCTGTAATTTCTCATACATCACCTCTATGGTCTCAACAGAAGCCTACCATAAATGATTTAACCAAGTTAAGAATAAAAATTTGTTCCTCCTCTAGATGTCCGGTAACCATTGCCATTTTGGGTCTTGAAAGAATTTAAGCTCCGTTAACGCTTCTAGACGCTGTAGCAAATATCACGATTTTGTTCTAAAGGATGCATAATTCGTAGTACGATACTATTCACACAAAGAATACCACTTCCATTTGAGGTGAATTAGTAACGTGAATGTAACTCACCACCTGTGACCCTGCTAATTATCTCTCGAACTACTTGGTTCTTCTTTGATGTTCTACGAGATAAATAGAGTTTTAAAAAATCACCTGATAATGTTTTTACGACAGTTTTCCAACAATCGTCTTGGAAGAATTATTTTGGGTCATACATGAAGTTTCACGCATGGAATAGCGAGCATAACGGAAACCATATTTACACTTTATTAAGTATTTATAGGCCTACTTAATATCGCCATTATCTTTCTTCTTGGCAAGATTCTTCATCAATTCTGGATCTTCGACAATTTTGCTTAGGTCCTAAACCTCGAAGTGTTATCATAATTAAGTAAGGATATGAATGAAACACAAATGACAACTCTTATGAATTCATAAACAGTTGTAGTTTTAATCACTAATTAGAATTGAATTGTTGATGAATATTACCTTGAAAGACACATTTTGCGAACCACGTTTTGCTGGCTTTGGCATCTGTGGCCCAGGTTTCCATCCAATAAATGAGATCACGCGGAACGTAGCGGGATATTTACCCTCTTTCGCATACATTACCTTAACTACAATCATTGTATAACTACAACTACAATGATAACATTTTTATAGGAATAAATAACACTTTTAAGACATAGCTACCGAACTGCACTTCGCACGCCACACTTACCACTTGCCACGTCATAGATTGTAGGGCATTGTGGACGAAGTGAATTGAAGCTCGCGCATTTTCTCACGCATAATTCGTGTTTACAACCCTTGAAGTCCTCTAGTTATTGAATTATTCAGTAGCCTGCAGTCTGTTGACTATCTAAAAGCAACAAGCCCGTAACCATCACGAAATTGGGCGTCGTCCTCCTCGGCAGCGGGCAAATAGAGCTTCATGCGTTAAAATGCTTGAAAGATATTTTTCAAAGCAAACGCCATTTAACCTCGGTAATAATAATCAATACCTTTATGTTTTGTTAATACGAGATTAATAAAACACCTATTCGGCTAACTTTTCAACGTCTTCGTCTTCAGCAGGGCGGACGATCCGAATCGATGGTCCACAGTCTCTCGTCTCGTCGATGTGGCGTTTTCGTCATCGTCTATAAAGTCGGATCTTCTTCAGTGGAGCACCGAAGATGAACGACTGTGGAACATCAACTCGGATCACAAGCTTTGACGAAGACGAAAACATCGAAACGTTAATGGATTAGCGGAATAAAGATGTTATCAACCTCGTGTAAGCTCACCAACTCAAACCAATGTCGACCAAGATGTTTATTCGGCTAAACTTTCGAAGACGAAGACGTCGAAGCGTTAGTCGAATAAACATCTCTATCAACATCGTGTTCGGCTAACAATGTAAGGTGTTGGAAAGATAGTTTAGAAGCTATTAGTTTCTTCCCATAAATTCAAGTAACGTATCTTCTGTAGGTGTGCTGAATACTTTCTTCCTGGAAACGAGCGTTAGCTTAAAACGTACTCTATAAATAGCATCTGCTGCTATGAGAACATCTCGTCGAATTGTTCGACTTCTGGAAAACGTGCAGTGCGACTCCGCCATCAATTGCAAATCATACATTAGCGCTAACATATTCGGATAACCAACCTAAATTTCGTTTACTAAAAAGAAGGAGATGTGAAAAATCCAAAAAAGAAATTCCAAATCGAAACAAAATATCAATCCACTTCAACAGGAACCAACTCCACATTCAGTGAAACCATACCGAAGAAGTAATCAATGCAGCGGTGCATAAAACTTACAGTTCATTGATGGATACGATTCGATCAGATTTTTCTTTCTTCATTCGAATCATTTACCATGGATTTAAACTTTAAACGCATTGAACAAAAACAAAATAATCCAGTTCCTTTAAATTACCCAAATAACCACAGCAAACAGTTCTAAAACGGAGACATGTTATCCAAAAACTGCGGATTCCTTTGTCGTAGGATGGCTGTAGTTATGAAAAGACTGTAAACGTTGGGTTTGCTCTCAGTATTTCCCTATCAATAAGTGTTCGACGTGTTGATGAACCTCAGTCGATCAATTACGACAGAAGACAACGAACTATTATAATCGAGTCGAGTTCCCAAAGTAAAAGGCAGCTGCTTACTTTTTTTGTTTGATAACTACGGCACTTGAGGATAGAGGATTTACGACAATCTAAGGACATAACCAGTTTTTTTTACAGACATTTTACATGGAATTTTTCAAAAAGAACCTTAGAAAACAATTAATACAATAAAAGCAACTTAAAAATTTACGCGTCTATAGAAGTGCATGGGCGTGTGTAGCGCAGTTAGAGGTGGCCTGGAATACACATTAGATTAGTCGCTGGTTCGACCCTGCGCCTCAAGCTCACCAAACCTTCCATCTCTCTATTGTAGGCATATTAGTATCACACTTCTGGGCGATTTGAGTGAGAGTACACATCCGTTTCTGCTGGTCCACATTCAACCACGCCAAATAGCTTTCTGATTTTTCTGTTGGGAATTTCTCAGTAGAAGCAAACATCCATAGTTTTATCAGTCCACTCCATTAAGGAGTTCTTCTACCTCATTTTACATGATCCGTCATCACATCTCGATTCGTTTTCCTCACACTCATCTTTTACAACGGTTTTCCAACAGTTCGCGTGTTGTTTCTATTACTCCTTGAGAAATTCTTCTTTACGGATGTCGCAGAATCCTGGCTGAGTTGACTCTCCTTGTATTCTTAGAAAAAGCCGAGTTAGTGTGTTCCTGCATAGGTTAGAGGAAAGCGTTGGAGACTGGGTAGAAACAGCGCCTTTGGTTCTGGCACCATTAACTACTGCGCTACTTTTCCGATGCGATTACTACATTCGAACCATTTTCACATATTTATTGATTCCATAAATTGTAGAAAATTAGGGCTAAATTCGATTTAGTTGAAATTATGCAAGGTCAAAGTTGCACACCTCAACTTCATCACTGTCCAAAGTGACCATGTCAAATCCAGCCAAATTCAACAGACTGCCGATATCCGGTGGCTTAATAAACGGAGAGATATGCGATCCCACACCACCGCATCGTTCTAGCTTAAAGCATGTCAAATACTATTAGTGGCACAAAGCAAATATGCTTGGTTTAAGAACGAAACATTATTATCAAGAATTAATGTTGTACTTTTTGCTCCAGTTCGTGCTAGCTTATTAGTCCAAAAAAAAGCCTACACTGTGTTAACTTTTTATTTACTGCCTGTTACTATTTCTCACGGCAGGGTATCATGTGAAATACATTCAGTACGATGTAGAGATATTTTCGAAACTTGGACCCCACGCCAGATTGAACCGCGACCACCCTTCCCGGGGGCTCACGTGTTACGCACGGCACCACTGAGGCCCTCGCTTTGCCTTTCACTCAGCCAGTTTCCTAGCTCAGTGGTGCCGTGCGCAACACGTGAACCTCTTGAAAAGAGTAATCGCGGTGCGATCTGGTCTGGGTTCCAAGTTTTGCAAATATCTCATCATCGTAGTGGTTGCAACTTTGCACTATTAAATTAGTAGTTCCCAGGATCGACTTTCTATTAACCTCGGCATTGGAATATGAATGCGTCGTTTTCTTGTTCAGCAATCGCGAGGTTTTTAAACAGCATACATTTACATCCATAGAAAAACACAATACAATACAACACTAGCTGACGTTTCGGCAGTATCGGCTTCTCCAGAGTCTGGAAGGGTATACTGATATGCAATCTACTAGGCCAAACGCTTCAATAACACTTACAAAAAGACGAAAAACTCTTTGGTAATTACATGATCAACAGCTTCTCGAAAGAAGACCCACCGCTTTTTCGTGACTTTCAATGAGGAAGTTTAGAACAGCTGATTATAGTCGCATGTGGTTGACGACTGCACCATCCACCGCTTTTAACGTGACTTCCAATGACAAAGTTTAGAACAGCTGATTATAGTCGCATATGGTTGATGACTGCACCATCCCACATCAAAAATTGATGTGAACATACGGGGTGAGGTCGCGTATGACCTCTGGGCATTCATCCCTGCTATTCATTGTAGGGTTTTTGGCATTGATCCAAAAAGCCTCTAGGAGTTTTCGCGCTGTTGTTTTAGTCTCCTCTGCAAAGATATTGACTTTTAGTTCAAAATCGTCTCCGCTATGCTTTTGTATCCTATGTGTGCCTAGTGGGGTACCTCGTCTTAGTTTTCGTTTGCCATCTAGGTGTTCTTTTATACGGATACACAAAGGTCTGCCCATTTCACCAATATATTCATCTCGGCAATCATTACAAGAGCTCAGGTATATCGTACCTGAACTCATGTAATCACCGTCCCTGCTGTAAGGGCAAATTACACAATTTGTTGTTTCACATAGACGGTCATACAGGTGGTTGCGAACTAATTGGCGACGTAGAGTAGCCGGTGGTATTTCAACTATCGCTACCGATTCCTCTAGACCTGCCCTTCTTAAGCATCGTTTTATAGCTACGCTTACTTCATCGCTTATAAAAGGCAACATGAACGGAACTTTCTTTTGGTCAAGTGTTTCGCTTAGGCGCGTCGCTCTCCTTTTAAACCTATCTCGCGGGATTACTGTTTCGTAGCCATTGGAGATGGCTATTTGCCAAGTCAAGTCGAGCGATTCTTTCTTTATTTCCCTGGTAGTGCACACAGAGGTAGCTGTTCGAAACATGTTTCTTTGTCAAGTAACAGCTACTTGATAGGTTTATTTGAACGTTAAAAAACGGCCAGTTTTTTCTCGGTTTCTCCTGGGTGAACTTTATGTACTGAGACTGCTCGTTCAATAATTCAAAGCATTTGTCCATCTCCTTCTGCGTAGAGAAGACGACAAAACAATCACCTACATATCTGCAGTAGAGTAGTGGCCGGAGATCGAGTTCAGGTACGATATACCTGATCTCTTGTAATAATTGCGGAGATGAATATATTGGCGAAACGGGCAGACCTTTGTGTATCCGTATAAAAAAGCACCTAGATGGCAAACGAAAACTAAGAGGAAGCACCCCACTAGGCACGGATAAGATACAAAAGAATAGCGGAGACGATTTTGAAGTAAAAGTCAATATCCTTGCGCAGGAGACCAAAACACCGGCGCGAAAACTTCTTGAGGCTTTTTGGATAAATGCCAAAAGCCCTATGATGAATAGCAGGGACGAATGCCCGGAGGTCATACGCAACCTGACCCCGTATGTTCACATCAATTTCTGATGTGGGATGGTGCAGTCATCAACCATATGCGACTATAATTCTAAATTTCCTCATTGGAAGTCACGTAAAAAGCGGTGAATTTTTCGAGAAGCTATCGATCGTGTAATTACCATAGGGTTTTTTCGTCTTTTTGTGTTATTGAAGTGTTTGGCTTAGTAGATTGTATATCAGCATACCCTGCCAGGCTCTGAAGAAGGTGATACTGTCGAAACGTCAGCTGCTGTTGCATTGCATTGTGTTTCTCTATATAAGTAAATGTATGCTGTTTAAAAACCTCGTGATTGCTGAACAGGAAAATGACGCATTCATATTAAATTAGTTATGCATTGCATCATATAAATAGTAACAGAAATGACCCAAAGAGCCGAACCAAACCTCCGCTAGTTGAAGTGAACATCTAAGTTCAAATAATGTGTCTTCTGCGAGCAGTGCTCCAATGATTGGACAATCAGGTTTGAGAATCTCGTAACAACGACGAAACCTGAATTAATCTAGAAATTAACCACATAACGTTGACCTCCTTTGATTCGACAAAAGCTATGTAATGCTCTCAGTATACTACACACCGAATGGATTCCTTAAAAAGAGGATTTAAAAATTAAGCAATCAAGCAAACAACCTGTAAAAAATAAACGAACCACTGAGGAAGGTCGTTAATCCAGTGCGCAGAAAGAGAGGATAACAATAGATCGAAGCGATCGGCTGTGAACTGCTCCAGGGTTTCCTCATCACAAACCACACGTTCGATTCCCACCTGTACATCTTCGACTTTCACATTCTCAATTCAGTCTCTTTTGGAGTAACTACCTCCTTAGACAATAGAAGAATGGCCAGTCTAAAATATAACCAAGAACTACTTACTTCCTTATCATCTGGTCCTTTACTTTTCTTTACCATCTGCTCACTCATGTCGCATTGTATGAGCTTTCCCACGTTCTCCTTGATCATATGGGGAGCGATATGACCCATTCCACAGCCGATATCCAGTGCTACCGGATTGAACTTGGTCAGATCAAACACCTATTCATTAGATGGAGCTACAGCTACATAAATGCGGATAAGAACTATCCTACCATCATATAGATCTATGCTTTAACTCGTCTATCAAAAGCCAATCACCTTATCTGCTACTCTCCATCCAATTTCGTCCTTCAGATATTGAGCATCATCAAAATCTGGCTGGCAGGCTGCCCAATCTCTTTGTCTTCGTTTCAACTGCCTATCGAACACCTGTTATTGAGGAAGCTCCAAGTTCTCTCCCATTAAAGAAATGTTTAATAATAATTTCAATAAAATGAGAAACTTCAGTACAAAGCTAAAGAACGTTTGCTGTTTAAAGGCCTTTTTTTCCTCAGGATTCCGATAGTAGTGCTGTTCCAGTAATCTTCATGGAATACAGATAACAAGGACGTTTTCTACCCTGTAGTTTTCACGTATTAGAGTTTTGTTTGAGAAACAAGCAGATCTCTAGATTTTACTTCGAAACGTACAAACCATCGACTGTAAAAGAAATTTGCAATTTGGAATAAAAGTACTAGGACTGTATATTTTAGAAGCAAGATGCAAAACCATTTGTTTAAGTTATTTGAAAGCAGTGAAACTTTAGATTCAACAGATCCAAGGAAATCTAATATTTACTTTCATAGATTCTTAGGTAACGCGTTGTTATATGTTGTATGAGCCTCAAAAAACTATAGCGATGGAGTTCACGTGTAAGTTCGCCTGTGGTTTGGAAACATTCTGTCTTCCGTTCTTATTAATTTTTGTAAATAATAGTAGAGTCGAGCCGTTAACCAGCTTTTCGTTGCAGTCAGATTCAAGAGAGTTTTGTTACTTTAGGAAGAGTATTGTTCCAGAATAGTAGTAGTTAACACTATTAACTGGCCAACTGAACAAAGAATTTGTGACAATCCGAACTCAGAAACAACCACAGGTGAAGACGGATTTTGTCAACATGACGCAAACTATTTAATTTTATGGCTTAGGAATCCCGATATCTTAGATGCATTCATGGATCAAGTAGTTTCCAACAAGGCTTTTGTCGCTGTAGAATTTTCCCTCACTTTTCGAAATGTCTGTAAAGTGGTTGTCAGCAGTCGTCGACGAAACGTCCAGTGAATATGTGTAGCACAGTGTTTCGATCGAATGCCACAAAAATACTTTGTATAACTCAAGATAGGAAGCTACCACATATGAAAACTGGTTCTTATGGAAATAGTTTATGGCATATCCATCACAATCCTCAATTTAACAGCACAATCCCTCTAGGGCGCATGTAGCGCAGTGGTCAGAGGCTCCTTGCAATACACATGGGATGGTTCCCCGCGCCACAGGATCACTAAGCCTTCCATCCCCTCGAGGCCATCAAATTGGTACCAGACTTGTCTGCGAGGACAGCAGCACTGGCTTGGTACATCGGTAGGCCACAGCGAATCGTTGTAAAGGCCAGATATGCATTCAATCACCTCCCACGATACTGAATGAAGCCGAGTGTATGGCGCATCCCTCAGGGATTGATCAACCCCGAGAGCTTTTATTCCTCCGAGAGGTAAACGAAGCTACAGCAACCTCTTAGTGATTGCTGGTGAAATTCGATTACTTCTTCGATATTTCCTTTGCTTGGAAAAGCGTTTTAATGCTCCAAAAGCCGCTAACCAACTCGTTTACCGACCCGACAAAACCGTTTTCTATTGTGGGCAACGCTGATGACTACCAAAATTGAAGACTCTCCTTGACGCATTTGTGCCACCATGAGCCACGCACGTCTCTTTCATGGCATAGAATCCGCCACTATTTTTTTAGCACTCAATCGATGTGCACTTTCATCCTTGTACCGTGTCGCAGTTGCCTAGTAGGTTCTGCTCGCTCGAGGGACACCAAAAACATTGAATTTTTCACAGTCCTCTTCGTGGAAATTTCTGACCATTCAGTCGAAGGTCTTCCTATTGCCCGCTTTGCATCACATGAAAGCCGAATACTACCGGGTCCGCTATATAGCTCTTGGGATGAAAGGTCCGCAGATTGCATAGAAAGGAAGGGAAAACGATAACAGTGTTTGAAGGTTACGAATAAAGGAACTCCTACTCAACGAGAAGCACTCCGCATTCGCCGCTGTTTCCGATTTTTTTTCACCAAAGACCACTGTGCTATTTTCGATCTTCTTTTTCACGAAAAGCCAAGTAATCAGGTAGCAGTGTACAATCGGTACAGTGAACAGAAATTGCAGAAATTGCCAAAGAGTACCGTTTCTTGAGAATTTCTGCTACAACGTCATACTTATTTTTACCCGAATTTCACTTAACTACAGTGTGAACAATCAATATCCTCTTGGACTGTTCAGATTACACCAGGTTATTACAAAACTTCTATTCGGCTAACGTTTCGGCCCCTTCCACCTATTCAGAAACATACTGATTACTCATGCCGTCGATTAACAGGTTAAGGAAAAATGGGTTTAAGAAGTATTACTTTGCTATGTGCTCCCTAGTCTACCATACCGACGGATTGTCTACATGAAAACAAATTATCAGTGCGAAATCACTTAAGAACTGTCCCGTAGAAAGGAACACTGTCAAGTGAGCTACTTCATTAGCGTGGTGCTCAACTGGACTCAACTTGGTGAGATCGAGAAGACCCACACTGCAAGAGTGAGTGGCAGTGGACAATCGACCTGAGTCACTACAGCCTTGAAGGTGAGGGCACCGAAATGTTAGGCGAATAAGAATCCTATAAGGACCTCGTGTAAGCTGAACAACTCAAAACGATGGTGGCTACACTTGCTGACGAGCAGATTGCAACTAGAATTAAAACTAACACGGTTCCTCGTTGGCGCTTTCGCCGCTGTGCTGGCGACTTCTGTGGCGACGAAGCGAGCTGCTCGCGAACTCGGAAAACATGGAAGACAACGTAGAACCTGCTGAACTACCATATATCTGAAAAATGCGACGACTAGTTTTGCTATTACACCAGTTAGTAAGGTGCCAATTCGTGAAATGTTCGTCTGGAATAGGAGCACCAACCCAGGACAATCGATTTTTCGTAACCTTCGGACTTAACTAGTTCATAGTTAATGGTTCTGTAATACAGTTCTAACCCAACCATGTACTGTAGACCAGAATAAACCACACATTCACCGACATTTTCTGGAATATCAATTGTCTTATCTTCGGTGGAGCATAGACAAAATTCCAATTTCCGTTTTCACGCATTCGCATCCATGCTTGTTTTTTTTCCAGACGTGTTGGCGTCTGCTAGCCCCATACTTCGATCTATAGCATGTCTGCAATTAATACTGCGAATATTTGATGTCTGTGAGCAACACATCTGTCTATCTTGTATTCGGATTTCCTAAAAGATGCTTTAATCCTTCTGGTGTCCAATCTATTGTTCTTCATTCTAATCTGCCATTCTCGTCTTCATCTGCCGCATCCGAGTCTTGTGATCCAGTCATGTTCTTATCACATGACTGGACCATATAGACTCACTTTCCTCAAATTTATAACAGATCGTCGGGTGACTGCTAAATCTGACGAATCTGGTTGGTTTGAATACAAGGAGTCATCGTCGGCGGTGCCTTCTCTAAGGGCGCAAAGCAGCCGGTGATGCTGTTCACCACCTGGAAGCTCCTTTTCTAAGGAATTCACAATGGTCATTGGGACTTCTCAGATATGTGCAACATGTGATCATCGTTATTGGGAAGTCAGACTTCAAAGGAAAAACTATGGTATTGTAAAGAATGATGATGAATGGAAGCACTGATAGGATTTCTCTAACAGGTTTGCGCTATCTTCATTCCAGCTGAGACTGCAATGTAGTAGGAGAAAGCTTTCGGAGTGACGAATCAGAAATTATCGACGTTCGACATGAGAATTGTGAAAGGCAACATGGCGCAGTAGAACTCTAGCAGGGCTGATAGTAGTACATGTTCACGAGGATTTCAATTACAACTCTTTGCTCTCCTTCGGTTTCTTCTTCACCTTCTATCTGCCGCCAGTACCTCTATTCTTCTTACACCGTTGTAAAGCCCACAGTGACATCTCCCAACAATGTTTGCTGAAAATATGTTCAATAAAGTCTAATCTTTATACAGTTCTCTTCTTTCCTCGGACAACTCTTCCTGTACGATTCTGTTCCCTCTTCCTAGAAAAAACGAAGTGCGCTCAAAATACTTTCGGAGCCCACTGGCAAGCACCTCATCTCCTGAAATACAAGGCTTATGGCTGAATTGAAGATTCGCTCCTAGTGTTGCACACTACTTGGATAATTGGATGTTCCGTACTCATTGGCTGTGCGGGCCACAGCATAACTTCCACCTTTTTGGAGTTTTGCTGGCTTAGCTATTGTGGTTCACTGGAGTCCCGAGGTCAGCCTAGCCAAAATTTGCCCCAGGTCTTCTCCAACAGGAAGTCGGCACCCTTGTGAATCAGAGGGAGATTTGCCACTATGAGATTAGTTCAATAGCAGGACGGTGGTCAACTCTGGTATTAGTTTACACATAGCTGAGCTTCCTGATGGAAACATCGAACTCCTCCTCAGCTGGGGAGGCCCTTCTGGATTCTCCCCGTTGTACATCGTAGTCCTACACCCAGAGACACCTCCAGCTGAGGCCGAAACCGTCGGTAGGAGTGTTGCATATTAAGAACATCTGAATTTGGATGTATCACATATGCACTTTATTCTATTTGTACGGATGTAGTTGACTCCGATATTAGCTCCACCATCAGGCTCCTTCCATTTACAACCCTGATTCCCTACTTTTCTAAAAAATCGCTTTAAAAAACATCTATGTCTCAGGGAATAACCATTACTACAATATTAATGCGAAATTACTTCTACAAACAGAATTTAATTATATTGTTTGGAGTTAACACCCTGCAGAATCGAATAGTCATTAGGAATTGGGAAAATTTTATTAAGCCTTGGTCCTTTAAGAAAAATGAAAAGCTCCAAAGCAACTATACAGCAAAAAGAAACAACAGAATACCTGTTTTAAATGAAATGAAACCTCGTCAGAGAAAACAACACTGAAAATCGTATCAAAAACGGAACATAGGCGCTAAATAACAACATAAAGTGACAACATAACAAATACATGCTGTCATTCAATTCCACCCACTCCCAAGTGAATAAATTAAATACGGAATTAATAATATGGTAACGCACTAGTACTACTAGTAGTACCAATAGCCTAAAGCCTGCGAAACCTTTCATTTCAACATTCTGCCATAGACTCTGTTCATCAAAACAACCGCGTTCGCGTCTTTTACTACAAAAATTCATCACGAAAACGACTAGTCAGATTTATAAGGATTAGGAGAATTTTGACTTTCGTTTATAACGTTCAACACGATTTACAACTAAATAAACAAGGATACCAATGTGATACACATGAAGCAGAGCGGAAGAGAGTACAGTCGATGGATAGACATTCCAACAAATTTCGATCCCAATTAGTACAACCGTTCTGAAATTAAGAGACGAGAAGGTCAAAATCCAGCAATCAAAGAGTGTGATATAAACATAGATAAAAGCTTCCTCACTGGTTGCGCAGGCCCAAGCATTATCTCTATTTTTTCGGAGTTCTGCTGGTTTAGCCAGTGAGGTCCCCAGCAGTCCCGAAGTCAGTCTAGCCAAAGTCTGCCCCAGGTCGTCACCACTAAAGGTAGTCGCCGCTCTTGCAAATCAGAGAGAGATTTGCCACCTTGCGACTTTGACACCAGGAAGGTGGTGGTTCCTGGTATTGGTTTACTCTTAGCTAGGCTTCCTGATGGAAACGCTGGACTCCTTCTCAACTTGGGAGATCCTGCTGGGGGGAGATGAATCCCCCCGCTGTACACCGCAGCCCGACACCCAGGAACGTCTCCCAGCCACAATTAGGCGGTAAACCGTTGGGAGAGTACAAGTATACTGAGCATTTTGTTATTATAAAAAAACAATACAAGAACTAGCAACCATAAACTCACTTAATAGCTGTTGATAACCAAGGTATGACAACGGTTTGTTTCACATTCGTTTGTTCCTTTTGCTCCCAAAAAAGCAGGAATGGCAACTGGTGGTAGTACCAACAATAGAATTGGTAGTGAAGTGAGCGAGCAAATGTTATACCGATCAAATTGGCAGTGAATAAGGCATACAGTGTCTCTGAATTAAATGTATTAGTGAGCTTAGGGATGACTTTATCAACAAATATCTAATTACCGCCTACTCCTGTTCTTGTCCGAATACCATACGACAGTTCTATAAGTGACGCTCTCAAGCCACCATGAGATCTACAAGTATGAGGAAACAGCATGGAAAAGAAGTTAAAAGTGACAGCAAAGAAGTCATTGAGAAAGCTAAGAAATAAGAAAGACGTAAGGAAAAATCTAATACAACAAGGCACACCTGAACCAAAGATAGTATCCGAATACCATTAATACTACTAAGTGACAAGACAGCAATGCTAAATGAAGTCGAGAAGACAAAAATACCTGCAAAATGACACAACGTTGTGCAATAAGTCGCTTAAGTTCTCGACCTATAAATCAAATGAACGAATACAGTACGCACTTAATCTACTACCAATCATGGGAATGACGTAGTACTGAAAAATTTCTGTGAAGAATAGTCATTAACGAACCTCTTCTGGAAGGAAACGCCAGTTAACTGTCCACTTAAATAGGAAAACTCTACCAAGATCGAAGGACCGCTGGATATATGAAGTAGGGTCATACATGAGAAATGGCATTCCAACGTAAACCTATAAGAAAGATTTAGGAGGCAGTGACAATTTGAATTTTATAGAAACATAGCAATATCAAAAAGTCAATGTGAACTGAACAGTTGCCCTACGGTAGAATAAATACTTTACATACCTGAACAGCGGCACAGCATACCAAATAAAGAGCTGTTCGCCAAATCCCAACATTTAGCAGCAGAATGAAAAATACCGAAGGCACGAAAAGTAGAACATTCATTTTGATCGAAACGGCGAGACTAAATTGGATTGTTGATATATTTACTTACGTGATCTTATAACCAACCTCGTGTCAGCTTAAGAAGATCAGTTTATAAGATCACATAAACAAATATATCAACTATCTATGCCGAGGTTTATAGAAAGTCGGTCTTTCGAGTTATTAAATTGGATTGTTATGGCATGGACAAAAATGGAAACCGAAATTGTGAAAAAAGTTAACCCCTTAAATGACTTGGAGCGTCATTTTAAAGGAGACGCATCTAGATGTCGATTTGCTAAGTGGGACTTCATTTAAGAGTAAACCTGCGCCACAAATAACCACCATTCTGACGGCGACGTAGTCAGTGGCGGACTAGTTGGTAGCGGAGCAGCGGTGAAGTGGTGCCACTTAGGAAAAAGCTAGCATAGGGTCAAAACTAGACTATAAAGGATAAAAGCTCTCGGCATTAATCTATGCCTGACGGATGTACCATGCATTCGACTTCACTAAGCATCGCTGAAGGTGAGTGAATGCACATCTGGTTTTTACAATGACTCGCGGTTGCCTATCGATGTATCGAGCCAGTACAGCTATCCTCCCATACAAGTCTGGTTCCAATTTGCCGGCTTCGAAAGGATCGAAGGTTTGGTGGGCCTTTCGTGGGCCTAGGGCGCAGGGATTTATCCCGTGTGAATTGCAGAGCGCCTCCGACCACTGTGCTATGCGCGCCCCTCGAGACTATAGTCAAATAATATCTTACCCGACTAACAAACCATTGGTCGACTAAAAATTTTCCGGAGTCCACAAGATTGCTCGAAGACGATTCATTCGAATGTTCATTTGTTCACATACAAAAACAAAATAAAACAATAGAAAATCAGCTTTTGATGAAAGACTTACCTGTACATAACACATCCAATCAACCACTGCTGTGATATGAAGAAATTGGCGGCTAAGTAGAATAACAGCATTGCAACCGGATCGTTGAATAGTCGTAACACAAAGATCGAATGAATTCGATAGCCGGTGAAAGACAGAAACACGAGGACAAATGGAGATATCTGGATAAAAACTGTCTCTTCTTTTGACGGTTTAAAGCAATGTACACCATTAAAATAAAGGAAATCCTCATGCCAACCTTATTAGATTTATAATACAACCGAAAAATCGCCAATAGATTGACAAGGTAAAGGCACATAAATATATATTGTGCCGTACGGATATCTTTCCCTTCATTTGTTAGCGCATGAAAAACCTTGTAGACCTGTAGGTGACCAGCCGGATACCTCAAAAATTATTGCCACTCGAATGAGATCACGAGGAAAAACGAAATGAGTACAGCGAGACAGTACTCGTACTGCAACCTGACAAATGATACAGTCCTGAACTAAATTTGAAATAGAAGCAACTCACACAACGGGTCCTGTATCACCTCCAATTTTGGAATAATTACGAATGTTCTTCTTGGTATAGCATTCAACTTGTTGCATATACGTCGACCAATCAATCTCAGTGTCTGTATGTACTAATTTTCCAGTCATAACGATGCTGAGATATTTGCGAAATTCCGGACCTCAGGTGTCTACTGTGGGGGACGAACACGTAACTACCTTTTTGGGGCCTGACGTGTTTTAACTGACTTTACAATATATTGCTATCTATACGTAAAGAAAGAAGACATGGCTGTCATGTTCTCTAGTTACCGATCTGATCCAAACAATTGAGAATTACGGTGAAAACGCCGAATAAAGAAAATGATCCCAGAGCAAAATACTAGAACGAATGGCAGGCAACTCCATGTCAATTACTACTGACCGTAATGAACATAGCGATTGGTGAATAGTGCACGCCATCAAGTGTTAAAACCGTAATCCCATGCTCAAGTAAAGACTTACGAAGTGCTAAGAGCTTTCCTTCACATGCTCACACTTGGACCATCTTTAAACCATAGGCCATCATCGGATATATACTTGATGTAAGTCCATTTCATCAGATTTAGATGATACACAAATGGAAAGAGAGAACTTACATGGCACATGATTGATGATGAGGAAGGTTGCAATCAAATCAACAAGAAAGATGACAGAACTGACGAGTACGAATCCAGTACTATTCACTGTGAATAGGAGCCGTAAGGTGCTACTCTTAAGGGACATCTAGAAAGTAGTTCACTCTAACCATTCTTTCTCTAGTTTAAACATCAGCACGACATGGTGAAAGAGTAAGCTTATTTAACTCTTCCGTTGACGACCAAAACGCATAGTTCAACCTTTATTTGCAAATCTGTTCAGTGAAATACTATGAAGTTCTTAAGCAAACAAGTGACGTGAACACGAAGATACATTGTACATTGTACATACATTCCTCATAGAAAGCGGCTCTGAGGAAGGCGAAATCCGCCGAAACGTGAGCTTATTCGTGAATAAAGAATAATAACAGCTCGCGTTTGCTCAACAAAAACACGAAGAATTACAAATATTATCATTCACAACAGAGCTTGCAGTGAGTAGTACTACAAACACAGAAAACAATAGTACTACCGCCGGTAACGATACCGTTTAAACACAAACCACAACTGAAATACACCATTCTGGAACTGGCACTTATAACCGTGTTTATGGCTGACTTCCCATTCACGATTCACGCACTTGAACGCAATATCTTCATACGGAGGACCTGCCTTAAATATAGCAATAAGTTAATATCGTGATTTCAACTACAGCCTCATCTTAACTGGGTTCAAGGCCGATTTGGGCTCCCCAGATCAACCCCTCCGAAAGTGATTGCCGATAGCACTGATCGATAGATTAAGATAAGAGACAGGTCAAACAAAAGATCTGCATGGTGTGGTGGTGAACGCGTTAGTGCCGGAAAGGGTTACAGTGCGTTCGTTCCCCACCGCAGACACCTGCGGGCCGGAGTTTTGCAAATATCTCAACATCGCTGTGGTTGTATTTCACATAATACTACAGCTTGAAAAATTGTAGCAGGCAGCAAATAAAAAGTTAACGTGTAGCGATAACAAATGCAACCACCATTATACATAGCAAATGAAAGCAAGCGAGAACACAAACCTTAAACCGTATAACGGCAAAATCTGGATCATCGCACGGTGTGACGGTAAACGAAGGAGTCTGCGATGCATCCAGCAAATCCGGATAGAAAATCTGCAAAAGGATGAAAAGTGAACGTGTTCCAACAACGTATATTGAAGAAAGGATATCAGCAAATCTCGATAGAACCATTATGAAAGGTACATAAGATAGCGGAAACTGTGATCCAACTTACATTGAATTTATACCCTTGAACGATTTTTGGAGGCGGATTATCCATGTCATAATGCGTCTGATTATATTTATTCCAATCAAATCCTGTCTGGACGCGATTCAAATATGTCGGCTTGCGAGGTCGATATTTGTCCGACCATAAATGGGACTGAAAAACATGCTCTTTTGGCACCTGTAAAACATTTCTAAAAAATACATCATGTAAAATGTTATATATGGAAACAATTTATTTCAGAGAGAAAATTCTTACAAATAACCAACAAGAGAAATGACTGAACGGTTTTTATAAAGGAAACCAGAACTGTTTTATAGACGGGTTTCATAGACGGATAGAGAACTCTTTTTGTTGCAATACTTCTCAGATAACAATGCATGGAGTAGCAGTTTCCCCAAACATGTTAAAGGAAATATTCCTGAATAACTGTATGGTCCGTCTTTATTGGTTGTGCGGGCCTCAGCATAATTTTCATTGTTTCGGAGTTTTGCTGGCTTAGTCATCGTGGTTCTTTGGAGAATGGAGGTCAGCCAGGTCTAAGTCTGCCCAAAGTCGTCATCACCACGGGCAGCCGCTGCTCTTGTGGATAAGAAGATCTGCCACCATGCAACTAATTTGATACCAGGACGGTGGTGGATCTTGGTATTGGTTTACTCTTAGCTGGGCTTCCCGATAGAAACACCGGACTCGTTCTCAGCTTGGGAGGCTGCTGGTTGGATGAACACCTCCGCTGCACATCGCAGTCCGACACTTAGGCACACCTGGTAGCCACGATGAGGCGGTAAGCCGTTGGGAGGAAATATTCAGTGAATAAAAACACTAAGGACACCACTAAGAATAGTCAAATTTCTATCAACAACAATAATTAATAGATATAGTGATGACGTGCGCGTGTGGCGCATGGGTAGGAGGCGCCTTGCAAAACACATGGGGTCGATTCCCGTGCTCCTGGCCCAACAAGTCTTCCATCCCTCCAGGGTCAGCAAATTGGTACCAGGCTTACATGGGAGGACAGCAGCACTGGTTCGATGCATCGGTAGGCTACCGCGGGTCATTATAGAAGCCAGATATGCATTCAATCACCTCCAAACGATGCTTAATGAAGTCGAATGCATGGCGCATTCCTAAGGGATTGATCAATGCCGAAAGCTTTACCTTTTTGTTTGGATTTTTATGGTGATGACGACAATAATGAAGTAATAAATATATAATTAAGAATAACCTTAACCCTTTTATTTACTGCCTGTTTGTTTTTAATGGCAGGATATGTTGCGAAATATAACTCGTATATAATGCTGAGATATTTGCAAAACTCCGGACCGCAGGTGTATGCGGTGGGGAACGAACGCGCGCTATTGTCCTTTCCGGGGAGTAGCGCACTTCACCACCACACCATCCGGGTCCTTCGTTTTGCCTGTCTCTCAGCTAGTTCTATTGATCTATTGAAAGAATAATAATAGTAACAATAATAATACCATTGATATTAGTAATGATAACGGAAACAAAAACAGTCACAGTAGTACAACCACAACGTTGCTGAGATATTTGCAAAACTCTGGACCGCAAACGAACGCGCTATTGTCCTTTCGTTCCCCACCATAGACACCTGCAGTCCAGAGTTTTGCAAATATCCTAGCAACGTTGTGGTTGTATTTCGCTTAGTACCCTGCCGCGAAATTATAGTGGGCAGAAAATAAAAAAGGTAAAACATAGTCACAGTAATAGTAATAATAATAATAATAATAATAATAACAATAGTAATAGTAATAAAAGCAGTAATAATAATATTAGGAATAATAATACTAATAATAATAATAATAATAATAGCATTAATAATAAAACCTGAGCCTCCAGTGGATGTTCAACAGAAAAGGTCGCCTCGTCGCCTTCCATCCCTTTTCGAGCAATCGCGATCATTTCGGCTTCTACTTTCTAAAGTAAATAGAAGCCTGCTTAAGAAAATTGAAACACACCAGAAACTGATTAAATTGACTGAAATACAACAATGCGATTGTATACATTATAAAAAAAGTAAGGCCAACCGTTAAACCAGCCGGTTTCTTCCGATTTTCTTGTCTTCGTTTTAATAAATCTTTCATATCACTTTCCTCGTCCAAAACCTCGATTCCTAATAAATCAGTTTTAGAGAATTTCCAGATGGGTCACACTGAAAATGTGGAAAGTTCCGAACAGGCATACCTGGCATTGTGTCATTGATGTCGCCATAAGATGGACTATAACCGCCCCGACTATAAAGTTCTAACGTCGCAGTTTCAAGCTGTTCATGAGAGAGTTGTCTAAAACCTCAGTAATGGAGTAGTACTAAGGAGCACTACGCTTCAATGACTACCTCCAACGCATTTCTTTCTGCTCATCATCTAAATCAGGCGATTCAAGTTCATCAAGATCGATTTTCTTTTGCATCTGTTTTTCCAACTCATCCTCATCATCAGATAGTGGGCATTTCTGGAAAATGTATGTTACTGCTCCGCTTTATAATTTCACGTTGAGTAAAACAAAAGAGGTTATGAAAAGCAGATTCAGTATTTAACCTTAACTATAGCCTTTTCGTGCGAACCAACTTTTCCAACTTCCTTCATCTGCTCCTCTCGGATTTTGGCCAGTTTGAATCGTAGTTTCTTTTGGTGTAATTCTTTTAAACGTATCTTCGATATGTGTACTTTCAAGTGCACTGAAACAACGCTTGATTATTTGCTTAGCATCATACCATCAGATTTCGTAATAACGTTGGGAAAGACGAACATAAAAAGCATTTTAAGGACCCCGACCTTAAGAGAGTGCCAAAATCGGCTACTATAATGTATGTAAAACATGCATTAGCAAAGGAAGCTCCTACTGAAAGCCCAACTACGCAAACCGAACAAGGTGCATGCTATTCATGTTGTCGACCTGATCAGAACAGAACCACCCAATTAAGACAGGCAAGAAGGTCGAGCAGCAGTCAGTAAGAACTCAACAAACGACTTCTTTACTCAACTAACCACTCTAATAAGAAAGTTTTCGATGAAAAAAGAATGGTAACCAGCTCCAGCTTTGAGGATTTTGGCATCTGCGTCGAAGGTACGACGAAGATAAGGTCAAAGCATCTTATGCATAAGACCTATACAAACTTTGCAACCTTGTCAAACTTCAACCGATGAGTTCAACACCCAGATTAAAAAGGATAAAACGATTAAGCTCCCAGTGTTAATCAATCCCTGAGGGATGCACCATGCCTTCAACTTCATTAAGCATCGTTGGAGGTGACTGAATTCACATCTGGCCTTTACATTGACTCGTGATGACCCACCGATGCATTGAGTCAGTGCTGCTATCCTCCCAAACAAGTCTGGCACCAATCTGTCGACTCTGGAGGGATGAAAGGCTTGGTGAACCATGGGCGCGGGATCGACCCCATGCATATTGCCGGGCGCCAGCGACCACTGCGCTACAGACGCCCCATCACGTGGCATAGAATGATATAAAACAAGTACAGTGATGATATGTTCTCAATCATGGTGAATTAGGCCAACCATAGCAGTTCATAGTTCTAAAATCAGTACTAGCAATAATGGAAACTGAATTGTACTGGTAGTGAGCAACACAGTGGAACTGACCGTATCATTTTAATAACTGGCTCTATCTGAGCAGAGTTGGTGCTGTCTCAACGTTCTACATACTATATGGTCAAATAAAGCCGTACGACCTGAAGTTACAAGGCTCAAATATAACACCGAGCACCAGTCTCAGCAGAACGTACGCATTTGAAGACCAGAGGAAGAAGGAAGGGAAGAAGGCGATATCCGTCGAAACGTCAGCTTTTGTGAACAAATAGTATGATAATAGCCTCGTGTGCTCTTATCGAAAAAACAACGAATTACGGATCAATGCCGAGGTTAAAACATGATGTTCATAGGAAAACATGCCCTGTTCCATAACGGAACGAAGATTTTGAAACTAACAAGCTAAGTGTATTTGAGTTGGGAGGTGTATATGGAAATGGACTCATTTTCACAGCTAAACGAGTGGGAATGGTTGCACGGCTGTGTGCCTATTTGTTCGCCTACGATTACTTCTCCATTAATATATTGTGTGCTCAGAGAACGAACGCACCGTCTAGGGATAAAGCTGGAAAGCGCTCCGTTCAACAAAAATGAGAGAGGAGAACTGCGTCAATAACAGAGGATCTGGACATATCCTATATTGCTGAAAATCTGTGAAGCACACGTGTCATCAAAAAGACAACAACCGTCAGCAAGAGGACCATACGAAAGGTCAAACGGAAAGCCAGCGACTCAATCACTAGACTTACAAGGACACAGCATGTTCTTTGTGCCTTTGTTTTGACCAAAACACGTTCGAGAGTTCTGATAAGGAAGAAAGGGAACTTGCTCCATTCATTACCTTTCGAAAACTTAGCGGTTATTAGATAACTTCAATTAGAAACATTAAACATGTTTGACCTCAAAAATAATGTTAACAAACCACCAACCTAGAAGTCCTTCCCAGTACGAAATATCCGTGCCGGCACCACCGGCATTTACTTTGTTAATGATAGTCTTCTCCAGTTGACTTAACTCATCAGCACTTTTACCCTAAAAGAGCTGAAAAGTCTTATAGCCAATTTTGATTTCACGTTTAACATGAACAATTGTGCAGCCACTTGACCAATGTTATCAGCACTATCATTCTACAAGATCGCTCATGACCTAACTTGTTAACAGCGACGCTACGTGGACTTGCAGTTGATAAAAGGTACATCCTCATTAGTGCATCTTATTTCACAGAAACCGGTGAGTAAATCCTTCCATACTCTCATGGCCGAAGTCGATTTCGATGACATGGAACCAATGGAAGAAATGGACGTATCCTCTAATGAAGTAGGGCTTCACATTCAATTGCATTCAGTTATCACTTCTAATATTTCAATTGTTACTGCAAACAGGTTCCAACTGGTCCGCCAGCTAAAGAAGAAAACGAAAAATGTGCTTTTGATGGAAGTGAACTACCTTATGTGATTATTAATGGAATGCCAATGTATCAGAAAAACCACATTGTCGACAACCGTTGTCAGGTGCTTTCATTTGCCTTCATTTTTCTCAATAAGTGCTTTCAACAGATTATGCAGCAAAGGAATTTTAGATCTTCGAACGTATAGGCTGGGATGACCTAGTCGGTGCCACCTACCTAGCAATCGCTCCCGATGGCAAGGAACTAGTTTTGCGCGTGGGGAGCGAGCAAATACTCATTCCTCAGCTTGAAGCATCGTTTTTATGCAAGGTGGTGCGCTAAATACACTTAGAGCCACAAATGGTGTGGAAAATATCTTTTTACGATGCAGGGTTTTTACTTTTATTTGAAAACAAGATTAAGTCCTATGATAAGACCAAGTTTCCCAGATTGAGGAGAAAAACCTATGGCGCTCTTTCTCGCAAGTGCATTCTATTTGGCAAGGAGAAAAGTTCTACTTCCTTTCGCTATATTTTCGCAGTGGACCGTTGCTACGTGAATGTTTCCAATTCTGTGGAAGCAAATTTAGTCTCGGCTCAGCCGGTCGATTGGCCCTCGACATTTTGCAGGTAAGTTTAATTACAGAACAATTTTTCAGTTTAATGAGATGTTTGAACATGCACGGTGAAAAAGTTATACAAACAAATAAAGGAAGTACTAACTGTTTCTTTAACCAAGTGACGACAATGCGATCCACACAGTCATATATGAAAGGAAACAACAGTATTCCCACTTAAAACACCGATATCTAAGTTCACACTGAATGTCATGAGGTCAATGAAACGCATTTAAATACTTATTCTACCATGACACAATTCACAAGTCGATCTCACCCGGCAGAAACCCGTTATATCCCTAGATCATTCATTGATCCTGACGGCTACTACCTGAAAAAAGGACAGAGCTTTCGGCGTTGATCAATCCCTGAAGGATGCGTCATGCATTCGGCTTCCTTAAGCTTTGTTTGGATGTGAGTGAATGCATATCTGGCCTCTAAGTCTGGTACCAATTTACCGAGCCAGGAGGAATGGAGGATTTGGTGAGTCTTGGGCGCGGGTGCCCATCCAACTTGTGTTGGAGGGCGTCTTTGCACTGCGCCACAAGCGATACCACAATGGCACCCAACAATAGACGGAAAAACCACCTTAACACATTCGCAATGATGTGAACCTCTATAGGAGTCATTGACAACACTGCTCATAGTGAATTTTATCAATTGCGATAAAACCCATTAAACTCTACAAATTCCCGTCTAGAGGACCAAAACTCTCTTGTTCCAACATAAATTCAGACTTTCTGAATATGTTTGTATATGTCCCAGTGGACAAATTTCTCCAGCTTTATCTATTCAAAGCTCATACTTCGAACATTAAGGCGAATGAACAGGAAGGATTTTTTTCCAACAGGAAAAAGATGGCATTTCCCAGTGCACCGTTTACCTTTTCAACTGTGACACTACCTTTGAAATTTTAAAAACTCGAACTTTGACATTAATTTTTCTGGAAGCTGCAATTCTAAACATGTTCCAACATGAAAGGATACTGTATGAAAACTATAGATGTTTTCTTGTTCAGCAATCGCGAGGTTTTTAAACAGCATACATTTACTTCCATAAAAAAACAATACAATACAACGCTTTTTCGAGAAGTTGTTGATCGTGTAATTACCAAAGAGTCTTTCGTCTTTGTGTAAGTGTTATTGAAGCGTTTGGCCTAGTAGATTATATATCAGTATACCCTTCCAGGCTCTGAAGAAGGCGATACTGCCGAAACGTCAGCTAGCGTTGTATTGTATTGAGTTTTTCTATGCAAGTAAATGTATGCTGTTTAAAAACCTCGCGATTGCTGAACAAGAAAACAACGCATTCATATTCCAATGCCGAGGTTAAGAGAAAGTCGATCCTGGGAACTATAGATGTTATTAACGCGACACAGTAGAGTCTTTTCTACCAAACTATAAAGTACTGAACTCCTCAAATACTTCAGTGGTCGAAAAACTATTGTCAGTTACCGAAAAAGAAGCTACGATGGGAATGTGCTAACAGTCTTGAATGTAATTTCTAGAAGTTTTAAGAAAAAGAAAAATAAAATCGTCTTCGGAAGAACTTCGCATCTTTGGAATTCCTTTTCGGAACTCCAATAGGTATTCAAATCCTTAATTCTACAAGTACAGCGATCAAAAAAACTTACCAAATGTTATCAAAAAGCCGGTCATGTCATTAATTGAGCAACAAATGCCACAGGTTTCCATATTGGATGTACAAAACATTAATAGCTTAGCAACCAATAATAAAATTCACGTCATTTATTGCAGCTTCTTTCAGATCATTCGGATCACACACAACCTAGGATACCTCATGCGGGCGCTCTCCTTAGAGATGTTTCATTTTGACCCCTGCTCTCGTCATCTATTCTTGGCCGATCTATCCGCTATACGAAAGGCGAGAAAAAAATTTCTCATAAAATTATAATTACAGGGAAATGGTGAAACAAGAATGATAGACTTATTCATTTTAAGGCATGACTCAGAACTGCATGCTGCCATTACCAGCTAGCTATATTTGAATTGTGACTCTAAAATTGTAAACATTCAGGTTTTAACTTTTACTTAGTGGCTATTCTTCCTTCATGGAAAGGTATGATATGAAGTACAATCATAAGGATGCTGAGATATCAGCAAATCTCGGAATCTCGGCTGGATTTCGAACCCCCGATTACCCAATCCGGGAACTCACGTGCTATTCATCACATCAACTCATGCCACTGTTTCGCCTTTCTCTTCCCATTTCTTCTCTTATTTTTGAAGCCCTCCTGTGTTTCCGAGTTCTGCTCATATCCCAGCTTTCTTACGATACCCTTTAGATAGCATACTTAGGTACCGCGTTAACTTAAGAACATCTATCAAATTTCAGCATCGTAGTGGTTTCAGATTATACCCCGTCGTGAAAGCTAGTGATAGGCAGTAAATAGAAGGTTAGCAATATGATTCCGACCAAAGACTCAACTTAGATAGGTTCAACGTCGACTTCTGCTCTCCAGATCATTCCCGCCGACGAGTGATTACTAACAGCACTGTTAGGTAAAAAAAACTGGCTGAGAGAAATGCAAAACAAGGGCCTCAGTGGTGCAGTAGGTAACATATGAGCCTCCGGAAAGTCGCCTGTTCGAATCTGGTTTGGGGTCCAGGTTTTGCAAACATCTCAACATCATGGTGGTTGTATTCATTAAAATGTTTAACAGTGATTCATTAACAGTCAGAAAAGTTGAACTGAAGCATACACCTCTTCGCAACGTTTTTATCCACAAGAACAGTGTATTTCACAGTGATGTTTTTACTACGACTGTACAGGATGCATCGAAAATAAATCCTCAACAGTGTAAGCTGGTAATGCCTCATTGGTGTGGAGGGCCACTTTTTGCACCAATGACATATCACGATGAAGGTAAATAATCGCACATTTTAGCTATTTCGGATATTAAACGTAGTCTATAAAATTAAGATCCCATATACTGTCGCGATGAACTAGAAGGATGGTTATACCTCTTCGTCTATCTCGCCAAAGGCGCTTTGCCATGGGAGAGTGACCGTTACGACAACGTTAAATGGACAAAGATTAAAATGATTAGTAATGGCCGACTCTTTCAAGGACTTCCGTCACAGTGAGTCTTACAACAATGTCTCTTGAACATCTACATTATAACCTCCTATTCATTGTATAAACATTGTATATAAACAAGTAATACCTTGAAAGAGGCGAAATTCGCTACCAGTAATGGAAGTATAAGCGCGTGTGGCGCAGTGGCCGGAGGTGCCCTGAAATACACATGGGATCGATCCCCTCTCCTCAGGTCCATCAAGCTTTCCATCCCTGCAGGGTCGGTAAATTGGTACAAACCTGTCTGCGAGGTTAGCAGCACCAGATGGATACATTGGAAGGCCACATAGAGTCACTGTAAAGGACAGATATGTACTCAATCACCTCCAGCGATGTTTACTGAAATCGAGTTCATGGCGCATCTCTCAGGAATTGATCAACGCCGAAAGCTTTATCCTTTATCTTTTTTAATAGAAGTGCCGAGCTAATTGTTTCAAGAAATGTATTTTTCCCAGATGTACGTCACAATATTTACTTCAATATGAGCTCAGAGTTTAAATTCTTATCAAGAATGTAACAAACTGAGAATCTGTAATCATGCCCTTACATAGGAAGTTATTTTGTAAGACTTTCAACAAGGTTCAATTATTTTCCATACAGTTTCTAACCATACATTATTTTAAAAAAGGAAACCTCATGAAAAACCAAGCATTGGATAGCAATGATGGGTATTTGTAACCTAGATTTAACAACATTCTCAACGTTATCACACGTGAGAGTGCAACACAACCAGTGTCTGACGACGACTACGATAAACTGGAGCAGCTGACCAGGGAAATCTTTCATGATGTTGGTGGTGCGGCAAACGAAGACGTCAATTTTGACTTTGAGCGCGATCCGACAGAGGAAGAAATACCCAGGTATAGATGACAAAGAGAAAACTAATAAGAAATAAACCACTAAATTCAAGATTTCTCATGGAACGTAAGCCAACCGACGACGAAGATCTTCACGAAGATGTAACACAGCGAAGTTGCGACGAAGAAGAATGTATGGGTGTGTGAATTGAAGAATACTAGCCTTTGCTGCACTTGAAAGCTTCAACCATTCCTCACCATGTAATAATGGCTGCTTTTATTTAGAAAGTTAGTAAATAAATGTTGCGTCCGTACTGCTATCAAACACAGTACGATAAAATAGACAAAAGAAACAGAAGAAAAATGTCTTACCTTAAAAATTTTATCAATATCTCGCTGAACAGAACCATGGATTGATGCTCCAAGTCGTCCTCTATCATCCCTTAATTTCCGCAATTCATCATCAACAATACATCGAACGTCCCTCCAAAAATCTGAGTGTCTATCTCCATCAAGAGAACGATACACCTGAAAATAATCCTGTATAAGTTTACAAGACAAGCATGAACTGTGTGCAACTTAGCAAGGCGTAGATAAAATGTTATGTACGGAAAGTTTAAAAAATAAAGCTCTGTAGCTCCGTCTTGTGAATCCTGAGATATTACACAATAATGAAAATGATTACTCATATTTGGTTCACATACCTTTATATCTTCAATCAAATCCTCGTAGTCATCTTGACTAAGCCCTTTGATGTACTTAATAGGCTCTTCTAGTTCAAATTCATCCTCTTTTTTCTCGTCGATTTCTTCAACGTTCTCATCACCATATTGTATATACCTTAAAATAATTACAGTAGAGCGAATTAAGGTAAGAAGGTGACTATAGTGAAAACACTGGAATGCTCCAAGACATTCGAGAATGCTTTCTTAATAGCGACGATGAATCCTGGATAACCAAAGAAGTTAAAGGAATTGAGAATATAAAAGCCTAAGAAGAGGAACTTGTGCCTACACATACCACATACACGTATACACAAATGTGCATGTACATATAAACATGTAAACACATGTATGCATATACATATATATGATTTTAGATAACATTCTTCGACTTCTAAATCTGTTAAGAACCAAATATTCTAAAAATTGGAAGCAAAACTTCAACTCCATGACATTTAGCGCATAAGCGTCAGCTCCAAACATCAAAAACACATTGAAAGAACATATCATGTTTAGTATGAATGAATCCTAGTTGTCCAATTGCTCAAGTGTTCGAAAAAAGAGCTCCAAGCAAGTAACAAAGAAACACGCGTTTCGTGGTCTCCACAGAAACAATTTTATCAAGGTAAAGTTCGCTATAGGCTAAGATCACTAAAATCGCCATACGCTGGCAAAATAGATTCGTATCACATAGCTTGGAATCAAGGTATGTCATCGTAAATATGGTTAAAAAACCGCCAATTTTAATAGAATGACAAATCACCTGGAAAGTAAATCGATAGGCTTGGCACGATTCTGTTCAATACGAATCTTTGAACGTACCTAGAACATTACATGTCAGGCTTAAATGTACAGAAGTATGGCGCAAACTAATAAAGCAAACTAAGTAAACTAGTAAACTTTATTTCGAATTATTTGAAAGAGTTGCACAGGCGAGAAGCAATACATACCTTGGCCTGCTGGAGCTGAAATTCTGCCTCTTTACTGGTCCACTCAAAGTGTGTTTTTCTATCCGCATCGCGCTGCATCAACTCCATATCCTCACGGGCGGCAAGTCGAGCGTCACGTGCACGTTTTAGCTCCTCCATTTCACGCAGGTTCTTCTGTACCCGCGAACGTGCCCTATGTATTAGAGGAGTGGATCGACATCATGGATCATAACTCAAAGCACCAACTTTCTATACACCTCGGCGTTAATAATCAGCATATCTATAAATGTTCTTACGAACTGCCTTTGTTGAGCTGATGCGAGGTTGGCACGAGTTGTACAAGTAGGCACGTACAAATGTATAAGCAAATACAACTTATACCAAACTTGCACCAGCTCAACAAAGGCAGTTCGTAAGAACATTTATAGATATCATGAATCATAACCTAACGTTTGGTCAGTTGTGGGAACTTGCTCAAGAGGAAGGAAATAGAAGAAATAGCATACTCTTTCTCAATCTGTTTGCGGGAATAATTGGACTTCCCTTCCTGCTCCAACTTCTTTCCCCAAATAAATGTCTCCGTAAGATTCACATCATTAAACGGGTTGTTGAGGTTTGTGTAAGCTATCTGTGGTGGTAAATAGCTCGAGTTCTCCTTCTTTCTTTTCTCCTGCTATAAGTTGAACAGTTAGCATAATATACAATAGAAGTGAACAACCAATAGGAATATTGCAAACACACGAAGAAATTTCCTAGTTGACAAAAGGAGATTGCTAAAACGGACCTTCCTGAGTTTCTTCGCCAAACGACGTGCCCTCTTTTCCTCTGGAGTTTCCTTTGCTTTCAAACGCTCTTTTTCTAGCTTTCTCAAGCGTCTCTTCTCCGACCGTTGCTTGTCAAGAACCGACTTAAAATTGTTAAATTACTTTTTAAACTAGCAATGGAAGGAAACCTATAGCATCTCCCTAAAGTTCTAACTGACTAAACCCATTTACGACGATACTTTTTCATACCCGTTTTGATAACAGCCGATAATTTCTCGGAAGCTAGAAATCCTAGAATGGAAAAGCCCTAGCACTTTTCCAGGGTTCCATGGCGAATCGACTCGACCAGCATTCAACGACATTCAGAGAGTAAAAGATCTTCAAACGGCAGCGAAAATCACATACAGAATCCATAGACCTCGCTGGAGTATTGGCGCGAGGAAACGAACTGAATATAACAAATCCTGGGATCCGCACGATATGCGAGTCAGGCAAAAAAGGAGAGAGAGTGGAGAAACAGCACAACTGCTCTCATATCTTCATCTTCGATGCCTGATAATGTACCAACGCCAAGATGTGGTCGCTAACAAATTAAAGATACTGTACGGTTAGTATTTTAACCAAATGATCAGTAAGGGATGCAATTCATGCCCACTTTGAACTTTTACGCGACTACGTGACCTCTGTAGAAGTCATACGATGAGAAAATAATGAAAGCATTCAGCCTTGAGTCAACACATCTCAGCTAATGTATAAATTGGAACAAAAACTGCTGAGATCTACATACTTTTACTACACGACTTAGATTATTTCACAATGGTAAGGTGAAATTTCGACTCTTTATAGTCCATAAGAACCAATTTCATTCGCTTTCTTTCTAAAAGACACCGTATTTTGAACAGCACGTCGATTAAAAAAATTGGTTTCCTTCCCCAATGTATCCTATACGTATGCATCGGCTAAAATTCCTCTGAAAATTTCGAAATTTAAACCCTATTATACAAGGCTGAAACATTGCTATGGGTGAATTCTGATAGCACCTCTAGGTTAAAACACGGCTGAGAGAATTGCGAAAAGGACACTCATGGTATGGCGGTGAACATGTTATTTATCAACCTCGTGCAAGCTTATCAAGAAAGAATACTTATTGATTAGTCACACCGAGGTTTAGAGAGTCGGTTTCGAAATATTATTACTACGCTTTGTGCTAGCTGATAAGAACACCGACTTCTGCACGATGTGCGCAATGATGTATGCCCGGTAGAAACACAAGTTGTTACCTTTTTAGTAAACTTAATGATCATACTTTATTGCCTACAGCTTTACCGTAGACATTGCAACATTACATTATACATTACATTATACTTCCACGTGATTTCTGTGCGGTTGGTCTCTACGTGACATACTTAGTGGAAACCTCATAGAAAGCGGCTCTGAAGAAGGCGAAATCCGCCGAAACGTCAGCTTAATCGTGAACAAAGAATAGTAACACCTCGCGTTTGCTCAACAAAAATACGAAGAAAATCACTTGATCAATGCCGAGGTTAATAGAAAGTCGGTCGTGGCAGTTACAAGTTGTTACCACCGGACATTATCATTATATATGCACCATCAGCATCGTGTATAAAAGGGCATCACTGAGTGAGGATGCCTCATTCGAGAAGATGGCTCACTGAGGAAGACCTGGCTCGACACGAAGGCGAAACTGCAACGTCGAGACGAACAACAATCATGGACCATCGACTCGGATCATCGGCTCTGAGAAAGACGAAGACGTCGAAACGTTAGCCGAAAATAAATATATTTATCAACCTCGTATCGGGAAATCAACATGATGAACGATTTAGCACCAGAGTTGAGCAGAAGGAAACGAGAGGCATGGACAGCTTTCAAGAGCATCGAGGACGTAGTGAACAGAACAAAGAACAGCCTACTCAGTGCCCACCTTTTCGACTCAACGGTACTTCCTGCGTTAATGTATGCGTCAGAAACCTGGTCGCTGTGTAAACAGGATGAAAAATCACAGCGTTATTGAACTCAGAGTTGAAAGGACGATGCTTTGAGTATCACGTATCACGCAAGTAAAGGATGGAATCCGAAGCTTCGACCTGTGTCAACGACCAAAAACCGAAGATGCCGTTCTGTACGCTGGACAGTCGAAGATAAGATGGGCCGGACACGTAACGCGTATGAATGACAACCGATGGAGAAGCGCCGTTAGTGACTGGATTTCTCGGGATGTCAAACGTAATGCAGGAAGTCCACCGACCAGATGGTTAGAGTTCTTCACGAAAAGTCTAGAAGACAGATATGATGCTCAACAAGTCCCTAGAGAGAGCAGAACCCACTGGGCTACTTTTGCACGCGAAAGGGAGAAATGGAAGATTTCCTGGCGTCGGCTCGAGTCACTCGACGATCAACGGGACCACGACTGATACAGATGAGAGGTGATAGCTGAACCACGTAGTATTTCCCTAAATAGATCAACCATAGTCGTTATAACAAATCTTCCTTCTCCAGTAATCTCGCAAATGTTACAGAATCTCCACGCGGGAGTCAAAAATGGACGGTAACAAACCTGAATTCTACTATTTCGTAACAGTTCTATGTGGAAACTATGCGTTAATGAAAGGTTTCAGAGGAGTAAACTACCAAGGATCAGATATAGTAAGGAAAATAAGGAAACGAAAAGAAGGAAAACAAAGAAAACAAAACTGTGAACTAATCGATAAAGGAAAAAACACTTACTTGGAACCTGTCACCACTGTCAGATTCACTAGACGAGCTCGAAGAGGTACTATGACGTTTGCGATTCTTCTTCTTCTTCGATTCGTTTGATCGACTTTCTCGTTTTTTTGCTTTTTTCTCGTGGTGTGGCATAGTTCTACAATAGAGTCGATCAATTCACGAGAACGGAAAATAAAAAGAGCCCGGAAAAGATGGAATTAGATTAAAGACATCCTGAAAAAAGGAAGGATGTGTATACGATGTCAATGATTTGTTCCACATTACAGTATTTCAAAACCGACTTTCCCTTAACCTCGGTATTACTAATCGATACGTACTCCTTCTTCGACAAGTTTGCACGAGGTTACCGAGCTTGCCTCGTGCACGATTGTCGAAGAAAGAATACTAACTCACAGTTACAAAGCCGGAAGTAAATCATCAATATGGTTGGATCAGAAAGGCGTTTTACTCTCTTTATTTCGAATATTGCGTACCAGTTAAGGAAGACCTCGTATGGTATCCTTACGAAAAGCGGGAAAGCGGAATCGTGCTTTGTCAATGAAAACTACTTAAGTGTTACCTAGTAAAAATAAGTAGTCTTTTAGAGAAAAAACTTAAGACTTAAATAAACCTCAGCAAAGTTAAGGAAATGGATCCAATTTAATGCATTTGGACAATGCTCATTAGATGGACGGTGAGCTTATTGATCTTTCTAGAACTCTATTTTGCCTTTATTACTAAAACACTACGAAAAATACTTCAAAAAATCATAAAATAAAAGGAATATGTGCTTTTCTCAACGGCATCGAGTGGGAAAACTCCAGCATTTCGGAAGATCTTTCATTGATCTGTAGAGCGGCAATCTTACAAAACCAATAATTTAAATAAAAGACCACCTTTATAATAATTAACAGACTTATAAGTTTTATGGAAACTTAGCACTGAAGGGTAAAGTTTCGAAACGGGTCGTAGGCCAACGTTATGACGTTGTGCACAACTCGCCACATACAGACTCCGACATTCTGTTAGTGTAGTCACATTTCCAGCAAGAAAACAATTTGCCATTAGATTACGTAAAATAGCCTTTTTCTAGAAAGTTTAGGTTTCATTGGCTATATGTGCTCTATAATACATGTGTGGCCTTTGCTTCGATTCCGCGCGCTAGACTTATCAAGCTTTCCATCCCTCCATGGTCAGAAACGGACTTATCTGATAGGATATCAACACTCGATAAGTTAATAAGTCGCCGGAAGTCATTGTATAGGCCGCACATGCTTTCATTTGTGTCTGAGGCTGCGAATGGGTTTGAGTTCTTCGTTTATCCTTCAGGGTGTAATCAACTCCTGGAAGGGTTATCCTTTACCATTTTCATTCTGGGAATCGCGATTGTCATTTATTTGTGCTCTCCGACTATCTGATGTGTCCTGAATCACATTGGAAATACCTTATTATGGTGATCGAATAATGATAAGGCAAAGATTTCTGTTTCCTGGAGTATAACAGCTCGGGATCTTGCAGACCCATATATTGATTTAAACGTAGATCACCACCGTTTCATATTTTTATTCTTTTCGTCGGAAATTTATGTGAATTTTGCAATCAAACGGTGTTTCCAGTAGGATATTCTTTCTTTTCAGTTGGTCAAGTTGTTGACCCTGCAATTCTTAACGTATTTTTTCGATTTTCTAACAATAACGTAAAGATCTGGTCAGAATTGAAGCAGTGGTTCGCTTAGGCCAGCCCGGCCAGAGTCTGTCCCAGGTCGTCGCTACCCCAGGAGTTGCCGCCTTTTTGGATCAGAGGGAGATGTGCCCCCATGCGATTAGTTTAATACCGGGACGGTGGTAGACTTTGTATTGGTTTATTCTTAGGTGGGCTTCCTGATGGAAACGCCGAACTCCTTATCAGCTTGGGAAACCCTGCTGGGGGATGAATCTCCTGTTGTACATCGCGGGCCGACAACCAAGGGACACCTACCAGCCACAACCAAGCGGTAAACCGTTGAGAGGGAAGAAGTTACTTATACCTATTATGTAATCCGCCTTCATTGATCGTTCGGATTCTAGCACTTTTATTCGGATCCCTGCTTCAGATGAGTCTACTTCTGTCTGTTTGATCGTGAAGGAACGAGGGTCTCGATAGGCTCGGTATGGAGCCGAACTTGCATCAATCGTGCACCTACCGAAAGATATTTCTAACTAGTGGCTTCTCGTTCCCGATTGAAAGAATTATAGTAGACAGTTCCATGTGGTGTCTGTAGCAACTTATTTCTCATTCGGAATGCAATTTTAAAGACATCTCATAGTCCACAAAAAGAAAACGGATTCATTTTGGTTATGGACGAATCGAAAGTTCGTAATGAGTAACTTTTAGTCATTTGTTCAATTCGTCCTTCATTTATTTGCGGAGCTCCTCCTTTTCAGTTTTTAAAATGCAAAGGATTCTTCGAAAGATTTTTATTCGCAAATTTGGTGAAAAGTTTAGTTGCCCGACTTTGAAAGATCTCATAGTCTTGGGTCAATGTAAGCAATCGGATTTGTTATCTAAGTAAAGTTCTCCCAGGACTAACTCGTTTTATATACCCCACATGAGGAGTATCCATGAATGCATAAGTGAATCTTGAAATTACTTTGCTTATAGATGAAGCATTCCGCGTACAAGACTGCTTGACTGCTTAGGTATGATCAGCGGTATGTTAATTCTACTAAACTGTATTAATACTTGTAATTCTCACGACCGGCTTCCTATCAACCTCGGCGTTGATCGTATAATTCTCTATGTTATTGTTGAGCTAGCGCAAGGTGTTACTTTATTCTTCATTCCGGTAAAACTGACGTTTCAACGGTATCGCCTTCAGAGCCTGGAAGGGTATATTGATACGAAATTTATTAGGCCATACTTCCGTACTCTTCTAGACTCTGAAGAAGGCGACACTGATGAAACGTCAGTTTTACCGGAATAAAGAATATAGTAACACCTCGTGTTTACTCATCAGGAACATAGAGGATGTATTATTACTCTAAAGGCACCTATCATCCCTAGTTGTTTCAAGGATTAAGAGCCTTTGTCGTTTGTTCGCAGTCAGTGCTCGAAAGTCCTGAGAAGGAATCTGAAAATATATTCAGATGCCTTTTTGCTGTTTGAAGACGATAAGATGCTTGTGATACATCTTATGAAATTTTTTCACGATGTAGTTTTTTTTTCTTATAGATGTTCAATACGAGGATCTCCATGTTTTCCTTCCAACTTTCATCCTCTTCGACGTCTTCGCTCCTTCCGAAGGGTGCGCTAGCTTACATAAATGGTACGGAATACTTGATAGAATGCTAAAGAGTTCTTTTCTGTCGGGCTAAACCGGTTTTTACAGGTCAATGGGTTGATTCAGTGAATAAAAAGACCTTTGACGTTAACAATCCTTACACGGGAGAGTTACTCTATAAGTCTGTGAATTGTGATACTCACGAAGCGGAGAAGGTAATTGTAATTTTCGGAAAAAAAAGTGTTCATCGCTTCCATTGCAGTCATTTAACATTTGATGATGCTTAAATCATTTAATGTTCATCATTTGTTATCAGGCACTGTACTGGTTCGATCCCGCCCTCGGCTCACCAAGCCTCATCCTTCCGGGGTTGGGAAAATGGTACCGGACTTTTCCGGGAAAAAGTCGTTCTCTGTGATCCAACTAAGAAGCCTCTAGCCTGGCTATGTCAAGGCTCTAGAGAGAATCGACTCGACCAGCATTCAGTGAGATTCATAGAAAGGTAACAATCCTCAAGCAGCAGCCGAAGCCACACATAAGAGTTGGAAGGCCTTCGTGGATGAGGGGTACGTGGAAATGAATCGAACGTGAGGAGTTCTGGGACGCATGCAGTGAGGATAGGTCATATGAAATGAAAAAATATCATTTAAATCGTTGAATCAGTTCTGCTAAACACAAAGGATGGTGCTATTAAAGAATATTTAACCCTTTTCTTGCTCTTTAGAGAAAGAATTCCTCAGATCATGTAGTGTGAACAGTATTTTGTAGCACAAAAGTGTATAGGAGGTGTGTAACTTGTTAGTGTTCCGTGACCGTGAAATGTTAAGAACGTGTGAATGCTCTCAGTTATTTTCTTCTGAACGAGAGATGAGCTATACATTTTTCATAGGCCGTAGCTGCTGCTAGGGAGTCGTTTGAGAAGTGGTCACGCGAAACCACAGCTAAACAACGTGGTGCTGTACTGAGAAAATGGTATGACATATTTGTAGAGAAGGAACACCAGCTCTCTCAACTTCTCACACTTGAACAGGTTCATCATGCTTCCTTCTAAAGTGTGGAAAGCTCAGCCAATCATGAGCTGCTAGTAACTAGTTTTTCTGGGTCTTCTTATCGAGATACTTGCAAGGGAAAACCTCTAGTAGAAGCACGAGGAGAAATAAACTACTCTGCAGCATTTTTCGATTGGTATGCAGGAGAAGCAAGAAGGATATATGGACAGGTTGGCAGCTTCGTTTACTTGTTTGATTTTGTTACTTTCATGTTTTTCAGTATTTCAGGTTGTCAGTCCAGCTGTTTTGAACAGAGAGCATATCCATATCAGGGAACCTGTCGGCGTAGCAGTCCTTATTACACCAGTAAATTTTTCCTTCATTTATTACCTGTGTGACCTGAGTTGACAGAATCTCACTGATTTAAGCATTATCTCAACAAAACAGCGCTTCCTTTTGGGTTATAGTTTTGGGTAAAATCCAAACAAGGCTATAATACTTGTGTCCTTTGACGGCCCATCTTCACAGGTTGTGCTGGCGCTGCCTAATTTCCATTGTTTCAGAACTTTTCTGGTTTAGCCATTGTGGTTTCCTAGAGTCCCGAGGTCATCCAGACCAAAGTCTGCCTCATTTCGTCACCACCACATGTCGCATGCGACTTGATATCATGATGGTGGCGAATCGTGATATTGATTTACTCATAGTTGAGCTCCGTGATGAAAACGACGGACTCCTTCTGAGCTTGGGAGATCCTCCTGGGAAGACCTATAATGTTTAAATTGTGTAAAATATTGTTTGATATCATGGTACTCTTTCTGGGTCTTTTCTAACACTTGTTGACTCTGTGTAGTTCCATTTGGTTGTTTAGTGTCCTTACCAAATCCTTTTTTTTTTTAAAAACATCTACTTTTTTTCCAGTGGAACTTTCCTACAGCAATGATCGCTCGCAAAGCCGGAGCAGCTTTGGCTGCTGGTTGTACGCTTGTTGTAAAACCAGCGGAAGATACACCTCTCAGTGCTCTCGCTTTAGCACAGGTTAGTTTGCATTTAAGCTTCTTTCTACACCTGTCTTTTTGCAAATTTCTATTCATAATTTCCTGAAGTAAATTTAGACATCTGAGGAAGCTGGATTACCTGCTGGAGTCTTTAATGTGATACCGGCGGATCGTAAGAACACTGCGAAAATATCAAAATATCTATGTGAAAACACTGATGTAGATGTCATAAGTTTCACCGGAAGTACAGCTGTCGGAAAGGTAGCAAGTTTTTTGAAAATATCTTTATGGCCACAGTGTTGCCTAAATATTTGCAAAACTCCGGACCGCTGTTGTTTGCGGTGGAGAACGAACGCGCTTTACCCTTTCCATGGGCTAATGCGTTCACCACCACACCATGCAGATCCTTCGTTTCGCCTTTCCCTTAGGTAGTTTTCTTTTCGTCTTTATACTTTTTCCTATTGTATTTCTGCTCACTTGAATCCAATTGGTTGTACCTTCTGAAGTGGCATTATTTGGGTTTCATCTAGGCGTTCGTTGGTAGAGTATCCATCCAAACGTACAGCATTTAATACTTATTAATTTGATCTTACCAAGATCCACCACCGTCCTGGTATCAAAGTCACACGGTGGTAAATCTCCCTCTGATCCACAAGGGCTGTGACTGCCAGTGGTGGTGAAGACCTGGGGCAGACTTTGACCAGGCTGACCTCGGGACTCCAGGGAACCGTAATAGCTTAACCAGCAAATCTCCGAAAAATGGCGATTATGCTAGGGCCCGCACAACCAGTGAGGAATGGCTATTCAAGTATCAAGTATTAGTAATTTGGTCTTTATCGGACTAATGTTTTGAAGATAGAATTACTTTCCCCGGTTTAATTTTTATTAGAGAATTACTATTTCCGATTCGTTTTTATTACTTCTTGGGAGGTGGTGAGGACACCATCAAATATACTAGTAAGCGGAAAAAATTTTTTTAAACGTTTTCTCTTTTCCCTATTTCTTTTCTTGCATTTTTATCCTTGTTTGCTTCGAATTTATTTCATGCAGTTTATGAAGCAGGAGGAAAGAGTTTACTTATTTAGATGCATTACCACATTTATATTTATGCTTACATATTCACTGAGGTGGTGATCGTGGCTTGTAACATAATGTGAGGAGCGCGTGTAGCACAATGGTCGGAGGCGCCCTGCATTTCACACGGGATCAATCTCTGCGCCCCAGGCTCCACCAAGCTTTCGATCCATCCGGGTTCGGTAAATTAGTATCAGACTTGTCTGGGAAGGTAGCTGCACTGGCTCGATACATCGGTAGGCCACCGCGAGTTAAGGCGAGATGTGCATCCATTCACCTCTAATGATGCTTGACGAAGTAGAATGCATGGCGCATCCCTCAGGGCTTGATCAGCCCCGAGAGCTTTATTTATCCCTTTTCTATTCATGTACTGTATACAGTCTAAGTATTGTTTTGTTTTTCGCTGACAAATTTGTTAGCAAAGTATCTACTCCAAGGAATTATCTGGTCGCTCTGGGAACTGAATTCAAATGAGAGGACTATGGCTCGTCTTAGGCTTCTTACTCTACTTTGCTACGATGTTCTTCGTTATGTCTTAAAAATCTATGGTAGTTGTTGATGTGACAAATCATATTTCGTTTCTATTGCCAAAAGAGAACGTTCTTTCTGGGTGTTCGTAGTATCGGCTGAGCGCATAGGCATCCATAGTTACAACATGTGCATCTATATTTTCTTACATTACTAAGCTAAACTTCGGTGCTCTGATGTGTGCTGTATAAAGTGGTATGTTCTTCAAGTAAAACATTCAGCTCCTACTAGCTCAGTCAGCTTCAACGGTTAAACGAGTTTGTCTGGAACTGGGTGGCAATGCACCTTTTCTGGTTTTCGACACAGCTGATCTAGATCTAGCAGTTAAGGTGTGTTTTACTGCTGTTCATTTTCTGTTTTTCTCTGGCTAATCATTATCATCTTGTCACCATCATCATATTGCTATGTTTTTGCAAGAAAGGAGAACAGTTTCAAATAAACAGCTGAAGGGTTTCCTTTAGGGTGCAATGGCATCAAAATTTCGTTGTTCTGGCCAAACATGTGTAGCAGCGAATCGTTTCTTTGTACACGAAAAGGTTAGATTATATACTTTAGACAGCTTACCATTAAACTTGGTCTTGAAATTGTGAACTATCTAAAGCTTAATTTAATCATGGTAAAGGATCTATGTTTACCGGTAAATGGGATTTTTGGATCATACATTGTGACTCGGGTGCGTGTAGCGCAGTGGTCGAAGGCACCGGGCGATGCTCATAGGATCGCTCCCAGCGCTGCAGACCCACTAGGCCCTCCATCCCTCCGAGGTCGTCAAATTGTTGCCGGATTTTTCTGGGACAATAGAAGCATTGACTGGATACATCGGTAGGCCACCGTGAGTCATTATAAAGGCCAGATATGCATTCAATCACCTCCAACGAAGCTTAATGAAGTCGAATGCATGGTGCATCTCTCAGCGATTTATCGACGTTGGGAGCTTTTTTCCCCATCCTTTTACATTGTGACTTAAAGCAGTTAAAAAAATGAGCACGTTTGAATATTACCCTTTGCAAATAGCTGTTAGAAAAATAAGTTCGTAAATATTGCAGGTGCACGACGATTTCGTGACGAAAATTGTCTCAGCGATGAAACTTTTAGTTGTTGGAGACGGAATGGACCCTAAAACAACTATTGGACCTCTGATCAATGATAGTGCTGTCAAAAAGGTTTGTGTTCTTCATGTTTAAATTGTTTGGAAGATTAATGCTAGTAACAGCAAGAATATTTTTGAGCTTTCAGATTAACGAGTTGCTAAAGGATGCTATAGCAAAGGGAGCACGCGTGCTTCTAGGTGGTAAGCGAGGAAGTGGCTCATGTTTCCAACCGACGTTGATTACAGGTGTTACCGACCAGATGTGTATTGCACACAGTGAGATTTTCGGCCCAGTGGTTGCAGTTCAAAAGTGCGTTTGTTGAATTGATGTCTATACTTTGGAGGCCGCATTTATGACGATAGGCATAGGTTGAAATGCATGCTAGCCTGAAAGTAATTATACCTTTCAGCTTTAATGATACCATAGAAATCTCTAAAGGTTGCAGATCTTTGCTAATAAAGTACAACCCTACTTATCCTACCAACGTGAAATCCTGTCTTTCTGGATTCGACATACTTTCTCCTCCCTTTTCCTTGGTCGAAGCACGCATTTCAAACGTCGTTGCGAACTAATCGTGCAGCAATGGTAGATTACCTTCCCGAATACACTGATGTTTGCGGTGGCCGCGCTTGCTTTAATTTAAAACCGTGAAATCTGAAATCTGATCTCCGATTTTGTGTAAATGTGAGTTTGGAACAAGCCTCGGATTAGGGAACATTAATTTTAAGGAATGTTTGTACTTTTAGAGCGATAGATCAAAGCAGTGTCACAAATGTGGTATATCGTGCTTTATAGTTATCATTAATAAGAACTAAATTTGGCCTTAGATTTTCGAGTGAGACGTCAGTGCTGAATATGGCAAATAATACTCGATCTGGTCTCGCGGGTTATGTGTTTAGCGGAGACTCTGCCCAAATATATAGGGTAACTCGCCGTCTCCAAGTTGGAATGATTGGTGTTAACGAAGGTGGGATTCTAGCCATCACAGTAGCATCTAAAATTCTTCAATTCTTTTTATACCGTCAAAACCATTTTTAAGATTTTTATAGTTGATCTTAGGTTTGATGTCAAGTGCAGAAGCTGCGTTTGGTGGTGTAAAAGAGAGCGGTCTTGGTAGAGAAGGATCAGCACAAGGAATTGATGAGTTTACGCAGTGGAAGTATATTTGCACTCAGCATTGATTCTTCTTTGATTCTCCTAAATTTAGTTGTGGTTTAATATAACAGAAGCCTACTTCTGAGTTTGAAACTTGGGGTTTATACATGCTGTTCAGTGCTTTGTGATGTTGCGTAGTAGGCATTAGGAAGAAGTATCATTGGTACTCGCGAAGTTTTATGAGGCAGTTAGAGTTAATTCTTCTACTGTTAGGGAAGTATAGCTGGATCTTATTTATTTCTTTATCATTAATCGTTTTTACTTTAGCACGGAGTTTTTTAAAGAGCATGCTCTGAGTACTCATATTGCTAATGAACTCCTACAGAGTGCCAAAAGTTGTACGAATTAGTTTAAAAATGGCATATTGTAATTTACAATACGAATGGTGTACATAGATGCTCAAAATTGGAAGTCGCTTCAGTTATAATTGGCAAAGGAATTTTTTGTCACCTCTATGGTCTTATATTTGAACGGTCCTAGATTTGTTTATGTATTGCTTAATACAAGTGAAATAAGAGGTAATAAATCTAACCAGCTGTATGGGTTGTTGTATAGAGCTTCTTGTACTATGCCAATTAACCGAGGCATTTATTTCCAGGATCAACTTTGCTGACTTTGGCAATGACCAATAGGTTCATTTTTCGGCCTGCAGACAAGAGGTGGTCGTCAGAATATTTATTCCGCAATAGCGTATCTGTGGGTTTAGCGTTCTTCAGCGACTGTACAGGGTCTAAAATTACTTCAGAGAAGATTGTACAGTATGCAACACATCGAACATATGACTCTGTGGCTGGTCCCATGCTAACTTTCACGTCATCGTTTACATTCAACATACGTAACACTAACAGGAAGGTGTAAAATATTCCGGANTATTGAGAGTGCCGGTTATATTTCAGAAGACATCACTCTAGCGCTCTGTGAGTAAAGCATTCTTGACGTTTTATCCCACAATAGCGTATCTGTGGGTTTAGCGTTCTTCAGAGACTGTACAGGGTCTAAAATTACTTCAGAGAAGATTGTACAGTATGCAACACATCGAACATATGACTCTGTGGCTGGTCCCTCTTCTTGCTATGTGACCGGCCCATCTATGTTCCGCTGTCGATGTATATTCTCCTGGATCTCGAAGATGTGACAGATTTCGAAGCTCAGAGCTTCGCATTCCGGCTACATATTGAGAGTGCCGGTTATATTTCAGAAGACATCACTCTAGCGCTCTGTGAGTAAAGCATTCTTGACGTTTTATCCCACAATAGCGTATCTGTGGGTTTAGCGTTCTTCAGNGACTGTACAGGGTCTAAAATTACTTCAGAGAAGATTGTACAGTATGCAACACATCGAACATATGACTCTGTGGCTGGTCCCATGCTAACTTTCACGTCATCGTTTACATTCAACATACGTAACACTAACAGGAAGGTGTAAAATATTCCGGAATGAGTGGGTGGAAATGCCGGTCAGATTTGCTAATGTTAAGACGGTAACCAATCCTTTGTAGATGGTCTTATTCAGCTTCGAATAACCAAGCATTCAGATCTTGTTCTAATAGAGTGTGAAGAAGCTTTAACGCGTAGTGAATAAGAAGTCTGGTGCATTCATCAAACCGTTTTAGCAGCGTCGATTTGCTTATGAGAAAGTCTTTACATTTGGAAAACTTCACGTTCATTATTTAATTCACATCCATTTCATCGTTTTTTCCCTCATCGCACCTTCTGATAGTCATTTCGTAGCACTCTGAAACTGTATAAGATTTTCCTGTTGAGTCGTCCAAAAGCTGATGGTCACTTGAGATTCCTGTTCTCCAGTTAGCACTGCATCTTGTAAATAAGGTTCTCGATAGGTCCAGTAGACAGCAAAATCCTAGCTTTTTTTAAAAAGACCTGTCTTTCTGTCTTTCACATCTTGGATACTTGAATACCTAGACGGTCCGTCTTCACGAGCTGTGCAGACCCCAGCATATATGCCATTCGTTCCTTTCTCTTGCAATCGTAGTCTACGGAGGTGGTCTTGTTCGAGCATGCTAGCGCTTGCGAGTCTCATACCGTGACCTGTAAAACAACTGCAGATGCGGGTACAGCTGATTAACTTTGTTTACGGACACGTCCGCCCAACGAGTAGGTGCTCGTCCTAGGGGACGTTTGCATTCTCTTGGAGTCCACTCTACTGTTCTTTTCGTCCATTTGTCGTCTGCTCTTCTTGCTATGTGACCGGCCCCATCTATGTTCCGCTGTCGATGTATATTCTCCTGGATCTCGAAGATGTGACAGATTTCGAAGGTCAGAACTTCGCATTCCGGCTACATATTGAGAGTGCCGGTTATATTTCAGAAGACATCACTCTAGCGCTCTGTGAGTAAAGCATTCTTGACGTGGTTGAAGTGTCAGTCCACGTCACTGCAGCATAATAGAGTGCTGGGAGGACGGTAGAATCGAAGAGATGAGCGCGGATTTTCGGGTCCTTCAGTTGGTCGGTGGCTTCTTTGAGAGACCCGAATGCGGCCCAAGCTGCTCTCCTTTTTCTATCTAGTTCCTCCTTCATGTTGTTTTCCATGTTCATTGAACGCCCAAGGCAAACGTGCGAGGTGGTCTCTGCAATAAGGGAGCCATCCAATTCAATTTTCTCGCCTTCGCACCATGGGTTTTCATAAACTGGGTCTTCTTTCAATTTATGAGAAGTCCGATCTTTTCCACCGCTTCGTTGAGCTCGTTGATCGTCACTTCTGCTTCGCTAGTGCTTCTTGAGAAGATGACAATGTCGTCGGCAAAACGAAGGTTTGACAGGAATTTTCCACCAATACGTATGCCTTTCTCATTCCAATCGAGTGACCTCACTGCAGTGCGGCATTGAACAACTTTGGCGATATTGTGTCGCCCTGTCGAACCCGTTTTCTTATGCAAGAGATCGAAGGAAAAGCTGCATTTTCGTAGTGCAGTTCCGATAACAGTGGGAGAGAGTCCTTATGTAGGTCGGTCCACTCCTTGGTCGACGAGCGTTGATAGGATTGCATTCGTTTCGGCACTGTCAAACACTTTCTCCTAGTCGACAAAGGTTAGGAGTAAGTGGTATTCCCAACAAACTTCGGTAACCTTGGACACGGTTTGGATGTGGTCCATGCAGCAAAATCCTTTTCGAAATCCTGCTTGCTTGACTGGTTGCGCCTCATCCAATGTCCTTGATATGCGCGAGAGGATAATCTTCGTGAAGAGCTTGTACAGTACACTCAACAAGCATATGGGACGATAGTTATGAAGATCTCTTTGGTCTCCTTCCTTGGGCAGGATAACCGTAATCAACGTCCTCCACTGGTCTGGGATTTTTTTCTTTTGAAGTTATCCTGTCATATGATCTGCGAGAGGTACATGTAAATTGTGGCCCCTAGCTCTAAGGAAATCGGCAGAGATACTATCGGGTCCTGGAGCTGTGCCTCTTTTTATGCTTTCTATCGCAACTCGAACCTCTGGCGGAAGAATTCCAGGCGGCTTTTCCCCAGCAGGAATATTAGGCCTGAGACGGGGATTGTGGAACGGAAAAGGTTAGTGTAGAACGTTTCCGATATTAAATCCATATTATGGCGGGAAGTTTTGACGATCCCATTTTCGTTCATCAGGGTTGACAGCGGAACATTATAATCACACAAGTCCCGACGGCATTTTTTTCCACACTACTTCCTTTCTCTGCTGCTTCTAGTGTTTTCTTCCGCTTGTACCGTTGTAGATCTTCCTGCAAAGCTCTTCTGCAGCTGGCATTTGTTACTAGTGATGTTAACCGTGTTGCAGTAGGATCAAGCTTCAGTTTCCTTCTCTTTTCGGGCAACTCCTTAGTAGTGATGGAGATGCAATCCGATCTTCTTGCTTGAGGAACTGAAGCTAACTCGGCGCAACCTTTCAGTCCTTCGACAAGCAGCTCGTAGTTTTCGGTTGGATTTCCTTTAATCTGCCACTCACGTTTGGATAAGACTTTGTTCAGAATGTTTTCGTCGCATACAGCTAGACTTTTTCCTCGTGGTCGATGAAGAGAGCTCTTTTCCAGCTTGCAGCTAAATCGAATCTTCGCGCGAAGAAGGCGGTGATCGCAACCAGTACAGAATGAAGGGACTACCGATGTGTCAAGTATGCACCATTTTCTGTTTGTCAGAATATGGTCGGTTTCCGCATGTCATGCCGTTGGGAGACTCCTATATCCAGCGGCGGCTTTCTTTCTTCTGGAAAAACGAGTTTCCATGGAAGAAATGTGCTGCTGACAGGAGTCCTGCGAGACGGCTTCCATTCTCATTTCTTTCTCCTAATCCAAAATTTCCGATCCTGTATTCGCTCTCGTTGGCCTTTCCTATTCTGGTGTTGAAGTCTTCAACAACAAATTTGTGATATGCTTTATCATTGCGGATGAATTCCTCCAACTGATAGTAGAACGCATTTAATTCGTACTCATCAGCTGCGTCGGTCGGTGGGTAGCAGTTTATCATGGTGATCTGCTTATGATGACCGCACTAGCTGAGAGACAGGCGAAACGAAGGACCCGCATGGTGTGGTGGTGAACGCGTTACACCCTGCAAAGGATAATAACACGTTCGTTCCCCACCGCAGACACCAGCGATCCGGAGTTTTGCAAATATCTCAGCATCATGTTAGTCGTTTTTTCATAGTCAATGAACGTTAGAATATGGGACAGATGGTGCTCTCGATTGATTTCTATGACCCGTGATGCGGTCTGGATGTGGTGTATGCCGCAGAATCTCTTAAGAACCCTGTTTGTTCAATTGCCTGTGCCTGACCCATGGTCTACGATAGTCGCAAAGGGAGAGTCTTCGTGAATAGCCCGTAGAGTGCACTAAAGAACAACAGGCATATTGCACAGTATTTACCAAGATCCCATTTGTTACCATTCTCGGGTAGAATGACCGTGCGCTAAGTCCTCCACTAGTCAGGAATTTTCTATTTTAAGATGTTTGGGTTGCGAGAAGTACATGTAATTTGTGGAGTGAGAAAATCGCCGTTGATATTATCGGATGTTGGAGCTGTACCTCTATCTTCATGTTTTCAAACCCAACTCACGCATTAGAGAATAGAACCCTAAGCGGCACTTCACCAGGAGAGATTTCAGGGTCCGAGATAGTGGTTGTGAAGCGAGAAAGATTGCCAGGGAATTTCTCTGTTATCAATTTCATATCGTGGCAGAATGTAATAATAGGCTAATGTTTGTCCATCACGGCGAATAGCCGAGCATTACGGTTTCAAAGATCCCGATGGCACTTCTTCAGACGGAGCTGTTTTTAAACTGCTTTCAATAACTTTTTCTTTCTATGCCGATGCAAAACCTCCTGCAAAGATCTTCTGCACCTAGCACTTATTGTCAGCCGTGTTAGGTGTCTGGCAATGGAATAAAGCTTAAATTTATTTCTCTTTCCAAGTTATTCGTTAGTGGTAATGAGGATGAGGTCAGAAATTCCTGTTTGAGGAACTGAGACGACTTTGGTGGAAGTTTTAAGTGTTTCGGCAAGCAGCTAGTAGTACTTGGTCAGCTCGTCCTTTACCTGCTGGTGAAATGAGGAGACAGTTTTGTTGAGAATTTCCTCGTCATACACTACTTTTTTCAGTTTTGCTGGACGATGATAGAAGCTTTATCCAGCTTATGGCTGAATCACTGATCTTCCTCTCAGGAGGATCTCATGCCACTAAATCGCGAGTCAGCGTCGCACGTCCCCAGGTGGCAGGTAGGGAGTTCATCGTGGAACAAAAGCGACCTCTGCTTCCCTGAGACGCAGGTGGATCCAGGGATGGACTCGCTATTTCTGCTGCGCCGATTTGGCACATACTTTCGGTATTTGCTAGGCACATTCATGCACGCGTGTGTGGGTGCGTTCTAGTTTATGCGGATTGTGTTCTACAAGTCAATTCTGGCGAAAGCCTGCAATCAAGTGGCAGGGAAGTATATGAAAGGTTGTCAGCAGTCGTTCCCAAAGAATAAGCTCCCTCTTCTACTCTGGGAAATAGGCAACGTATAAGTGGGTATAAAGTTCTAAACAGAGTAAAATAAATGGTCCTCATTCCCTGCACTCCAGAAGATCCATCGATTTTATGCTTTTGTGGGGAGAGGACAGGTGCAGAGACGTTGCTAAAATCTCAGGGTCATTCTAAGCTCTTTAAATCTCGAGTGGCTAATGTGATGATTTGTATCGATAATGCATGCTCCTTGCATCTGAGTCCTCCATGGAGGATCTAGTCATGGCAGGAAGAAGTATAGGTACGAGTCATTGGGCCGCTTAAGACGAAACACTTCCTTCAAAGTCGTCTATGATACTAAAGAAGAACTATTCCTCGGAACATGCGACAGTATAGGAGTCGGCGGGGTCGGCGTTCTTGTAAACACGAGTGAATGTCGACTCATTGGAACAACTAACAGCCCTAATCGGACGCTTACCACTAAAGAAATGCACGTCAATTCCGGCTTTCATAATTTTTGTCGTTTACGCAACGATATCGAGCTATGACGAAGATGTAGTCGAAGCGCTCTATGTGGACTTGGAGAAATTCCACAAAGAGGTCGATATATTCTTTAAGGTCTTCATCAGAAATTTTAACTCATAGGCTAGACCCAAAAGAACGGTGCATTGGGACCCACGGATTAGAACTGAACGAGCAGGATGAGATTGTCTGAGTTTATCATGATGACCAAAGCCATCCATGGTAATTCCTGAAACCCTGCTCTCGACGTTGAACGTGGAACTCTCCCAATGGACAGCATCGTAACGAAATAGACCACGTCATAGTTAGCTGAGGATTTTGCCTAATCGCTCCAACTGTTATCCCAAGACTCTGCACAGGGGCAGACCATCGCCTTCCTTTTGCGAGATTTTATTTATCACCGGGAAGAGAAAAAGCCTCGAAATTCAGAAAATAAGGTCTCAATATCACCACCAAGTGGGATTTATTCAGTTAACTAGTCGGTTGTTGGAAACGCTGCGTTATTCATAACATCGACAAGGAATATGATCAGCCCATCCAACATCTTCATATTCGCGTTATGCAGGTTGAGTTCAGAAGTCATGAAGAGAAGTCTGTATGCAGAAACAGTTGAGCTCATACGTTAACGTACAATCGCACCAGGGACCGCTAACTTAACCCTAACTTGCTGTAAGACAATGAGGATAGGCGATAAAAGAGGATCTTAAAGTGATAGGAGCGGCAGTTATAGTCGAGGTTGCGACGGATGGGAAAAGCATTCGCAAAACTCACCGAAACATCGCCAAATAAAAAACCAAAATGATTGCACTCCGGTGCCTAAAAATAACAGTTATGGGTTTCAGATGAGTAAGCAAGAAAACCATCCACGACAATTTATTGAATCCCTTCAATAGCCACGTTTTCCCGCTTTCATACGAAATGAAGGAGGATGGATATGCCGTTCTGGCTGTTCTCCCTGTCGGAAACCAACATGGTATTTTGTCCTCGAAAAGTCGAACAACACCGTGTGCAGACAGAATGGGACGTGAACACTTGTAAAACGTTGTGCCTATCCTAGTAAACACAATGGCTCTGCTAAGCATACGTTACCTCTCAGAATGCAAGATTCTTATTTAATTGAAGGCCAGCAAGATTGCGTTACTGTTCAATAAGCTGGGATGAGGGCAAACCTTGCGCAGTCTTCTTACCGTCTGTCATCCACAAACTGTTCATTCGAGTCATCTTAAAGGTGATTTGCAGGATACTGGACAAAGCAGAGATATGTGAGCAAGCAAGGTTTCGAAAATGGTTCAGTTCGATTCAACGTATCAACATGATGCATAGCTCACTGAAGCGTCGCGATTATGCAGGAGACTGCTCAATCTCGTGATTTAGGGAGGACTTTGGACTCAATTGAGGTTGAAGCAATCGTAAAAACCCTAGGCAGCCAGGGCGCCACAACTCGGTATATGAAAATTCTTCGTAAGCTATATAAAAATTTCACAACCAAGATATCACCATTCTACAGCGATTTTAACATCGACGTCCAAAGAGGGGTTAGGCAAGGCGATACCATTTTGCCAAAATTATTTACCGCCACCCTCAAGAACGTCATGTGAACATTGGAATGGGAGAACATAAGAGTGGAAATCGATGGTCGGCAATTACACCATCTTCGCTTTGCTGATGAGATCGTTCTTATAACATCAAGTATTGGCCAATTGGAACGAATGCTTGCCGGCTCTGAAAACTTTGTGCAAAGATTGGCCTTCGACTAAATTTCACTAAACGATATTCATGAGGTACGGAAGAAATGTTCCATTCATGCTCAACCAAACGAACATTTCTCAATGCTCCAACTGCGCCTATCTAGGTCCGGAAGTCAACGTGATGAGCGAGTGACCAAGCTTTAGAGCTGAGCAGGCGAAAGCGAGCTGCGGGAACTCCCAAAAACATCGAGGATGTAGTGAAGAGAAAACGAACACTCTACTCCGCTCCCATCATTCTGACTTTACGATACTTCTTGTCTTAAAGCATACATGAGAAACCTGGTCTCTACCCGAGTACGATGATAACTAAGCATTATTGAGCGCGCTGCCAAAACGATTTCTAGGAGTCTTCGATACCATGCAAGTGAAGGGAGGAATACGAAGCTTCGATATACCTCAACGATCGAAAATCAAAGACGTCTTTTTATACATCAAACTGTCGAGGATAAACATAGCTGGACAAATGATGCGTATGAACTTCAATCAATAGGGGAGAGCTATTGCCAACTGGATTCTTTTTGATGTCAAAAGTGTTCAAGAAGGCCATCGATTCGATGGTCAGAGTTCTTCATTCGAAATTCTAGAGGAAAGCTATGATGGTCAACGAGTTCCTAGAGCGAGCAGACTTCACTGGGATACCACTACAAAGGAAAGGAGGTAATGGAAAGTTAAATGGCGCCAGCTCGCATCAAACAAGCTGACAAGTGACATAAGTAATATTGGGAATGTGTACAAGAGATGCCATGTACAAGAACGTTGATGTGTTTGATAAGCCGTTTTCAGCGTTGGTTGATTTTTGAGGTAAACGTCAACTAAATTTGTACAGGTATCGGTTCATAGTGCAATGTCTCTTCCAACTGCACCTACAGCCGAGGCAAGTCTTCTCGAATAAGTTTCGATTTATAGAGCGACGATGTCCCTATTAGAAGATGAGTGGTGGATTCTAAAACTGAGTTTAGTGGTTTCCTCAAATATTCATTTCTCTAACGAAGTATTAAAAGTAATAGCACTCAAACCAATGTGCTATGCCATGAGCAGCTCTGCTAGGTCTCTCGCAATTCATGGTTTCTTTGATCTGCGTTTGGTCCTTTACCAGCCATTCTTTAATGGACAAGAATTCAAATTTCGATAACTTGTGTAAGCGTGCGCGCCATTGATCTGTCTTCACCCACCGAATGTGTCATAGTCATCACAAGAGATGGCAAAACCAATTAGTGAACGTCCTATAGAGAAAGTATTATGTGCACGTTTTCCTAGCACTTTTTAGTCCACATACTGTGTGTAATCCCGCAAGCAACACTTGCCCGTATTGAGTGTACGAGTATGCTTTGAACGTTTTTATGTGAATGCCTTTATTCGAAAAAGAGTTAATAGCAAACACCACACTTCCTGGAGCACCGCCAGCGCTTAAGGTCTTCGTCGTCGTCTTAGTATTTGCAGAAGTTGCATAATTTTTCGCACCTGAACGAATGTTTAAGCTTTGTACGGACGTGAACTATGTGTTACTAGCACATACACACTATTGTCCTCGCACTCGGATCCAGATGGTGGCAGATCCGTTGTTTCAGTACTTGTATCCGTTGCCTCAACGGTCCCGGTGATTTCAGCTGCATTGTCTCAATTAGCATCAGATGCGTTTGAAAACACTTTACAAAGCCCAGATGTAAACATCACCAATTCGGTAATCTATTATAGTGCTGGCCTCTGCTGAAAGTAATTATAGGGACTATGTTGTGCTGTGAGATTAAAGTTGTTCCAAAATAGTCCGAAGAGCAGGATCTAAACACATTTGAAATACTAGCGCAATAACGATATGCTTCTGAACAGTGCACTCTTGCCTGTAACCAGTGCGACGTTTATCTGCTAATGTTTTAATCTCAACACCGACGTATATGCATCCGTCGAGGGACAGATTTTCAGTGTAGTTGACAAATACCACTTGAATCTTTGAGCCGGGCATGCCCTTGAGGAATTCACTGTCAGTGCTCCATGGTTCAGTCAGGTTATATACAAAATGTTGAACCTGGATCCAGTAGGTGCACATATAGTATTCATCGGTATCGCCTTCGGGATGATAATCCCATCGACCCACGGTGTTGCTGATTGTTTGATACGATTCTGTTGCAGTCACCGTCTTACCGTAACCCGGTAGCTGGAAAATAGTGCGACATTTTTTTTGGACTAGAAACAATAAGGAATCGTTTTCCAAAGTCTTCACTCTTTGGTCGCAAAAGTCTCACCCGTATCCGCTGGGTCAAGTGCATTTGTTGCAATTTCTGGGATGGGGAATCCACCGTTTTAGCATTTCTTCCAAGACTCTTTTGGAGATTTATCTAAAGTAATTTGGTCGTAGTAAACAAGACAAGCAAAACTGAAAATGAAAAGCCTCTGTAAGAATGTCCTTACCGAGGCATTTATAGTGCAGGTTCATCACGAGTTTCTCGTGGAATGAAAGCAAATGTGAGCCAATGGTTTGCAAAAATAGAATGTCATGTGGTGTCATAAAGGGTTCTCCGTTGGCCGAAACGCCTAAATTGAAACGTTCGCCTTTTTGTTATTACTTTATAGTGAAAAAGTTGAAAATTGACGAACCCCATTGCTCCGTAATGCATGAGAGTTCCGTAATCGTAGCTCATGTTATAGCTGTAGTTAGTTTCCTTAGTTTGCTTTGTGAATTGACCCTCCCAGCCGTACTGCAGAAGAGTTTCTCCAATCAACAATGTCTAGTAGTGGATTAGCACGCACTTACTTGAATGTTGCTGAAATCAATTCTGGCGAAGTTGTCACGATCATGTTTGCTTTGAGTATGGAAGAAACCCAGTGTGCGTGATCTCATGCGCTGCGATTCCCACCTACAAAAAGTGAGGGTGTCCTTTCGCTGTGCGCCAGTAGAATTCTTTCATGTTCAACTCTTATTTAGAAATTCTAGAAAAAATGTAATCGTGATCTATTAAGTCTATCGTTTTACCCATTGTTTTTTATGGTTGTTTGTTTCGCTATGGTTCTATTTCACATCGTACCCCGCTATGAAAAAAAGAAAAGGGCGTGAATAAGACTTATAATATTGTGGTCCCAAGAGTGGATTTTAGTGGAAACGGTAAGAAACGCTATGTGGATCACACCGCCTCACATCCCGCTCCAAGTGAAAGTAACTGCTTTCCTCTAATTCTTCCGACATGTGACCAACAGCCTACGCTTTCATTAACGACGATTGCATCTTCAGCTCAAAATTTCTTCTTTTACCTGCGTAAGTTTCTCCAAAGTTAACGCAGGTTTCCGCAGACCACAACGCGGCTGCTTTTCTGAACAATCGTACTGTAACGCCGCCTGAAGTTGTAAATAAGTGTACTGTGACCTCTTTGTGACTTTGTAGTGGAGAAAAAACAGTGCAAGACAAACTTGCATTATAAAGGTAGTAATTTACTCCTTTGGGCCAAGTAGTGTTAGGATAGTTTTTGTCGCGGAATGCTTGTCGTTTGGTACGATGGCCTGCGTTTTCTTCGACGTCTTCGCTAGGACCTCCGCAGCTTGTTGCCTCATAACATGGTCAGTACAAAACACCGTACAGTCTGAGACGTCTAAATCGACAAACTCAGTGAGAATCATATCTTCTTGGAACAACGCCAAGTCCAGTCCGCCGTTTCTATTAGTTTCTTCAATCGAATCGCCCACTTTTCGAACGTGGTCCCTTCTGATATGGCCGTAATTCTAAAGAGTCAGCTTTGTAATTTGTCTGATCTTTAAACGAGACGTACTACGCTCACTTTTATCTTTTTCTCTAAATCAATCTTCTTTTCTGGTGGCATTTCAAGTTCTTCTCTGGTTTCGCCCTCCATACTGTGCAATTTCCTCATAGGCTCCATTGTATTGTCCACATCCCTTTCCTTGAAAAAACAGAAGTTGGAGAGGTAGAAAAGCGGCTTGTGGTCATACGCTTAAGTTTACGAATCTGTCTAATAGACTTGCGTTTCTGAGCAGTGAGCTCGCCTTCTATAGTCTTGCTTCAAATTCAGTGTCCAAGATGGATCGCCTTGATAGCGAATCTAAGCTGCTCAGCACCGCTGCTCCAGCGAAAGTGGTCAGCAATGCGAGTATTATAACCATAGTGCTTAAACGTAAAGCGAATTACGATACAAGCGGGCTGTGGTAGACGAAGAGAGAAAATGACAGCTGAATATTGGTAATACATTTGCTTCGCTTTTACACATATTCTACAGCTAATCGCTAACACAACCTATGCTGTGTTTGTATTCTAACCGGCACCAAATAAAAAAGCAGGTTCATTGTTTACCTGTTTAAAGCCACTTTTTTTATTTAGGCTTTTTTCGGTGCTTATTTTGACTGCATTTTTTAAACCAAATACTTTGTCATTGGGCTGTAACTGCTGGGATATCGCTGGCGCTTGTACTAAGTAGGATGTGGTGTCTCCAGCTGATCATGGTCCGTGTGCTGAGCAAACCTTCCACTCTTCGTTGGTCAACAAATATGCATCAGACTTTTGTGGTAAAAGGAGATCACTGAATTTACAGACTATTACTCTTCCTCGAACCATTATGTAGATCGAATAGACGCAGAATGCGTAAACCTGTGTGTTTTATTTCTCGTATCCCGACTAATTAAGACGCTGCAAATAACAGAAGCTGACTAGTTTTTAGCCGATAGGAGGTCGTTTAGATTTCGTTTTTTTTGTATGTCACTCTTTGCTATCTCTCCTAACAATTTACCGCCTCACCGTGGCTGGGAGGTGTTCCTGGATACCGTGCTTCGACGTACTGCGAGGGATTCATCTGCATGGCAAGAGCTCCCCAGCTGAGAAGGAGTCCAGCTTTTCCATCAGAAAGCCTAGTTAAGTGTAAACTAGTACCAGGATCCACCACCGTTCTGGTATGAAACTAGTCTGGTATGTTGTATGTGGTATGTACGTTCTGGTATGAAACAGTGGCAAGTCTTCCTCTGATCCTCAAAGGCCGGCGATTGCCTGTGGTGGTGAAGACCTGAAACAGACTTTCACCAGGTTGTCCTCAGAACTCCAAGAAATAGAAATGACTAAACCAGAATACTCTGAAACAATGGAGGTTATGCTGGGGCCCACACAACTAGTGAGGACGGGCTATCCTATTATCCAAGTGCCCAAGTTTATTCCACACTTAATTTTAAGTGCCCTTGTTTTTTCCTAGGCGTAGTTCTTCACTAGTTAAGTTTAACTGGGAGAAGACAAAATTTACTGTTGATGTATGGGCTTTCGCCAGTTCGATAACTTTGGTAGCGACAGCTCTTTCGGAATGAGCATTGCTCCTCACCGAATTCACCACAGCAGTCCCACAGTTGATCTTTTTTTTTAAATTTTTTTTACAGGTTTGTTTGCTTTCATTATTTGAATTTCTCTACCACATCGTTGGTTTCGTTAATAGAGCTATCAACGAAATTTTAGTTCATTATTCTCTTTACTGTCAGTGAAAGTGAAGGATGGTCATATCTACTCCGTACAACTACCCTTTTACGGTCGATCTGAGCTGTTGCCATCGCTAGAAAGGAAGAGTTGAAAAGAAAGGGTAAATGAAGAGCAAAGACTACGAGTTTCTTGTTCATTTCTCTATTAATTTTCTGTTTGCGCCACTCATATCTGTATCTATCTACCTAATATTTTTTCTGGCAGGATATTATGTGAAATATATTACGTGAAATACAACTACAATGACGCTGAGATGTGAGAAAAGCTTGAAACCTTATTTATGCTTTGAACTCAGGGTTGCCTTCAGCGGCTGTTCACCTGGTATCCAACACACCAACCGAGGACTTTGCCTTGCCTTTTTCTGACACACTTTTCTGCTTTAACGCTACTATCAGCAATCCCCTGTCAACGGCAATGATCTGAGAAACGCAAGTCGGTATTGAACCCAGTTTAGCTGAAACTGCAGTCGAAATCACAATTTCTAGCCTTTTATTTACTACCTATTTTTTCGCCAAGTGTTATGTGGAATGCAACCGCAATGTGGTAATATATTTGGGAAACTCAGAACCCAAGAGCATCTCGGAAGCTGAAAGCCAGTGGCTGAGATTTAGACTAAAAGCTCCTCTGTCCTTGGCCTCAAATCGAGGTAATTCAAAAAATCGTCCTTACGTCAGTGTTATGCCTAGTTTACTTGTAAGGGCAATCATGCTCTCTCTATCATATTTGTGGCTTGGTAAAATGCTATCAGACCTTTTTGTGAAAGTGAAAACTCCGACTAGGTTCGCCGTTATCAACTTCGAACTCATTATCCTTCCCCCTTTGCATCGATGTGCCGTATTTGGATCGTATACTGCACGTTGGTCCCTGGTAAGGCTAGAAAACCAAGCGACTCGGGAGTCTATGGCACTGGTTCAGATGCTCTAGCATTTTCCGATCGAGCTATTCCATGTTAAAGGAAACTACAAATGATGCATGCGAAAACAATAGAAATAAGAAACAAATATCTTTCCGAACCGCTCACCGCTTTGTGGAAAGCGTTTTTTGGCTGAGCTTAGTACCACCTCAGTACACGGTTCTTAACCGTTGATACTGAAGGCGACGTATTTACTGACGATTCTGCATCCTTTGCGCCAGTCATTCCTTCATTTTTCAGCATCTTTTTTCGTGATGGATCATCATCGCTGTAGAAGGCGTTCCTTCCTTCTACGTATTCATTTCTCCTTCCGATGTCCTTTAAACTCCGTTCAAAGTATATTTAATTTGTTCAGCTTATACGACATTGTTATATAAGTTTTAGTCTGCTAACGTTTCGACGTCTTCGTCTTTCTCAGGGCTAATGATCCGAATCGATGCTCATAGTCCTTCGCACTATCAATGCAGTGTCTTCTTCTTTGTATCGAGACGGACCTGCTTCAGTGGAGTATCGCCCGAATGAGGCAATCTCACCCTGCAGCTCTGTTTTATACAGGTTGTCTGCTGTTGACACTGAGTGTTCTGTGATAATATTAGGTTGTCCGGAAACAAATAGGCGATTTAAAATATTTATTATTTTAATGTATTTTTGCGAGTTAAATATTTTCCTAGCTTAAAATATTACACATTGTAGAAAAGCTAATCTTATCCTTTTTCTAATCGTGTCTTCGTATTTCCCAAAATTTAAATTTTTAACCAATTTCGAACCTTCCAATTTTAGACGTCAGAAATGAATCTTCGTCGAATTTTCTTCTATGAGCTCAAACTTGGTCGTAGAGCAGAAGAGACGGCTCGAAACATAAATGAAGTTTGGAGTGAAGGTTGTGTTGGTGGATCAACAGTACGAACATGGTTCCGGAGATTTTGTTCTGGTGATTTCAACCTCGAAGATAAGGAAGTCCGCAGACGTTCCAGTGAGCTTGACGAAGATGAATTGAAGGAACTAGTGGACGCAATCACGCGAACAACTGCTCGAGAGCTTGCAGAAGAGCTTGGCGTATTGGCGTAAGCACAGGAACAATTTCCACTCACTTGTATCGCATAAGAAAGACAAAAAACTCAACAAGGGGGTGCCGCACGAATTGAACGAAAGTAAAAAATTGCCATTCTGAGGTGTCGTCTACTTATTCTGCGCAACAAAAATGACCTTTTTCTTGATCGAATTGTGACGTGCGACGGATTCCGTACGACAACCGGCGATGTTCAGCCCAATGGTTGGATTGCGTTCAGGCTCCACTGCACTTCCCAAAGCCGAAATTCCACCAATAAAAGGTTATGGTGACTGTTTAGTGGTCTGCAGTTGAGCTGATTCATCACAACTTCTTGGATCCGAGCGAAACGATTACGTCAGAGGATTATTACTAAGAAGTCGACAAAATGCACCGTAAACTCCAACAAAATAGACCGGCATTAGTCAACAGAAAGAGACGAATCCTTCTCCACCACAATGCCGAGCCTCACGTTGCGGAACTAGCGCTGCACAAGTTGAACGAGTTGGGCTACGGAATTTTTCCTTATCCGTAATATTTATCAGACCTCTCCGCCTAGCGACTTTCACTTCTTCAAGCACCTTGACAACCTTCCGCGCGAAAACTGCTTCACCAACCACGATGACGCAAAAAATGCCTTCAACGAATTCGTCGCTTCTAGAACCTCAGAACATTATGCAACTGGAATGAGCAATTTTTTTTTGGCAAAAATGTGAAGATTTAAACGGTTTTGATTTTGATCAATAAAGTAATGCTTAAGGAAAGTTGTAGGATTTTAAATAGCATTGATTAATACGCTCATTTATTTCTGAGCGATTTAATGACTCGTTTTTTCGGATAATCCATTCTGCAGAAGTCTGTATCAGTGTCATCGAACGCAGTTCGAAGAACTGTGGACATCGACTCAGATCATTTGCTTTGAGGAAGACGAGGACGACGAAACGTTAACCAAATAAAGGTTAATTAACAACGTTCCTAAATTGCTCAATCTTTGGATGGTCCATGAAGTATTACGCATAAATGAGAGGGCTAAACATGATACAACGATTGGCATCAAAGCTTGCCATCGCACTTAACTTTAAAGTGAAAAACCAGTAACCGATCTCCGGTCATTACTCTACTGTAGATATATAGATGACTGTTTTTCAGCAGTTAAATAAAAACCTCGTGAAATCTAAGCAATTTAAACAGATGTTGATTAGTCACACCGAGGTTAAAAGAAAATCGGCTCTTGAAATATTATTACACTCCCTCCCTCGTATTTCGCTGATTTTATGCGTTATTTCAAGTTTCGCGTTCTCGCATAATTGTTGAATGTATTCAATCTCGGTCATCTGTCCTATAATCTCAACACCGTGACCAAAATTCTGGACCATATGCTCAGCCAAAATGTGGTCACTTCAAAGATGCTGAGATATTTGCAAAACTCCGGGTCGAAGGCGTGTGCGGTGGGGAACGAACGCGCTATAACCCCTTCTGGGGCTGACTAGTCAACTACTAGTTAATGATGCTTGAGATTTGACAATAGTGTTACCGAAATTTGTTTACGTGGTTTTCTCTTTAAAAATTATTATGGTTCATTCATTTAAATGGCGTTAGTCGATCTCCAAACACTCTTTATAGCATACCGTAGAAATCTTTTCTTCATATTACCAATAACGTCCGGTCCAACAAGGGGTCTTTTTTTGCTTCATATCTAACTGCATCAGTTGTAACCCTTGTACAACTAAAAATTATGTAGAACTCTTGCCCCTTATGGGTTATGATTTATGACATCTCGTTTATTTAATTCATCTCCACGAGTATTTATGCTTCCGTTGTCGTTTAGATGACATTTTTTATTCGCTTATCCTTCGTTTGCTAGAGGGCCCGACGTCAAATGTAATCACACATATACGTACGTATCCTAACAATTATTGCATACAATTCGTTTTCACCGCCCACGAAAGTCTCCGACCTTTTTCGCGTGTGGCGGCTAGCGGCGGCTACACGAGGATTTTTCGTCTTCACCATGAACATCGTTGATTGATGGTTGGGCCCTGAACTTCTAAGGTGGTCCTGACAGGCTATTCTCGTATCGATATTCCAAGCCCGGAGGAATAAGAGGCGTAGTTAGCTCTGGATGGGGCTAGACGGTAATAGCTGTAATTAAATTTCTTAGACAACTTTTATTTTGTCTTTTCTTTCTGTTCCTTACTGCTCAAACTAGATTTCTGGAATTTGAATCATGCTGACGTGCATATAAACCAGCTTTCTGTGTGATTTCGTCTTTTTAAATATTACTAGGATTTTGTGGAAGTGTAGCCAATGAAGGCTATAATAAGGTGTAGTCGAGTAGGAGGCGCACACGAGCGACGCAGTGGAGAATCTGACCATCTGCCAACGAAGTTCTTCCTTATTTTGAGTAGATTCAGTTGATTAAGAGCGCCTAGATGTCGACTTTCAATAGATCACTGCTAAGTTGTCTACTGATCGTTAGCCTAAAACTTCTTCACATGACGAATTTTTCATTCACAATACTAAGAAAACTCTAGAAAATTCGAAGCTTTCTATGACGTCATTTTTCCGATCGTTTTTTTTCAAGTGTGCTGGTTAATCTTCGTTTGTTGCTGAGATCTGCGTCGTCTTTCTCCTCATATAAGCGCGTATGGTGCAGTGGACCGAGGCGTCCTTCAACACACACAGGGGATCCCCGCGCTCGTGGCTCACCAAGCCTTCTATCCATCCAGGGTTGGCGAATTGGTACCACACTTGTCTGGGAGAATAGCAGCACTGGCTCGATAGATCGGTAGACCACCGCGAATCATTGTAAAAGCCAAATATGTATTCAATAATCTCCAACTGTGGTTAATGAAGTTGAATGCATAGCACATCCATCAGGGGTTGATCAGCGCTGAGATCTTTGTCCTTTTATCCTTTATCCTTTTGTCTCACACATGATTCTTCCTTAAAAAAGATTTTACACTCTTTAGACTTTTGGCCGTTTCTTAGCTATTCTTGCAGCAAACGGAAGGGCACTATGAAGATGTGTTTTATCTGCTCTTTTGGAGCTTTTTTCTCTATCTGCAATTACAGAAAGGAAAACTGGTCTGGTTGAATGTTCCAACGGTGAACTGATTTGCTTCTGGTTCTTTTTTTCTTTGTTTTTTTTTTCGATTCGGAAAACATCTTGTCATTAGCGACGAGTTTCAACTAGCGGACAAATCACCATGAAGTCCTATAATTCACGGTCTACTGCTAGTAACTTGAGTACTACGTCAAACGCTATGTTTCCAACGTCCGCCATCAATCCACCCATCTGGTTTGCTTGTACTTTACAAGCAAACCAGTTGAGGATTCTAAGGAAACTACATCTATAACCGAAATCGATTACTAGTGAAAAAAAAGAAATATCTGTATTTGCTTAGCATCGAATTCCTTAGTAAAGAAGATTTATGTATATGAACATATTTATATTTATATGACATGGACGCGTGCGGCGCAGTGGTCGGAGGCGACGTGCAACACGCATGTGGAATCAATCGCGGAGCCCATGACCCACCAAGTCTTTCATCCCTCAGAGGTCGGCAAATTGGTACGAGACTTTTCTGGGAGGATAGCAGCACTGACTCGATGCATCGGGAGGCCACCGCTAGTCATTGTAAAGGCCAGATATGCATTCATTCACCACACGATGGTTAATGAAGACGAATGCATGGCGCATCCCTCAGGAATTGATCAACGCCGAAAGCCTTGTCGTTTTTTATCCTTTATAACATGGAAACATGATAAACATATTGATGAATGCAAGCAGTTTTTTTTGGAACTTTCTCTCAAGCTCTCAATGTCTCAAAATCTCGTCTTTTCAAATATCAGTAGATAGTAACTTCATTTAGCTTTGCAACAGTAATGATAAGAGATGACAAGAGTTATAACAATAGTAATATGAAGCGGCTGCCAGATAGATAATGGATAGATAAAGATAGATAAAAGGATAAAGCTCTCAATCACTGAGAGGTGCGCCATGCATTTGACTTCATTAAGCATCGTTTGGATGTGATTGAAAGCATATCTGATCTTTACAATGATTCGCGGTGGCCTGTCGACAAATCGAGCCAGTGCTACTATCCACCCAGACAAGTCTGGTACCAATTTGCGGACCCCGGAGGGATAGGAGGCCTGGTGGGCCATGTGCGTGGGTATCGATTCCGCGTGTGTGTTGCAGGGCGTCTCCGACCACTGCGCCACACGCCCCACTATATAGATGCGATTATAAGTGAGGAAACAGAACACACGAAAGCATAAGATGACGATTGAACCACCTACGGCTCACAGCATCGTTATTACTGTATTAACCGGTTTCAGAAAAGCTTTCTGCCATCTGAATATAGTTCTATGACATCGGAAAACATTATGTATGCTCGATTTCTCTCAGCTGGCAATGACTACTACCCATTTAGCAAAACGCGAAATCCACGTCGTTCTAGGAATCCATTTATATAGGCCGTGTCCCTTATTCAGTTATTGTTTCTGTTACTAGGTTAATAGCCTTTATAATCTTATTATTGATATTTTTTCAAGGATTATAACAACAATTTTGTCTAATAATTAGATAACCTGACCCGAAATCATCCCAAATGGTTCGCCGGTAATTTCTTCACCGTAGAAGAACTCGCGAAGCATTACAAAAAAAAACCAAAAAAAAACCAAAAAAAACCATTACAGGCATGTATTTATATTTATGTGGTGACTGTTTTCATGTGAGCTGAACCAGAGAACTGTTAAGAGCTATTGGTTAAAAGTTTATGTGCTTTTTTTTTTCTGGAATTCCAGATCTAACGGACACACAAAGAGTGCGTGTGGCGCAGTGATCGGAGGCTCCTTGCAACACACACGTGGAATCGACCCCGGCGTCCATGGCCCACCAAATCTTCCATCTCTCCGGGATCGGCAAATTAGTACCAGGCTTTTCTGGGAGGATAGGAGCACTGGCTCGATACATCGGTAGGCTACCGCAAGTCATTGCAAAGGTTAGATATCCATTCAATCACCTCCAAACGATGCTTAACGAAGCCGAATGCGTGGCGCATTCCTCAAGGATTGATCAGCACCGAGAGCTTTATCCTTTTTTTAACTGACTCACCAATTTATTCCAAGCCAGAGAAGTAGTTGATGGTACGCAATAAGTATGGGACTTCAACGAAAGGATCGTCTATTAAAGTGTCATACATCGTTCTTTGTAACGACGCTCAAATCAGATTGTTACGACGGATGGATTCTTTTTTTCCTCACGTCGTTTCGCTAACGTCGTTTCATTCGCGTCATTCCGCACAGGTTATAATGTTTCGTGTCTTGCTTCGATTTACTCTATTCGTTATTAATTTACTTACTTTTTTATTACCGCTTTCATTGTTACTCTAATCATTATTGATTAGCACTAAATACTTGCTGTACTGTTATTTTCTGCCACACATAACATTTTTTATGCTGAGATTATGAAGAAATCGGCTTCCTTTGATCGTGTTATGTCATGACAATGATTCTGAGTTCGTTTTCCCTCAAGGCATTCGGTACTTATTCTTTGAATTTGCAAAATCACTTAAAAACATCTAAAGGAAACTGCTCATTAGTCTCACTGCTGTTACATCAACAATTAGCAACAATTTCATTGCTTTACAATCGTTGTTCTTCACGCTGAGGTTTTTCGCTCCCCATGTTGACTGGTACGTGTTCTTTCCTTTACTCTGAAGTTTCTCGATCATACTTGGAAACACTTCGGCTTCTTCCACTTGAAATCCATCTCACGGTTTCTTTCACTAATCTCTTAGCGGCTTCTCTTAATTTGCTTCTCGTTGGGTGTTAAAGTGCATTCTGATGTATTACAATGATAAACTGTTGCAAAAATGGTACCCACTACACTCTGTGTTTTTCTCTACCAGAATTCATTATCTACTGGCAGTAACCTTTTTATGAACTGCATCTTTTCCTAGTTTTCTTTTCACTTTACTCTTACTTTTTCGTCTTTTTAAACCTCTTTGAGCCCTTAAGTATCGTCATTGGTATGCCTTTTTGGTGGTTCTCAAGACAAAGACGTCTATGACACGAAGGTTTGATAAGGAATTTCTCATTAATACCTATGCCCTTTTTATACTTTCGAATTACTTCGTTATCCGCTACACCAAGGCGGCCTGAAAAACACTGCAGATCTGAACTAATTTTTTTCCCAGCTGACAAACGTCAGGAAGGGGACGATGATACTTCCAGCAAAAATTAGCTATGGTTCCATTGCAATCTCTACGGCAAAATCCTTTCATAAAATACTCGTATGCGAGGCGCTTGGTTGTTTCATAATCCTTCTCTAACGCTTATAGTTCTTAGCGTCTAACAGAAAATAGGTCGTAACGTTATCTGAGGCTGGAGCTATGCTGCTCATTGCGTTATTGGCAGCTTGAAATCTTTTCAGAGATAAAAATCTGAGTTGACTTTTCTTCATTTGGCGATAGCAGGCAGTAGTATAAGATCTGTGGAATGAAAAAGTTCTGATGGTTTTGATGATGATTGATAGAGTCTATAAATCATTGATTTTATTTTTTATCTACAGACAAAAGGGCACTATTTAGTGGAAAGGTTTTAATAGGTTCCATAAATTTCAGACTATCTGTAGTTACCCTGAATTCCATTAGTCATGCATTGACTCGCATACGCTCTAAAGCGAACCTAAGAACAATTACTATTTTCGTACGAGGCCTTTATTTCCGCCGTTGTTGATCGGTCTTAGAATGGGACATGTCGGTATGGGATGACATCGAATAACAACCTTTCTACTTCTGCGCCACTTTATCGCAGGAGCTTTTAGCAGAAGTCACCTGCAAATTACAAGTTTTTGCTGCCAGCACACCCGCTCATGAACATCAATCTGGCACAGCAACGTCAATGGCTGCATTCCCAGAACCTACTTGTGTCTAAGGAAAAGCACCTGGTACGCTTTGGAGTGTGGATAATGCTCATTTACCAATTGTTAGGGATTGTTAGGGATTTTACCTTCTTCTATAAAAAAATAGCGAATCATTCATTCAATACGGCAAGCATGCTGCGTTGTTATTTTGCCAATTGGACAAGCTTTTTCCTCTTTTCAGACGGACGTGTTCATTAGAAGGTTACCACAAACAATCGCTACGCTCTGTGAGCCGCAGCTACGTTATGGATGCCAAAATGGCAGAGCCCCTTGTCCTAGTCATTCAGGGTTTACACTTGGCTTTCGAAACGGAGAACTCGACAGCCTAGATTATCCTGTCTGCAGAGCAGCTATCTATCTAGCAATTTACTTCAACGCAAACTAAGTGTAGAATTCTTTGTAAAATTTGGTTAGGACATAGAAAACTCAATCTATTTCAACACAAACCGTAAAATTTTATGCAGTATTGAATTAAAAAGCTATCATCCTAGCGAAATTGGCTTCTCCCTATAATCTTGGTCGTAGTCAAATCCGCTAAGACAAGTCGATCGACATTCTATGACTTGTTCGTCCAACCAAGACGAAAGCTTTTTCCATTTTTTTTGAGGTCAACTTTCTAAGTTTAATTTTTGAAATACAATTTGGAAAAGGGATTTTCGCAAACAGGGAAGTGAAATGACAAAGCAGTAACTGATTTTCTGGACTATTTCACTTAAAAATTACTTGGAAGTATCTATAGAACTCCTTTTCAGAACCCTCCTTTTGCTTTTTTACTCCTTTTACTTTTTCGAACTCCTTTTTCATTGCTTTTATTGTAACTTAAAAAAAAGGATTTAATAGTCGTCATAGTCATAATCTTATATGTTTTTATTTCACCTCTTGTTACTAATTGTTTTTTGTAGTTTTCTTTCTGTGCAGTGGTTTCTCTTTCCCGGAGATTTTTGTGATAAGTTTTCTCTCCCTTCATTCATTCCGTTCATTCTTCGTAATTACTTCCTGTTTCATCCATGCATTCCGTTCATTTATGTGTTCTCTTTTTTCAGCATCGTCAGCTAATCCAGCCGCATAACATCCTATTCGCTTTCATTTTCTGTTTTTTTTCTGTTCTCTTTTCCTTCAGTTCTTGAATTCCTTCCAGAACCAGTTCGTTCTTAGCCACCAAATTCGGCTTCTCTGCATTCGTCATGAAAAAATAGCTTTTATGTGTTTGAAAATCGTCACCGAGTTCGTAATGAACCTTGGTGAGGATTTTTACATAAGTTCATTGCATTCTAAACTGAATGCTTTCTTGATGCTACTTACCATTTTCAGATTACGGTAATACCTATCATTGAAAGGAATTGTTGGAATATAGCAAGTTTTCGCAATAGGTCATAGCTTTTCTCAAAACAACTGTCTGCTGCTTTAGAGCTCGTGGAGTTTTTTTTGTATCTTCCATGACATATGCGGTACAACTATAATACGCTTGAAAGTGATTGGAAAACGCAGGCTGTGAACTACGACAGAAGAAACATAGAATAAAGAAATGTGTTTAATGGAGCGCTCATGGTTTTTCTAATGACGTAAACACTCAAGTGCTCATCTCCTGAAAAAAACACTGAATAAAAACCATTTCCTCCTCTCGTTCTCCTTAAAAACTGGCAGCCTCGTTCACACAGAAATAGGTGTAAGCGTTTCTGACATTTGCTCATCAAAATGTCCTCATACACACTACGTTTAAAAGCTTGTTTAACGTGCATTGTCCCCACCTACATAGCACAATTCTTACTCTCTGCTGCACACAGTCTGCTATCTTCAGGATTTTGTGAAGCTACTCGTTCACTCAATTTAAATCTCAGTAGATATGTTACCTGTGCCACATGTAATTTCACTAACTGTTAAGTAATTCAAGACGGCACCAGTAGATTTCGATCGTCTCAATGGCATGTCGGGCGAATTTTTTTCTTACTATCCGTGTTTCACATCTATTTTGCGGATCCCAACATGGATTCGTTTTCTTTGCATTCATTGTCCACCAGGGTTATCTATCTTTTGCGTGTAGATTTGGCTGCTGCTTAACGGTTCTTTTTTCTTCGCGAATGTCGCTGAATGCTGGTCAAGACGATTTCTCTGGAGTCCCGAGATAGCAGGGCTAGAGCCTGTCAGTTGTACTGCAAAAAGTGAATTTTTCCAGACAAGTCTGGTAGCAATTTCCTAACTTCGGAGGAATGAGAGGCTTGGTGACCCCAACGCGAAATCGGACCAGCACCATGCTCTTGATGATCAGAATACCACTACGCTACCCGGTCGGGAGCGTTACTTAAACGAATTACTCACTGGGAAGACACGAAGAGCACTACGTTTTTTGTGTTTTTGGCATAGACGGTGACACAGGTAGCTGTAATGGATAAAGAACAAAGCGTTCTGCGCGGATCCGTTTCTGAAGGGTGCTCTATAATTTCTACATCATTAAGCATCGTCAGAAGTGATTAAATGCATACCTGGCTTTGACTTGCAATGAGCTGCCGATGTACCAATTCAGTGCTGCTGTCCTCCCCATAGTCTGGTACCAATTTCACAACTACAGAGGGAAGGGTTAGTGCGCCTAGAATGCCCGACCGAACCAACAACTACCTATGCACTGCAAAACAAAACCATTGCGCTACATGCGCCCTTAGCACCATTAGTAGCGTACGTTTATTCTTAGCCGTTTTCGAGTAAAAGTGTCGAATTCCCTTCTCGTTTGGAA